TCACAAGCCTCCTGAGGCGTCAACACAATGTAATGTGGCGGTGGGATGTCCTCTACTTTCCTATGATATCTGACACCGGCCGCATTAGGGTCCATAGTACGATGCAGGACTGGAACAAGGAGACGTTCCGCCAGGGGATTCGACGTGGGTTGAGCGGGCTCTTCCTCGGCATCGTCCAGCAGCGACCTGTATACCTGCTTCTTGGCCTTCTTTGCATTGACATTGGTGGGTGGCGCCTCCACTTCATGTATCACTGCAACGTCACCCGGCTGAATCTCTTCGTTGATCGCCATCATGTCGTCGTACTGCTTGAAGAATTTACCCTTGAACTCTTCACCTCCAACAAGACGCTCCGGGGGGACACCGACTCTCGTCGAAATGAACTCCTTGATGGCCTTGAAGGCGCTCGTCTTATCGACCTCTACAACGATTTCCACCGGGGGCTCGTTTAAGGGATAATACTTGACAGTTCGGGACCAGACGTTGCTCATTGGCAAGGGCAAAGTGAGGTTGTTGAAGGGATCGAATGTGATGCTGATCTTGTCGCATACAGGGCAATGAAGGGTTGACTTGTATAATCCGGTGAACAGGTCGGCAATGATCGAGTCGTCACGCTTCTTTGTGATATCCCAAACCTTCTCGGCCATTTCTTTGATAGCAGCAGGGTTACCGATCATGTCATCTGTAGAGTCTGGCTTTTCAATGTACGGCTTCTTCTTGATGCGGTTTAGGTCCTCTTGTAGGCCATCGAGCAAGAAACCCAAAAATTCTTGGGAGTCCTGCTGCCCATAGCCGGAGAAGGCGGGGGCATATCGGCCTACGATGCCTTTGAAGTGACGGGGCGCGACCGAGTTGGGCGCAGGATTCTTGTATATTTCATCCAACAGCCGCATGTATGCCATAGCAACGTCTCCGTTATGGGAAAGCGGATTGTCAGGGTTGATCTCTTTCTTGGCCTCGTGAGTGAGGAAATACTTGGTCAACTCTTCAACGCTCCGTAGACATTGCAGAGCCGAATTCATGTAGCATGTATTGCCCAGGTTCTGCAAGCCAACGCACCCTGGCGTACGACCGGATCTGGGTTGCACCCGGCCCCTATTGAGGACACTCGGGGGAGCCGGACTGTTACGTCCGCTGACAGTACCACGGGCCTGAGCGACAATGCCGTTGCCGACGGTCTTGTTGCCATTGGTCATTTTGGTAAAGAATGTAGAGACGTAATCATCTCGGTCAACCTGTTCGTCGATGATCAAGGTTTGGTCCACAGTAAGGCCAACCAATGACAGACTCTTCCTCCCGTTGTAGTTGGGATTGGTTGTGGTATCCTCTGCTGCGAGGTGATCGCGCTCCACACCACGCTCTAGTTGGCTGAAAGTTTCAACATCCACGAGCATTTCCGGCCAGGAGCCAGGGGCCCTAGGTAGGAAGTTCGGTATGCGAGAGGAACGCCCCGGGGAATCAGGAGGGGTTTCCATGCCAGAGGGCTTCGAAGCCTCCTCTGTGGCAGGAATTGTTTGCAGCCGCTGCCAGACCCGGACTTTACGATCCATAGGAACACCAGTCAGCTTCTTGATTTGCTGAAGAAATTGGTGAAATGAGGCAGATGCGCTTTGGACAATGACGGGCGGTGGCGGCTTCTTCAGCTTAATCTCCTGTTCGATAGGCAGAGGACTCGCTGCAGACCATAGCCTGTGAACGGTAAAAACGGGAGGATGGAACTCAAACTGAACGTTTGGCTCGCTGGCAGCATCAAGGGCGGTATTGTGCGCTATCCGGACAATAGGGGCCTGTCCAGGCGCCAGGCCATACCATGATAGCACCAGGTCCCATGCGTCCTTGGGAAACAGCTCAGCAGACTCTGATCCCACGCCCGGCTTTAGCTTCACGCACTGCTGGTCGGCGGAGTCGGTGAAGATAGCTTGAATGATATCCGAGTTATCGATCGGCCCAATAATCTCGCCTGAAGGCTCCTTGCTTGTAGGCTTCCCATTAGCACCGAACGCCTGGGCCTTGTTCAGCCACTGCCGTGATACTAAGTATGCCACATCTCCTTCTTTTGCGCCCCTATCATTGAAGGCCTTGAGGAGTGTTTCGATGGTCTTGATCTGTTGCTCGATCGGTGGGATTTCTGCATTTCCTTCCGTCAGAAGCCTGCGCGTTTTTAACTGAGGTACGAGCAGCTGACATGCTTACCTGTCTTCAAGGGCAGTTCCATATCAGCGATGGGCATCTTGGTACCTCCGGCGGCGTCTGCTTCCACGGGCTGAGGCTCTTCCACATCTTGCCCAGACTGTTGGTCTTGCGGCTGGGTATCAGGAACCGTGAGCATTTCCACGTCCTCCCGCGAGTCCGCGTTCTCATACTCTGGATCCATACTGGATGCTCTTCGTTTCAGGGGAGAACCAGATCGATGTGTCTGCTCTGAGGCGCCACCCATGAGCGCACGGTGGGGCGTATTGATGAAGGGAGACTGACTTCTCAAGGTCCCGCAACTGGCAGCCTGCAAAGTCGAGCTCGAGTCGAAAAGCTGTCCGGAATCGCGGTCGTTGTCAACGGAGAGATCGGCCGAGGCAGCGCAGGGTGAACTGGCGGCGGAATCGGCAGAGACGTAGTCGGTCGCAGAGCCAGACAGTGTGCTAAACTGATTCTGAAGGTGCGGGGGTATGCCTGATGGTGGTAAGGAGTCGCCGCGGCTGTATGCTGGAGTGTTGGAGGCAGAGGCCAATGTGGAAGTCGACCGGTGGTGGTCAAAAGGGTAGGCCGGGTCGAACTCTGCTTCTTGCTCGGTAGCGAGCACCACGTCTAGGGCAGCGTCGGTAGACCCTTCCTGTCCCTGCTCCCTTGTCGACTGGCGGGTAACCCTCCGTTTCTTTGAGGAAGACGTGGTGAAGGTGAGCTGCCTGTGCAGCTCGGAAAGCGCTGGGTCGGTGTGATGGAAGGTGGGAAGTGGGGGACGGCGCGCGTTGGAGGATGCCGGATAGAGATCGGGGAGATCGTGACAACCCAGTGAGACGAATCGGTAGAGTAGGTAGTCACGCACGGCACGGTAAAGCGACTTGGACGGAGCGCTGAGTGGTTGAGGCAGGTAAGACGGTCAGGTCATGGACGAACTGACTGACTGACAAACGACGGGAGCAAAGCCAGACGATAGAGCTGGGTCTGGGGAAAGCGAGTCGTTGCGTTGACGCTGGGTGGTGGCGTCCGTGATAGGTTAGCCGTGGTGCATCGGGCGGACTGGTTGGCCCGACAGTCTTTCAAGTTTTTTTTTTTTTAGTTTTTTTTTTCGGGTGTCGTTTTTTTTCTTCTTCAGTCTTGATTCCAGTGGACTCGACGCCTCGACGGGACTCGTTCGGGCGATCGATCAGCAAGGGCACGCTGCGACGGAGGCCAAGTAGCGGGAATCGGGTGTTACAGCGTGGAGATTTGTTGCGTCACGTCAAACGGGAAACCTGGTACCTTTTTTTTTGGAGTGGTGGCCAGAAATGATACCGAATTCAAAAGAAACATCAATAACCGGTCTGTTGTCTCTTTGGGGTTCCCCTGCAGTGAGGTTCTTGTCAACAACGAAGCCGGAGCAACAGGCTTGGAGAGCGGGTGATGGAAATTCTGTCCAACGGAATTCTAGGCGTTGTCTACCCATGGGTTTCTGTGGTTTTTTATTTTTTTAGTTTTTTTTTTTCCTTTTTTTCCTGCCGCAGCGGAAGTTGCAGCTTATCTAGGCTTGTTCTATGACCGTGGTCCCGCTCTCAGTCTGGGCTGGTTCGTTGTTGCAACCTGCAAGCGCAAGCGCATTTGCAAGTGAATAGAGGTACCTCTAGGATCGCGGTCGCGTCACGGCCCTGCTCTGCCCTGACCGTAAAACACCTGTAAAACAACCGCGATGGGATCTCTGGGGTCGCCTCCCGAACCCTGTGGAATGCGGGTTCTGTTCCACGCAGGGTTGATGAAGCGCCCTGGGCAAGGGGAAGAGCACACCCCGCAATTCGAGCACGCTGCTAAGTAGCGGTACACAGAGGTAGGCAGTCCAGGGGCGGGTAGTGGCGTCAGTATCAAATACCTAGAACCTCCTACCTTCCACTTGTCCTTCGTGGGGAGGAAGTGATGTATTCCAAGTTTTTCTGTGTGTTGTTTGGCTCCTTCACCAGCACACAGAAGGATTCAGAAAGAGACGGATACGAGGGTTACGATCGGAATGAAGGCTAGTTGAAACAGGCGCGAACGTTATCAGTGCAGTTGTGATCTTATAAGTTAATTTACCGCCGTGAGACACATGGCGAGTCAGCAGGTAGTATGTGAAATCAACCGTGTATCACATCAAGCAGACAGCAACTTCCGTTCTCTTTCATCCTGAAGGTGTTACTCCTGCCAGCCTTGTCCTGTGATCAAACGACGAGCTGAGAAAGGATCTCTGTTACGATGATGGTTATACTTTGGCTATATACCTGCACAGAGGTGAAAGAATGCAACGTACTACATCATGTCAAGCACGCCTCTTCAGTCCTGCCTTTGGGAACTTCATGATGGAATATTCTGAGAGGACGGATAGCATGATTCATTCATTATTCTTCATCCCCATATCGCCCCTCGCCGTTGTTTCACCCTGGGGAACGGGCTTTCTTTCGATTACATTTGTTGTATTGCCAAGTTCATAGTATCTGGATGTGCGTGCACAGTCATCATCTGTTTGAACACACTATGCTGGTTCATTACACCAAACACCACATCATCATAGCAACAACCGGGTTAAAACTACTGTTATGAAGCTGTCTGTTCTAATGTCCATAGTTACTGGAGAAAGGGGTATTTTCCTCGCAAGCGAATGCCTTTTCGGTTTATTTTCCGAAGGAGAGAACTCCATCTCATGCATGCAACTGCCCACGCTGTCTTAACATGGCAGACAAACGCATACTTTGGCACATCAATTTACCAACCAAAAAAGGTCTCCCATCACAGCCCTTTTATTCTTTCTTTCTTTTTTTTCCTTCTTCTAACAGAAATTCCGAAAGCAACATTTGATACGGAAATCGTTATCCTGCACTGTTTGAGGCTTTCACTTAGAGCTTGGAATCCAACTCCTCGTACTCGCTCAGGTCCTTCACCGGCCTAGCAGCAGCGCTGACTGGCAATCCAGCCTTGTAGCTGCGCACATCCTCAATGAGGATAGGCTTCGTGCCGTTTGATGACGGCGGTGGCGCATCCTTGACCACCCCGCTGACCTTTTCAGCATGGAGTTTCCTCCATGTCTCGGTGGCAGCATCCATATTGCTCTCGGTAACACTGAGGCTGCCAAGATACTCCTTAAGACCAGCAATCTCCTTCTCCTCGTCGTGATCAGCCGCGCTCAGTCTCGCTTGGAGGTCGGTGGCGGTTTTGGCCGAGGTAGTAGCATCAAGTTCCAGTGTCTTGACGAGTTCGGTTATCTGGGCAGTCGTCACGTCGCTCTTTGCCTGAGCCTCCAAGTAGATAGCGAGCTTGGCCCTGCTAGGCGACGAGGGGTGGATGTAATACTCGAAGAACTCGATCAGTTCCTCCTTAGTAAGAGGTTTGACGTGAGCAGCATCGCGTTGGGCTAAGGGGAAAGGTCAGTATAGACTCAAGGTAGTAAGGGCAATCTCAGATGTTATGTACTTACAGATCTCAAAATCATAGTACTCGCTATGGATCTGACTCCATTGCTTGTTGGTTTCCTGGTCCAAAAACTTGGGCTTCTCGAGGCGCTTCACGATCAAGCTGCGCTTGTGAGCCTCAAATTGCCTAGGGTCCATCTCTTCGATCCACTTCGCCATCCTTTCCAAGAACAGCTCAATCCTGTTCTCCAAGTAAGGGGCTGTCTTCTCGCTCTGGATGAGGAATCGAAATCCGTAGCTTGTGGAAGTGGCACGCACTCCAGAGAACACCACGTAGCCTAGTTGCTCCTTGGTCCTGAGTTGATCGAAGCATGGCTCTTGGAGAATCTGGGCCAAAAGCAGTGTCTTGGCACGGATAAGAGAGTCGTTTTTGTCACCGACATAGAGGAAGTATTCAATGCAGTTGTTCACGTTGGCGGGGTCCTTGAGCATCTTCTTCCAGACGTAGTTGGACCCGGGTGGGAGCACCAAGGATCGCAGGATCGGCCACTGAGAACGCGGCAACACCCTCGGCTTAAGAGTAGACTCGACCATATCCGTTAACTTCAGAGCGTCCTCCTTGTAGAGATTTCCGTGGATGTAAACCTCCATGTGCAGCTGAGCAAGAAGGGCTTTCCGGAACTGCCGGACGTGATCCGAGGTGATGTGTGGTAGCTCAGCCGCGAGCTCCTCGATTGTGTGGTCATGCTCTGCAGTGAGCCATTCCGTGAAGCCGCCAACCTGATACCATGGGACCTGAAGCTCCCAGTTACGGTAAGCTCTGGTCAGACGTTCTTTGATGATATCAAATCTGTCGTCTCGGACCTCGAGATCCCGCATCGTAGTCAGAACGCGTTCCAGGAGGAGTGGAAGCTTGTCGTTGTACCCAGATACCTCAACGAACAATCCACGACTGTCGAGTGATACGAGGTAGGACAAGCCAGCAAGGTCGGCATCGTACGAAAACTCTTCCAAGGCATCCTTGACGTGGTCGGTGAAGAGCCTCGCCTTGACAATGCTCTCAGCAGACGCGTGGATCAAAGGGCTCTTCAGGCTGACAATCAAATTCGCTTTGGGCACCCAAAACGTGTCGTCCTTCTTATACCAAGTGCGTACTAGGTCATCGTTGCGCACAATCCGCGGCGCCAAAGCTGGCTCCTTAACCTCCTTCCTTTCAACTTCCAGCTTTGTAGGAATAAACTGGTTTTTGTGCGGGAGATGAAGCTCAGGGATCCGTTCTTGATCGGAGATGGTGGCGGCCTTCTTGATTTCCTCCATAAGTTCGCTAGGAATCTTGGACACGGAATACTCAGTCCCGTACCACTTTTCCTTGTGCTCCCATTTCCCAGGCACCTCCCGCGAGACGATGGACATGCGGAAATTGTCAGGCCGCAAGCAATCAAGGCCCTTGCGGATGAGGTTGGCATCATACTTGCGCAACTTGCTAGTTCCGCTCAAGAGCCATTCTCTGGGCAGTGGCCGTTGCATGACTCCGGCTGTCTTGCTTGCGAAGCTGGAAGCCTGAGTCTTCTGCTTGAACTTGAAATCAATGTCTCCCATAATCTTTTGCTCGTTGTGGATCCATTCCTGGGGTCCCGTTTCTTTAAGCAAGGCGATGTATTGGAACACCACTTTGGCGACCTCTTCGTAGTTTTTAAGCCCCTTTGCATTTTGGTCAGCAATTTAAAGTATAATCAGGAGATAAGGAGGACATACTTCTTGTGTCAACTTGATCTGAATATCAAACATGCCAGGAGAGCCAGGGCAAACAGTCCACGCACCAGCGCTAAGACCATTAGCCCAACCTTTTGACTTGATATGAGCCATAATGCTGCCCGGGCCCTCATGGCCAAGTAAGTGGCTGAGGTAACGACTTGGAAGCTCTTCGAACAAGAGATGCTCATCTAAGAAGGGGAAGGTAATGTTGAGTTCTCGTGAATCCATTACGGGTTTGGCAAAGGTCACGACTCCGAGTTGCTCCGGCGTAAGAGGAGCTTCATCCGTCCACTCATTGGGTGGCAGATCTTTGTTCTCTACGTCTGAGAACAACTCGGCAACCCAGCCTTCAAGAACGTCAAGTGATTCTCTTCCGAGCACGCACAGCTTCATGCGGTTGGCCGAGTAATGCTTCTGATAAAACTCAATGAACTTTTCACGAACATTGACGCCCTTGGACTCAGGCAACACCTTGAGCGTTTCCAGGTTTCCAGTAGAGAAATGGCAGTACGGATGCTTGGGGTTCGAGATGGACTTGTCTAGTTGGTGAAGTCGCCACGTATCGTTCTGTAGGTTCTTTTTGTTTTCGGAGTCCACAGCCCGAAGCTCCCTGTCAAGGGTGTTGGCTAGAAAGAGCGGCGCAACGAAGAACTGAGCAAAACGATCCAGAGCACCGTAAAGGGGCGAGGGATTGGTAGCCGAAAGCTCCTCATCATTGCTGGGTTTGGCAGACACCTCGAAGTAATAGTTGGTGTGAGTTGCTGCAGTGAAGGCATTAGAGCTACCAGAATTTGTCGACAAATACTGGCTGTAGTCATTCTCGACCGGATACTTCTTGGTACCCATGAACAGGAGCTAGAATCATGATCACCAGGGTCAGTAAAAAAATCTCAAAAAAATTTCCCTTCACGTGTGAACAAGGCGCGGAAACTCACATGCTCGACAGCATGGGCCATGCCGGGCATGTCATCTTCATCACTGAAGCTTCCAACATTCACGTCCAAGGCAGCACTGGCCTTGTCCGTCGTGGGATCATGCACCAAGAGAGCCTCAAGCTTATTGGGGAGACGGATGACCCGGTAGCTGCGATCATCAAGAGAAGGTTTCTCCAGCTGATCGGTGACCCGCTCAACAGCGGGTGAGCCCTTGCTGGGCGTATCTTGAGGTGAGGTGGACATGACAGAGTAATGACGCCGGTCCAAGGAGTGAAGAATCGATGATCCGGAAAGGCGTTGGGTGTTGTAAAGTGGAGGAGAAGACAGATATTCAAGCTGGGTCTGAAATACAGCGGGCCCAGCAAGTACTGACAGGAAGCGGCTGACGACAGGGAGGCGATAGTAGGGCGGCGTAGAAGAGAGGGGCGGCGTTGGCGTTGGTGGCGGTAGGTCAAGGGCCGTGGAGGCGGCTGTCCCAGGGGTCCGTAGCTCTAGGGTCCTGCTACTCCGGGGGCGGGTCCAGAATGGTGTCAGCGTCTGTGCGACGGGTGTGGACACAGCACCAGAGCTAGGCAAGGTTACCGGCAATTTGGGTGCCAGCAAATCCGGGCTGGCGGTGACACTTCCGGTAGGACGGCACTCTGGTCTTTGAAGTCTGTTTCGGCTGTGCGCCGACGCGGGGAGACGTGTGAGGTTGCGGTGGCACTGGTTGAGGGAATACGGGATGTTACCAGGTCCGTGTCGTGGTTGCCGGTTTCGCGGATTCAGAAGAGCCGGAGAAGTGAGGAGACGAGACGTAGACATCCAAGTGGAAGTGATTGCCGACTCTTTATACCTGATTCTACCGTGAAGTCTCTCGTTGCGGTCGACTCGCTGGGTGACTGGGTCGTGGGTCGAATCAGAGAAGGTGAACGCTGTTCAAACGCGCATCTGCTTTTTCCGTGAGGATCTTATCCGTAGTCTGCGGGAACCTCGATGGCCTTACGGTACGCTAGAGAGGTTGGGGTGATGACGAACAAGCCAGCGCCCGGTGGGGAAGGAACGGAACAGACGGTACGTCACAGCGCCTGGGGAAATGATTCACGAACTAAATGTACAATTATGAAGCACCGGACGGGAACCGAAAGCCCACGATGACCTCTCCTTGTGTTCGTATGTATCATAGCTACCAGTTCAAGAAGAAAGGCTGCCTAGAGTGGAAAGTAAGACGACGTATTACTTCTGGTTTTCTTGAGGGAATGTTTTGGATGAGGGGCAGCTTCGCGACATAACTTCCCGAGCTACGGGTACCTCTACGTAGCCCTCCCTGGCTCACTGGGTGCCACTTGATCACGTCGACCATTGAGGTTTCACCCTATAGCTTCAAGTTTTCCGCATGCGGTAAGGAGCTGTAGCATTCAGCGACACGTTTACATGGTAGTACTCCGGTCCAAGGCTTGAGCAGCGGCAATTGCAGAGCTGTGATCAATGTATGTACAGTTATCCAGGTTGCAGATTCAGCTTACGGATGGTCCGATCGTCCTCAGCTGAGAGATCATATATGGGTAACAGGATACCTTGCTGAACGGAGCAGAGAGCCTTAACATCTTCTGGTAACGATCTCTTGGGTATCCTTGAGAGAACAGCCAGAGTGAGAGTTGGTCAGTAGATAGAGAGTGAAAATACCCTTTCTGGTTGGCATGCATGTTTGTCACAGTTACCTTGGCTCCTTGGGACCCACGAACCCCGCCAGCCCACCGTCCGGTCAACTCGTTAGGAGTTGTTCACTGACATTAACTTGAGGAGTGCCTATCAGATGATGAGAGCGCAAAGTCCTGAATGGATCGAATTTACATTATGAGATGAAAAGTATGTTCGGAGTTCCAATAGTCCTGGATACTGGTTGACACCTCATTAAGATATATGCAACGCACCCTACTATCGACCCTATAAAAGCCATCAGGGGCAACTCCAGGACGCACAATGAAGTGTTCCCTCCTCTTGCACTACCTTATCACTTTCAACCCACACGTCACATTTCGAAATTTCGTAATATGTGACGGGAGAGCCGCACATCTCAAGAAATAGATGTAGAGTGAGATCCGAGCAGACACTTTGTCACACACGTCAACTGCCAGAGTGATAATTCCTCGCAACTCTTTCACTACGGGACTGTCTTGCAGCTGAATCATCAATGGGCATTGTTGTCGTTGTCCTTTGATTCTTACGTGTAATCTTTTTTTTTCTCATTGTAAACCTCGCTATGGTCTCACTGGCTATTTGCGTCGCTCAGTTGGATCTGTTCCGTTTGGACACTGATGCTCCTACATTAACTTGATTAATCATAGTCCTCGAAAAGAGAAATGATTGCTCTGCCAAGAGGAAAAAACATGCTGTTGACAACCTGTCTTACATGCCTGTAGTATCATCAAACATGGTCAGTTTGTATATAGTAAGTGGACGAGAGCAGTTGAGATGTTACTCAGAAGGTTGCCATAGTCCTACTCTTACCTTTTCCAGCTCTCTTTACATTCTATATGCCTTATCAAACCACAAACAAATCGCAAACTGCCAAAGTCACACACGCATTATGCGGAATATAGCACAAGCGCGTAACAGCGGTAGACCTAACACAGAAACGCCGGATACTAGTACTATGTCTAGGTTGTAAGTCTAGTCTAGTTATCGTATATGTCATCGCATTTCACCAGTCTATGACACGGCCACCTGGATAATAGAAGCCATGTGACAAAGACTGAGCAATTCCACTACCCTGTGGGCTGTGCTTCCGCTTAGGTGCAAGACTATGTTGTAGCGGAAGAGATCATATGAGGTGAAGTAGGACTAATAGACTGCCTTGAGCTGCGTGGTTGCTCCCGAGACCTTCAGCCGCCATGATCAGTTTGTCCGGGATGGTACTGATGAAAACCAACACGGGACGGATGTCACCCGTCAAAAGCCAATATTGCGGTTGCTTGTGATTTTGGGTATTGATGTTCCTTGCGGTTCGGCGGTAAAAGCAATCTAGTCTGCATGCAACCTGTTCTTCCCCAGCCCTAGCAGAAGATGACACCCATGTTTGTTATCAACAAGTCATCATCTATTGAAAGTCTTGGCTGGATATGAGCTTCAACAGTGACCGGCCTAGAAGGCGACGGCGGGTAAGTGTACCTCGGCGCCGCGGGGATCGGGTCCAAGAGAACAGTTCCATACCCCTTAAGCTGCCTGACAGCATGCAAACTCATCACACTTCCACCCCCTCTAACGGCCCATCAGTAAACAGGCCATATGCCTATATCTCTGAGGATTTACGATGCGATCCATCACATCGAAGGCCTTAAAATGTCTAAAGAGACCGAAGACCGCATGTTGCGCGATGCCGTACCAGATGTACACTCTAGTCCTTGCACCACCAGAACAAGCGACGGTTAACAACGGAGGACATCGAGATACCCCGTTTGCAGCACGAGTTAAAAACTTTAGCTCTACACTGGCGTGGACGACATGGGCACATATATCCCGGTCCTCCGTAGGCACCATGGCACTCATAGATGCTTGAGCCTCTCCCCAGCAGGGAAAACAATGACCTATGATCGTGAAGCTTATAAGCACTGCGGCCAATTTTAGAACAGCGGAACACACGATCGGGACTAAAATGGATGCCGAACCATCAACACTACTTCCGCGACTTGCGGGGGCAGTCAGCAGCTCGATGACCGTTCTGTCCACATGTGTGGCAGGCGCCGGTGAAAGCCTGCCGGTGAACGCCTTGTGGCTGGCCACCCGATCCAGATATCGTGGCAGGACGGTTGGGATTCACCTCCCTCTTCCGTCGGCCAAGCGCAAACTGTGCTGCCTTCTTGCGCTCCTCGCTTCTCTTGTCAGAGAACGAGGATCCCGGCCTTGCCCGCTTCTGTCCCCTGGGATTAACACCCTTTTGTTGGCCTCGATCTGCCTGCTTGTTGGAGTCGGAAGATGCTTCACCCTCAGAGCGGTCGTCATCGGAGTCTGAGCCTGAGCTATCACTATTACTATCACTCTCGTCGTCATCATCGCTGTCGCCGTCTTCGTTCTTCTTCTTCTCCCCCTACATAGTCACGTTAGCGCGTGGAACCAAAGAATGCTGCTCTATAAACAAACATGCCTTTTTCTTCATGTTGAATTGGCGGAAGCGGGCGGCGGTGGGAACAGCGGCAGGAGCGTCATCGTCATCACTCATATTGCCTGAGTAATCAATCTGCGCAAATCCAACTTGAACAACATTCAGCACTGGGCGAGCCCCGGCCTTCGGGGCGAGGGAAGCACCAGGTAAGACCCAATGGGAGTCACCAAGTTCTGCAGCACGCTTTTCAATGGCAGCTTGTCGCTTCTTCTCTTCTTCTTCCAGCGCGGCCTGGATGGCCTTTTGGTCAAACAATGCCTGGTCGGCCTCCGGATTGGGTGTGCTCGTTTTCGATGTATGGGAATGCTTCCGGCGCTTGGAGGGACCCTCGTCCTCTGTCTTCGGGGTGCTGGGCTTCTCGGTTGGTGACGCAGTAGCAGCAGTAGCAGCAGCTCTCTGCATGAACTTCATCGTCATCAAGCGAGAAGACATAGTCTTTTGCGTCTGTGGCGCCGCCATGGTTGGCAGGTTCGTGGGAGCCATCGTGAGTACGTTGAATAGGCGCGCGGTAGCGTTAACGACTGGAAGATGTTATCGTCAATGGTCTTGTAATTTGAATCAATAGTTTGAGCCACTCCTTAATCGGCGCCCGGTAATGCGAGGAGGAGTTGGCACAGCGATAAAGATTTAGCGCGTGGTCGTTGTGATGATGTCGCACGTCCCAAGAAAAATGGTTGACATTTGACAAGAGACAAAAATTCCAATTCGAAGTCGTCAAGGTGGGACTATGGTACTCCCTAGACTACCTAGTTCCACAGCCCAGGGACCTACGGCCATTTGAGCCCCACTTTGAATGCCAGCTCGAGTCGGAGTCTGTGCACGAGCCAAAGGATCCAACCTTAGCTTTGAGCCGCACACCCCCATCCCGATAATCCATCTCAGCTGCCGACAACAGCATTGACCCACTGGGGAAGCTCAACTTCATCATACGTACCTGGTCCAGCTCTCGGCCGGTGCCCGCAGCGACTGACTCGAGACACTCCCGTCTCCATCCACAACCTCCTCCACCGAACATCCACCATGTACCCTTCAAGATTGCGGGTGGCCCATCAGCTGTCGCGCCAATGCGCGCGCTCATTCACCACTTCTGGCCATCAATTGTATTCGTCGTCGACCGTTCCGGCGCCTGAGAAGAGTGAACAGAAGACTGTCGAAGTTACGCCGACAGGACCGGCCGCCGTCGTGAAGCAGGCTCCCAACCGCGCGGAGGTCTGGTCCCGGAGTCAGAAGCCCCGCTCCGAGGCCATGACCGGCCCCCGTTTCGAGCAGACTAACTTTGATCTCCAGGTGAGCTACGGCCTGCGTCCAGGAACGAACATTTACGCAATCGCAATTCGCACCCAAGATTCCGGACAAGACAGGATACATCAACGTTTGGGTCTTTTGCTAACTCCAGTTGCAAATTACAGCCTCAACCATGGGCCGCCATAGAGCTTATCCACAAGCAGCCTGTCAAGTGGGTGCATGAGCGTATCGTGGCATGCGATGGCGGTGGTGGCCCTGCTGGTCACCCCAAGATTTACATCAACACCGACAAGCCTGAGATTGCCACCTGCAACTACTGTGGACTTCCTTTCGTAAGTTTACAACAGGCTGTGATAGTCTGGGTACGGACTCACAACTAATGTCGTGATATTGCAGGCAAATGAACACAACCGTAAACACCTCGAGTCCCTCCCCCAGACCTCCTACCCCCTTCAATAAAGGAGAGCGAGCCAGCCGCAGTCGGATTGACGTCGAGTGTGAAAATGTACCACGGTACCAGTCCGTGATGAAGGTCAAACAGGGACCTGTACATATAGAACTGAATAATGACGGAATGGAATTTTAATCGCTTCAAGGGGCACAAAGTAAGCCCGTACTGATTCGATTTGCTAGACAGCTACAATGCAATCTCATGAGCCGGTACGCGCATTCTGTCAATTTGTCGAGGAAGTTCGATTATAGGCCTGATTTACAACCTCTCCAGCGAACATGGACACCCCCGTCGGAACACGCGCACACTGTTCATGCAACATATCCACTACGACCGTATTCCTCCGCCTATCTGTATCTTGCCGGAGCTGAAGCTGTTTGAACGTTTGAAGAACAGCTGAGGTTTGGAAAACAGCCAAAGGGACGAGAAAAGAGATGCCGTCACATACTTGGACGACGTCCATTCCGCTGTGGCTGCAACGGACTTTCACCCCCAAAAATCCCTTAACTCCCCGGTTCATCCTGAATTACTGAACTCTAACCTTCAGGAGCTTTATGGTATGAATAGCCTACACAAGGGATCGGTAGATATTCAAGCCACCCACGTAGGTGTCATTTAGAAAATCGGTTCGCGTGACGGATGAAGAGTGCAGCGTGAGTCTAATGCCAGCAAACATCTGATTTCTATCTGGTCCTCAGCTCGTTCTAGTTGCATATTGACATTATCTCCATATCAACAGTTCATTTGCAACAGCATGTGAGATGGACAGGGTTTACTTGCGACTTTGTGAGCTGCAAGAGCTTTATTGCATAGTACAGCTCTTTTCAGTTTTGGAGGCTTTGGCCACCGAGAGGGCAGTGCAACGACCCGGGTATCACCGAGCGAGCGTCAAGGTGCCCGCTAGTTGTTGCTAAAAATATCATCGGCCCCGAAGGACCGGGAGTCATGGTTGGGACACTACATTTGTGGTGTACTTCCAATTGACACCCATCGGCCCCGTTGGGCTTGACCAGGCAAGGACCTGATCTGTGCATTCAATCCGTCAAAAGCTCATCTTGGTACCACATCACCATTTCTGTACATCGCAGATCAGTTGCCAAGCGAGCTCCAACATCTTAAAACTCGGCTTCTTTAATGGTAATCCTCGTACTTATGTAAAGCAAAGTTCACAGCTTTCAATGGAGGGCACGTCGTTAGGTTGCAAATCACCATGGTGCTGCTCCCATCAATGTATTCATTTGAATATCCCGAGAACAATAAAGTTTCTCTATTGGGGGGTTAGAAGATCATCAAGTCCCTAAAACATGGCCGCATTCATCCGCCGCTCCCACCTCGATGTTACTCTATCCTGATAGTGTTTCATGGCGCACTATGTATTCCACCGTCCATTGACCATGTTTTGCAACTTTGTTCTTATCCACCACAGCCGGCTCGGTTGCCGTGAGAAAAGTCAGGTCCTTGTCAAGGCAATCGAAGTACGATATGAACACCGCAGTGGCGGATGTATTGAGAAGGCTCTGGGGTATGGAGGTTAGTTTAGACAAAGCCAAGGCTGTGCGGCTTGAACGGCCCAGCCTATCTACGGATCTATGTACATACGCTCTTCACGTCTTTGGAATCTCAAATAGATTTAGGCTCAAGGTCCGTTCCCGTCTCCGCCTTTGTTTCCAACACAAAGTTCAATGGTAATCTCCGTCCTGCATCCAATGCCCATACTCACGGCATCGATATCAGTCGGCTCTTCCGACATTGTTCTGCCCAGCCTTCGATCAGCAAGCTGAACTGTCATGGCGCCTTGATAACCTTGGCCTGCGAATGTGATGTTACCCACATCCAATCGCTTGATAATATCGAAGGAGTCGGAAAGAGGGCTTCAGCATGCGGAACACAGCCCCGCGAGGAGACCCTAGGATGGCCCAGGGTGGCAGAAAGTGGCATTTTGATGGCCCCCCGTCCCCTGCTTTCGTCCGATCCGTTGGATCCGCCCAGCTGCACCTTGCGGGGGGTGGAGGCCATTCAGCACCAACGGCCTGCCGTGTTGCGGATCCTTGGAATTTTAGGTGCCTGGAACCGATGAACCTTGAACCCTTTTCATCTCATTCCTTTTTGTGCCCCGTCCCTTGCTCCACAGCTGCCCGCTCCAAGCTCTGACATCAAACTCGGAGCTTTTGGTGAGCTCCAAACAGCTAGCTGTGCGCACCAAGAGAACCCCTCTGGGAGACTGAAACCCCGTCACAGTGTCCCATTGTGATCTTGTGCAAGCCAACATTTGAATGTCAAGGCGCCAGGGCTTCTCGCTGTCTCCTCACGTTGCATTACCACTATTCCTACTACCTACCTCTTCGCATACCCTGCTCCGTCCTCGTAGGGCGTTGGAGACCCGGACACGGCGATCTTGACGTTACCTCGCGGAGGACGCCACTCCCCATTCCCGTTTCGTTCCAACAAGAGTAGAGTGTTCGCTGCGGTTGGTTGCCGTACTGCTTCTGCTGCTGTCATCTGTGTGCGTGGAATCGGACGCTTGTGGTTTTACATGCGTTTTTTGTGTCGTGGGCTTCTATCATCCCCCTACCCGTACGTACGCAGTGCATCTGCGTCCCTGTGAGGCCAGCACTGTCCCTCACGCCCACCCGGAGGGGATCTCTCAAACAATTCAGGCTATCTGACGACCCAGTACAAGTGAAAGCGCTCTGGGAATAACAGAACCAGTTCAGTTTGTCGTCAACGGTGCTTCTTTCAGACCAAGCCTGGTTCCATCCATCCCAGCTTACCCGCTTAAATCCAAGGCCTGTCAGCACCCGTCTGGGGTTATCTGCTGCTATCAGATCTATTACTGGAACCCAGCAGCGCAACAGCAGAGAGGAGGAAGACACTGCCTCTGTCACCACACACCATCACCACCACCGCCACCACCACCCCCCGCGCATCCGGCAGCCCACGTTTTCTGTCCAGGTAACGGGGTCCGGCTCTTTGATCGTCGCCAGCACAACACCGCCCTCTCTTTTTTCCTTTCATCTCGACTCCCCCGATAATGCCGTTCTATCGGTCTTCTAAGCACAACCGATCTCAACACAACCTGTTGGGGTCATCGATTGCTGAAGACCCTTCGCAGGCAACATCCTCCGTTCAATCAGGCGCGAGCCTGGGCCCGGGCGCTGCAAACCCCCCTTCAGCCTTGCCAAACTCGGCCTTCAGCTCTGGCTCCAACGAATCTTTTCAGATCGATAACGGCGCCGGAAGACTGAACCTCGTACAGGCCTCACAGTCGCAGCCGTCGCGCTTGGTGAATATTTACAACAATTCTGCCAGCGGCCCCTCTCATCCCTCTGATCCTGTTCCACAATTGCAACATTCTAACACGGTAACTGGTGTCGTTGAGTCTCGCCAGAGAGACCACGACTTCGCAGATCAAGTGGCCCGGTCGCACTCCCATCACTTCCCCCAAATTTCACCAACCCAGGCCCAACAGCAGCAGCAGCAGCAGCAACAACAACAACAGCAACCCTCTCCGGCCACGCCTCAACAGCACCACCATCTTCAAATTCAACAGCAGGCGCAGTCAAGTCTTGGATCAAACTCGGTTGATAATCTACCAGACACAGCTTCCATCCATAATTCCCCATTCTCCGGCCAGGGACAAGGCCAAGCGTTTGTTGCAAACCAGCAGCCGCCCCCACCCCCGCCCAAGACAAAGCAGTCCACGCGCAGACTGATCAAAAACATATTGAGTGGCTCGTCCTCGCATCGTAACCAAGATTCTCAATCTGGACAAAGTTCGTGGAGCGATCCTTCAGGTATTGTTCGCAGATCGTCAAAGCGTATAAGCCAGCCGCCTCCTCCTCCCGCCATCCGCACAGGTGTATCTCAGGTTTCGCTTGGCCATCCTCCCGACTGGCAAGCCCAATATCCTTCATCGCAGCCTTCGCCTCTCCAAACGGCAGAGTATCGAGACTCGTATCTTGTTGCGGGACAAGAAAGAGACCTGCATCTCCAGAACCCGCAAGACCAATACAACCCCACTATTCGACCGGTCCCTCCTGAGAAAGACGTCTCGCCTTATTCAGTTGGGGAAAGCGGGTACCATCAACAGCAAGCCCATTCGCAACTGCAGGTTAAGATCCCTCCAGATCTCCAGCAACAACAATTCAATCAGGCTGGGTTTGAGGCCGCACTGCAACAACAGCACCAGCAACAGCACCAGCAGGTGACCACCCAGGACCCATACCAGACCTCGTCGCAAGTGCAATACCAGGCGAGCACACATTCTGCAATCTCGGGCCATCTTGGCAATCCTCAGCATCAGAATCCTGAGACGGTATCGCAGCTTTCGCGCGAATCGCCAACCATCGATTCGGACCAGCGCTTAGCGACAAACGTTCAATCGTCTCTACAGGCTTCCGACGAGAGCAGTTACACGCCCCAATCCCAGGATATTCCCCTGCGTCAGAATCCACTCCCCGCGCAGGCTGCAGCCCAATCCCAAGGCAAGACCCCGCAACAGCAAGTCATGGCCCCACAACCCGGCGGACGCCGGTCCCAGGATACCACCGATAAGGCGACCGGGATTCGCGAGGTACAACCACCCCCTGGCCCCCCGCCAAGCTATCGCCAAAGTCAACAGCCCAGCATGAACAACTTGTCTCAATCCTCCAACGCAGGCGGTCAAAGCTCTAGCAGCCATCGCCAGGGAGACAGACAAGGCTTCGATGGATCGGGAGAAGTCCAAGGGCGTAACAGCCCCCAGCCGGCGTCCGAACGTGCTGCGGAGGACCAAGAAAAGACATTGAAAGAGCTGCGTGTGTAGAACCCCCGGTCCCCGTTCTGCCTCGTGAATTGCAAACTAACCAGGCGATTTCTATGACGCAGTGACGAAGTACAAGAACGTCAAGAGACTGTACTTTGACGGCAAGAAAGAAATCGAACAGCTGGGCAACCAAGTTGAGCAGCTCCAAAATGCAATCGCCAACCAGCGCATATCGCAAAGCCGAACATCGTTGGACGACAGCGAGTACACGACGCGGTTTAATCGCTTGCAGGGTGCCATCACAAACCTTGCCTTCAATATCAGGAAGGAATGGAAAACATTACCAAAGTGGTTGGACCCATACGTGACCGCCAATGCGCTGAAGACGGGCAAACAAGAAATGACCGCCGTCGGTCGCGCAGTCATAACTCGTTGGGTGGTAGATGAGATCTTCAATCGCTGCTTTCACCCCGGCCTGGAAGCTGAGCTAAGCAAACAGCTTAGGACGATTGAGCAGAACATCAGACACTTTAGTTACACGTTGAACAGCCAGGAAGAATACGATGCGCTGACCAGCAAGGTTGTCAGCTGGAGAATGACCACACTGGAAGGACTTCAGGACGTTCTCAGGAGCGCCGAGGCTGACGATCATAAGACTAATTTCACCCGGCGCGCCACTAGCAATCTGACCGCTCACCTTTTCCAGCACCTTACGGAACCTGCGCCCGTTGGAGTCGACGGAAGTGTAGGCATGATTGTGGAGTTGGCGGTAGGGATTGCCAGCAACCTGCCCCTTGAGAGCCGCGATGTTGCCATCATCTATCCGTTGCCAGAGCAGCCAATTCAGACCAACCTCATGGAAGTCGAAAAGACGCCATTACCACCCCTGGAGTCGCGCCCGTCCGATGCCAGCGAGGAAGGGACCGCAGGTGACGGAGCCAAGGAGTCCTCCAAGGAGCGCCGCGGCGACAAGGCCAGATCCGGTATGTTAAACACCATTCATCACACCATAGGCGGGAGCAGCGCCAGCGGTCCACCCGGTAGCCGGAAGGGAAGTATTGCTGACAATTCGACGCTGCCGACAGCACAATCTGGGGCGGCTTCACAATCCAAGGATGCTGGAAGGGTTCGCTTTGCCGGGTCTTTTGGTGTGGAAGTTAGGGGTCGCCATGTTCTGATTAAAGCGCCAGTCTGGACTATTTGAGGCCTTGACGTGTCGATGATTTCCGCGCTTTTCTCATTCCTTTAAATCTTCTATCTACTCGTAATTGGCCATAAGTAGGGACGCATATACGGCACTATGTGTGCACGGAGAGAGACAAGTTGTTGAGAACCCGTTCTCCTGAATGTTTCTCAAGCTGTGAAAGTGGAACAGGGATGACTTGAGCAGACGGATGAGTGAACTCGGTTTGAAAGGGCAGTCATAGCCCCGTTGCGGGCAATGGCATGCAGATGCAAATGAAAATCGGGAATGGATTTATGTGACCTGCTTATGATGCTAGACTTCACATTTTGGGGATTTATCTAATATAACATGGGGTTGCTGGGGGGGTTCGCATTTCTTCAAGGGCAATGAACCACGGCATAGTCAATTCTCTTCTAATTCTCTTCTAAGCTCTCTGGGATGGGACATCCCGATCTACAGTACCTGTTATACTTGTGTGTGTCTGAGGGATTCATGTCGAAGTACATAGTACCTAACACTTTATCGATGCATAACTTATACAGCCTTCACCGCCTTCCGTTTAAGGTGGGGTTACCCCTCCATCCCCCAAATCGCAACTTTCCGCGCTTTCTGCCGCATCGCGAGGAGCAGTGCTGGAAGAAAGATTTGGCTTCGGAACGAGCAACTTAAATTTCACAAGAAGAGGAATACCACGAGTGGAACGAGTCCAAGCTCTTGTCGCGCGAAACCTTAGATATCTTCAATTGGCTCCTTCGATTACGAAATTCGAAGCCACCAACAATGTCCGCCGATAACACGACGCCCGTCACCACGACGGCGGGTGGTGAGAAGCCCGCTCACCTGGAACCCTCCAAGTTGGGCACGAAGGAGTAGTGAGTTCCTCCCCTTCCCTTTACCAACCAATCCTTTCAGTACCAGCACCAAACCTCCGTCCAACCTCCGATTCCCTGTCCTAACTAACCTCTCCCTTCCTCCCCTCTCCAGCTGGGACGCCCTCTACACACGCGAAATCTCCAACCACGCCTCCAACCCCTCCGACGAAGGAACGGTCTGGTTCGACGACTCGGACGCCGAGAACAAGATTGTGCAGTTCCTCGACGAGCAAGAACACGAGCTCTTTTCCGGTATCTTTTCGCGAGACGATGCGGCGATTATGGACTTGGGGTGTGGTAATGGCAGCCTGCTGTTCGCGCTGCACGATGACGGTTGGGAGGGAAGGCTGTGCGGTGTGGATTACTCGGAGCAGAGCGTGGAGTTGGCAAGGAGGGTGCTGAGGACGAGGGTTTTGGGAGAGGATGTGCCTGAGGTTGAGGAGGGAGAAGGGGAAAAACAGTCACCAGCAAAAGAGGAGGGCACACAACAAGAACAAGATGAAGAAGATGAAGAAGAAGAAGAAGAAGAAGAAGAAGAAGAAGAAGAAGAAGAAGAAGAAGAAGAAGAAGAAGAAGAAGAAGAAGAAGAAGAAGAAGAAGAAGAAGAAGAAGAAGAAGCGGACGTGGGAATCGAGTTCAAAGTCTGGGACGTCCTCAACGGCGACTTTTCCACTGTCCAAGCCCGCCCCCCATCTTCCCAACAACCCCTAGAAGGAGACAAAAACGCCGGCTGGGACCTAGTCCTAGACAAAGGCACCTTCGACGCCGTCTCGCTCTCCGACTCGCGAGACTCTCGAGGCCGGCGAATCTGCGAGAACTACGGCGCGCGCGTACTTCAGCTGTTGCGCCCCGGTGGGTTTTTCCTAGTGACCAGCTGCAACTGGACCGAGGAGGAGCTGAAGGGGTGGTTCGAGACGGACTTTGCCGAGGTTTATGACGGTACGGAGAAGAAAAAGTTGGGCCTGAGGCAGGTAGGTAGGATTGAGTACCCTAGTTTTAGTTTTGGGGGTGTCAAGGGGCAGACGATCAGCACGCTTTGTTTTCAGAAAAGGGATATTTAAGGGGTTGAGAGGTGTGGTGGCCAAGTTGCGGAGAAAACGGGCGAGGATAATATGTAATGGGTTCAAGAGGCGATTTGTGAAATGCTCAAAAACCATGTGCGGGAAGGATGTCTGGTTGATGGAGTACCACGTCTTGATGCACATATTTGGAAAGACTACAAATGACTTCGCATCGGGGTTTCTACGACGTCCACGAATTACGGATTGTTACGTGATGTCCGTCTGTGTGCTCACTTTATCTGTGATCGCTGATTATTATTATCTCTTGTACCAATATTTCTCATATTGGCATGCCTGCTCCTACAGGCATCTCGGGTCGTAGTTGCTGGAGCCCATATATTCCCTTCCACTCTATCCTCTGATGGGCACATAGCCAGCCAACCATGCCCAATTATTTAAGTATATACTCACGAACAGAAGGCAATAGAACCTCCGCCATCGTGTAGCGTACAATAATTTTACCACAGAAAAAGTGAAGATGTCAACAAGAAAAGTGCAAAACCATGTTCCTGAATCTGTAATGTATGAACAACGGTGATGGTACAATGCCCGAGTGACTACGACAAGTCTAAGGAAGAAAAACTGGCCATTTGTTTATCATAGTCCTAACGCTGCTCTGTCGGCTCATTCATTGGTGGTAACAAAAACTTTCTTCATTAGGTGGGACTCTCTGCTTTCCTATGTTCTTCCGTCTCAAAATCCGTTGTCTATGGAGATGTGTTCATGGGCTCCCCACCGCTAGGAACAGGATTTCCTGCCTCAGTGGCAGCTCCCATAAGAGGACCAGTTGCTTGAGCCGCAGCAGTCGTCGCAAAGTACCGCACATCCACATCATCATCCTTTTGCAACTTCTCCAAGCACGACATGATGCGCTGCTGGATGAGCTCCTGACCCTTGGGCGACGGGGTGGCAGGCTTGCCCTCCTTTTCTAGCGTATAGATGGTGCCCTCGTCGGGCAGACGACGCAGAACACCGATAATGATGCCATATGTCTTTGCGACGTTAAAGCGAATATTGGGGATCGAATCGGCTGTGAGCTTTTCCAGCATCGGAAGGATGGACTTAGCAATCACATCCAGACTGACAACGGTAGCCAGGGTCTGTAAACATTAGTCAGACAGAAACTTCACTGTGTTTCGTACGCCATTGAGTCTCTTACCGTGATAGCAAAGCAAGTGGTCATCCGGTAAAGGTAGTTGGGGTGGGCACCCATAGCCATAACCTTGGGAATAATAGCCTCGCTTGCCCATTCAACACCAAACACCTCGGTCAGCTTCCTTAGGTTTTGAGTAGCGGCCTCACGAATGGAGAAAACAGTATCTCCGAGCCAGCCCATGCAAAGCTGGCTGAGCTTCTCGTCGAAAAACTTGACGCCCAGCTGGCTGGCAAGAAGCGGGATGTAGTCGATAATAGCCAAGCGTACACGCCACTGCTTATCTTCGGCTAGCTGTACAATGGCCGGAAGGAGAGACTGAGAAAGGAGGTCGATGCCGATAACTTGGTTCACAAGCTCCAGTTTGCTGATGATGTGAAGGCGAACCTCTGGGAACTCGTCCTTGAGCATCTGAAGGAACATGGGCAGAAGATGATCAATAGTCCTTGTACAATAATTAGCATACGCGTCAAATGACCGTATCTGACTGCGGGAACGTACTCTTGCTTGCCCAAGATAGGAGCGAGGCCGCTGATTTGTGTGCCAAGGGCAGCTCTGACATGCTGGGAGCTATCCGAGACGAGATCCTCAACACTTCCCATGATGTCATTCAGGAGAACGTTGCGGTCAACCAAAGCACAGAAGCCAGGGATCTGGCCGGCGATGGCAGTCCGCACCTCAGCCTCGTTATCTTTCAGGAGTTTTACGAATGCAGGAACAAGATCTCTGGACACAACCTCATCATCAACCGCCTTCGCAATCTGTATGTGCTGTTAGTCATCCAAGAAGCGATATGAGGGGAGGCCAAGCGCTTAGCGCGACCACGAACCTTCTCAAATCTGTCGGCGATCATATAGCGGACCCTCCAACTCTTGTCCTCTATCAAGCTGCGTAGCGATGTGAGGAGCACGGTGTGGCTGGCCTGTTGCTCTTTGGGCACAACCTCCGCAATGGAGATCAAAATCTCAACTGTAAGGAGTCTGACGCTATCCTGGTCGTCCTGGGCGAGGTGTTGGAACATGGGTATCATTTCCTCGATAACGATGGCAGCCGGCATCTCCTTCACGAACTTGGCCATGTTGGTGGCGGCCTGACGGCGCACCATGGGGGTCTCATCGTGGACGAGCTGTCCAAACTGCTGGCGCAATTGTTCTTGAATAGGCGGCGAAACTTTCGAGTAGGGGGTTGTATACAGGCCGCATGCGGAAACCTTGGACGTAAACCAGTCGGCCTTGGAGAGGCGAATCGTAAGAGGGATAAAGTATTCTTCAACTTGCTGCGAAGAGAGTTGAGTGCAGATCTTGTTCAATGATTCGACAGCCTAAAACGTTTGTCAGTACACATGCGGATCGCATGACAAGAAGCCAGGAAATGGTCACGTATCCGTACCTTGTCTCGCACCACGGGCTCCTCGATAGCAGCGAGGTTCTCAAGGGGGGAAAGAAGGACATGTCCCCATGCGGGGCCCCCCACGTACTCGACAAAGTTACCAAGCTCTTCACTCAGGGCAACGAGGACCTCATCTTCATCTTCAACCGATTCTACATTCAGAAGTGTCAGCAGCCGTATCCAAGAGTCCCAGCGGCTGTGTAGCCGGAGGCCGGCGCAGGTGGCTTTGCTAGGCTGAAGCTGGGTCGAAGGGTTGGCTAACCATCGAGAAAGGGAATCAGCTCCTCGCGAGTGCGCTCGGGACCCAAAGCAAGGGCGATAGTCGAGAGACGGTGGATGGCGTTTAATCGGAGGACGACCTCGTCGTGCTGCCCAAAGTCAATCAGGATTTACAGCCCATCAACTAGACAAGAAGGGATAGTCAGGGGTTCTGGCCGTCCGGGTCACCGCCATCATACCTTCAATTCGTCGATTAGCACGGCGATGGGGAAGAGCTCGTCGTTCGCGTTCGTCGCGTCGGCCATTGTGGGCGATTTGTGAAGTGGACGCGGAAGATCGCGGGGAAGTATACAGTCGGCGAGCGAGGCGGATTTGGACAAACTGGTTGACTTGGTACGGATGTTCGCTTGCGGGCGTGATGCAATAGACGGGGGGGTGTGGACTGGACTGGTAGCCGGTCGGGCGACGCTGTGCGGCGGCGGTACCAATGACTGTGATTGTAGTAGAGAGAGGAAAGTGGATGCGTGCGTGTGCGCAACTTGGTAACTGTGTTGCTTGGGCGGGCAGCTAGGTAGGTTTCTTGTGTTTAGGTTGGTTTTGGTTGCTTGGTTGAAAAAGAAAAAGCAAGAGTGACGCTTCGTCGGGTCGAAATCGGAATTGGATGCGATCTCTCAGCAGTAAGGTAGGTAGTTTCGCACACGGCGCCACGACACGGCGGGCAGCAAGCAGGCAAAGAATGATACTGGACGGTTTTGCTTGATAATAGGTAAGGGTTGCTTGATGGAGGGTTGACGGTGGTTCCTGTTCGGGGGGAGGACTCACCTACACTAGGTACACCTAGAGGTGGAGATCGGAGCGAGCTTGGTGGTCCCCGCAGGGCCGCAATAAGGAGGAGCAGCAACGCAGCAGCCAGGGCAGCAGGGCAGCACTTAAGGTCACCTAACCAACGGCGGGACACAGCTGGACCCGGTCTTCGACACAAATTGACCTGACGCGCAAAGCTGGGTCCAGTTCATGACGGGGGCCGGGCGGACAAGGGTGAGAAGGAGCACAGGCCACTCGCCATTTCAGCTTGGGACGTAGCCGCCCGTTCCCGTCGTAGGGGTGGTCCCTCAAGGCGCACCGGGCACCACTTACTTGCCTGCTGCACCACGAGAGTTAGGTAGGTACCTCTATCGATGAACAACTTCTTTCGCTTCCAATTCGCGACGTAAGCCGCTCTTTCTGTTCAAGTTACCTTTCGTCATGAGGTAGGGTTGGGAGACTGAGATAAATAGGACGTGGTACAGCTCCGGTAGAATGGCAACTGCAATCAAGATGCAAGAAGGGGAGAATGTTTAACACCGACTAACTGCCTTGTTACAGCCTAAGGTGAGTTGTTACAACATCACGTATTCCAATTCTGACTCACTACAACATTATCACATGTGAACACCGGTTTGGGAATGTATGCTGTTCATATTTTGCTCTCTTATAAAGTCAGGCATTACTGCAACTAAAGCATCGCTAACCTTGCTTCCTCAGGGAACATGCTGTTCCAACGTGCTCTTCTCATGACGGGAACCAACTGCCCACATATTATTCTACTCCTTCTCCATCAGTCTTCACCACTCATCTAACTCATACTCTTCATCTCCTGCTCCACCAGTTCGTTTTGCGAATTCCGCCCGGAATCAGAGCCAGATCCTCCAATCGAACTTCGCCCTGTGCTCCCACCGGTGCCGCCGCCAAACATAGCCTTTCCAAGCGACAATCCGGACACCCTCTCCTGAAGAGCTGCAAAAGTGCCCGTGGGATCTCCAGCGGCGACATTTCGGTTTGGTGGCGCCGGACTTCTAGTCCCGGGCGTCAGAATCTCGTGGGCCGACTCCACGCCTGCAAGCACGGACCCTCCGGCCGCGGTAGCTGCCAAGCCCGGCGGCTGCGGGCTCCGGGTGGGGCTTACCGATGTCCGCGATGGGGCGCCGGACGATGATGGGTTGCTGTTCACATCAATCGTACCCGCATCGACAGGCCTTGAAAGCTCTGATGACGATGAAGCTTGCTGATACGCAGCAACACGCTCTGCTGTTGCGGCCAAGGCATTTAGATCGCCATTCATCTCATCATCCGTCCGGTTGAAGAGTTGGTGCCACCACCGCACGTCGTCGCAGCGAGGGAATAGTATGCGCTCACGGCCCCGGACGTGATCATCAACTGTGGCATCGTACTGCTCGTTCGTGAACTCCGAGCGCCGGCTCAGAAAGTAGGCCCACACGCTTCTTGTACGTTCTTGTAGCCGTGCTTCGTGGCGCTGGCGCTCGTTGTTAAACAAAAAGGTACCGTACTGACAAGAATACACATGGTAGTATAAGCGGCGCAGAAATCGTTCGTTAAACTCGAAGCGAGTCGGGTGTTGCCTGAGGAGCTGGTAGGTGGCGTCGAGGAACTGGTGGAAGACAGGCGAGATATCCTTGGGTCTTGTTGCCATATTCTCGGCAACAGCAGGTTCCACGCCGGTCTCGATAGGCGTCCCATCCGCATCAGTAACGGCTTCCTTCCCGCCGGCCGTTTTCTTGCTCCAAAATCGCTTCGCGCCGGCTATGGCGTTCTCGAAATGGTCTGCCCGACCATCATTTTCCCCTGGCTTCACGGCGGTCCCTGCAAGTGCATCGCCGTCCACTGTAAACCAGTCCTCATGACTTAGATGCCCTGACCGAAGGTGAAACATGTGTCCAAAAGACAGCCAATCCTTCTCAACCAACACAATGAAGCCTTCGAGAGTGCGATAATAGGGATCAAGCATCAGCTGAGAAAGGGCACTGAGCTGGCTTGTGCGATCCCATCCATCGGAACAGTGAATGAGAACATTGGAGTGCTGGATACCTACTCTTTGTGCAATCAAGGCTGATCCGGACAAGATACCGCTTATGTGCTTCAGCCATTTACTCTTGGCCAAGAGTTCTTTGTTCGGTGGGAAAGGTGACACATCGGCGTCCTTGATGGCGCTGATAACCTTTTCTAACGACTCTCGCATGACGTGAATGTTGTCTATGTTCAGGTATTCTTTCTTGGCGAATTTGTAGTGCTCCATGTTTTCGGTGCCGTATCCTATTGCCTGCATCGCGTAGGAGTTAATCACTGGTCGAGCGTCGACGATCAGGTTTTGTTGCTGGGCTCCATATATCAGTCTCTTGCCAGTCTTTCCGTCGTAAAGTATAGTGCCACCAACAGTAAGCTCATCCTCCGCCTTCTGAATATCCGACATGGAACCATCCGCGTTCTCGCTCTCTATCATTAGGTCAGCCGTACTCGGGGGCGGGCTTTCAACTGGCATGTCGAGAGAGGTGCTGCCTGCAAACTCCGTCGAAGCTGAAAAGCACGCGCTGACTAGAGATTCATCCTGAATGTTGCGTTTGAACGATATGCCGGGGAGTGGTTGCGAGCACCGTGTAATGGTACAGTTGTTGACGGGATGGCGGTAGGTGAGAGTTGGTATTCGCTGCCGCGACCGGTAACTCGCAGCATATTTCAGCGTTGCGTCGGATATTTTGGATGGCACAATAAGCAAGGCCGGATAGGTCGGGGAGAAGGAGTAGTCCTTGTTGATCGTAGAGATCCTCCATCCCAGTTCGCGTGACTTTTCGCTTATCCCTTGCCGGCGGAACTCGGCTCTGACATCGTATAGGTCCCAACCGTTGATTTTGCTTTCGGGTGAGTTTGGCGGAGGTCGGTAGCTGAAGGCCAGCAGCTTATCGACGCTTCCTAGCTTGCATGTTCTGGACTTGATGAACTCGAATGCCTCCCGGGCTTCCTTGTCGCCTGCGAAGTTGAAGCTAACATATGTAAAATCTCTGAACCGAATACGTATCGAGGAAGGAACGCCACTAGAAGGGGGCGTGGGCCGTAAGGTGCACTGTGAAATAATGTGGAAGGCAAACCACACTTGCTTCACACTCTTTTTCAGACTCGGATCTGCGGCAGTCAAAGACTCGGGGGGGAAGCGGAAAACGAGATGGTAGTCACTGAGCGCAAGGTCGCCGAGCTCCGGCTTTCCGCCTCGCAAGGCATGGATGTTTGCGAAAGTCTGGTATTCGGTTCAGTAAAGAAGACGAGACGTAGTTGGAAAGGTAGATGATGGAGAGCATACGTGCTTGAGGTGAGGCGCCGCCATCGTGATGTTGGGAGGCAATACTAACTACCCCGGCACTATGAGGCGCTGTGCAGCCGAGGTAGGAGACCGGACGTCCGAGACCCAATGTGTCCGGACAGGAGCGCAAGACGTGTTGACAAATGCGGTTGCGGCGAGAGGAACGGGGAGAATAGTAGAATCTGCTTCGCTTAAGATGTATCGTAGTTGTACAATAGTGCCAGAATGCAGGACTGGGAAACAGAAAATGTACCAATTAGGAACATGTGTCCTGATATAAACGAAAAGGAGGAACTCCGCCGCGCAGTCACTGGTGCCGGTCAACGATAAGTGATTCACGCGGAACTTGTTGGGATTTCAAGAGATTATCCCCGAGGTCCACGTGGGATCGATTTGGAGGACAGGTATTTGAAGCGACAGGGACTGATAGCTTTGTAAGTTACAGAACCTCTGCTGCTAATCCTCCTGCCGTCCGGATCCAAGGGTATGTGAATAGTGACTGCGATTTGCGAACAAGCAGAAAGTCAGCATCTGGAGTGCAACGCGCTCTGGAACCGGGGAAGCGACGATTGACGTCGATGGGCACCCCACTATCAGCGCCACCCCGAACCCGACTGAGGACGGAACGTTCATGGTGCCTGCCGGTGTCAAAAATTGCCCGAGCCAGCAACGACTGACAATCAAAAGGAAGTGCACGAGGTGGTCTGGGCGCAAGGCTGGGCCTGGACGGAGACGGGAAGCGCAAGGAAGCACCTCAACCCCACATGTGAGATCTGTACGTATCTCCCTTTTTGGGTTGCGCTTGGCGGCTCCCAGCGTCGGGCGCGCAGACGGGGTGCGGATTGCCAGCCGCTTGCCAGCCGGGATGAGCCGTGGCGGCTGTTAACCCTACTCGGCCAGCCACTCAGAAGCGGTAGAGGGCAGCCCACCAAGGAATTCGCAAAAAAAGTAGCTGTGCCGGTCGAATTTCCCCCCCATCTTTTTGAAAAGTCCGGTGAACACCGCGAGAAGGTATCCCACTCCATCCTCCTCAGCAGCACAATTGAAGCCCTCAGGACCTTCATAGCCAAATCGCAAAAATGGCTGTTCCCGGCACCCAGATGTAAGCAACCAGAGCAAACCAAGAGCATGGAAGCCTCCTACATGTCTACTACACGTCTTCACGACTGTCTACACGTCGGTGCGATCTGCTGCTGCTGTGGGGGTGCAAATGCAAAACGAGGCGTTCAGTCACGAAGCCGGGGAGATATGCTGCCCGCTTGTTGCAGCAGATTCAGCCGACGGCGTGGGATTTAGAAAGTGGTGGCTTGGAAAATAACACAAGCGGCGTTGATGCTGACTGCTTCTCTTTCTGTCTACAGTTCCAAGCGCAGAAAGTTCGTCGCTGATGGCGTTTTCTACGCCGAGCTGAACGAGTTCTTCCAGCGCGAGCTCGCTGAGGAGGGCTACTCCGGTGTCGAGGTCCGCGTTACCCCGACCGTCACCGACATCATCATCCGCGCCACCCACACCCAGGAGGTTCTCGGCGAGCAGGGCCGCCGCATCCGTGAGCTCACCTCGCTCATCCAGAAGCGCTTCAAGTTCCCCGAGAACTCTGTCTCCCTCTACGCCGCCAAGGTCCAGAACCGCGGTCTCTCCGCCGTCGCTCAGTGCGAGTCCCTCCGCTACAAGCTTCTCAACGGTCTTGCCGTCCGTCGTGCCTGCTATGGTGTCCTCCGCTTCATCATGGAGTCCGGTGCCAAGGGTTGCGAGGTCGTCGTTTCCGGCAAGCTCCGCGCTGCTCGCGCCAAGTCCATGAAGTTCACCGATGGCTTCATGATCCACTCCGGCCAGCCCGCTAAGGACTTCATCGACTCTGCCACTCGCCACGTTCTCCTTCGCCAGGGTGTCCTCGGTATCAAGGTTAAGATCATGCGCGGCTCTGACCCCGAGGGCAAGTCCGGCCCCCAGAAGTCTCTCCCTGACGCCGTCACCATCATCGAGCCCAAGGAGGAGCAGCCCGTTACCCAGCCCATCAGCCAGGACTACGGCGCTAAGGCCGCTCAGGTCCAGGCTGCCGCTGAGGCTGCCCGCCAGGAGGAGCAGGCCGGTGAGGAGGAGGCCGCTGCCCCTGCCGCTGAGGAGTAGGATAACCTCAAGGTCGGGTCAAATGAGGTTTCGCCTTCGAACGAGGTGCCTGTGTCTTTCGACGAGCCTGAGGTTGCTCCTGTGGCGGAGTTCCATTTCGCCGAGGACGATACTACCATTCGCTGGTAAAGGACGCTGGGTTTGGGCGGGGTCTTTTTTCAATGTGCTTGCAAGCTCAAACAAACACTGGGTTGCGGAAATGGATGGGTTCACTTTGGCGTCAACTATGGTCATAGCACATTTGCATTAAGACTTGCGAAAAGGGGAAATGGCGGACGGATTGTTGCTTGGGATTATAATTGTTTTTTGTAACCCCTTTACAAAGCAGCAACGTCGGGATATTCCTGACTTCGCCAGGGAAATAAGATACCTGAACAAACCCTCCTTCCTTGCCTTGTTTTGCGATTGCCAATTGTGCCATATCCTTTTGTGTGATGATGGAGACGATCAAGGGAATATAGGCACTGACCTAAGTGACGCATGTGAAGAAGTACGTTTGTAGGTTTGTTGATATGATATCATGGCCTATCTCGGTGCATGGAATGTATACACGTAAACATCCGCCACTTTCAAGGGCAACGCCCCACAAATACCCAACTGATCAAGATCTTCCATTTTCGATGGTTTCACACCGAACATTTGACGAATACAGGAGGAGTGATGAATGTTAACATACATTTGGTGAGCTCTGTCCTTACTGACAGACTCCTGCTCAATCGTTCAAGACTTGACAAAGAGATACTTCGAGACAAGTAATCTGGATCTTGTTCTGGCACCAGTCCTGAGTATAGGAAGAGAGGAAAAGGATATGGGTGTTTGAGAGAAAGACCAATCAACTTGGGAGTACAATGGTGTACAGTGCCTAGGGGCAGTCAGGAGTCGAAAAGGTTGGGATCATGTGGTGGTGCCATGAAGGCGTAACACATCGTAAGGCACCCGCTCGTACTTGGAACCGATAAGAAACAAGGTAGAGATACTTTACACGTTGCACTTAACTCACGGAGAAGAAGAAGAAGAAGAGTCAGGACACGCATAACACTTTTCTTGTTGTTTTGGTTTCTCAATCATCCATCCGTCTTGGTCCCCATATATAGATGATTCCCTTGTGACTTCCCTCCTCCTCCTCACTTCCATATGTTGTCTATATCTCCGGTCTTTGCTCTGTTTAATCTGGAAGGTGTTGTGTGTATAGATCGACAATCAATTCGCTCCAATCGTTACAGATTTTGGGTGCCTCGGGTTCTTCTTCACTTATACGCCCCTCTTTATACCTCTTCGTTTACCCTGAAGACTTTCATGGTATACACTCAGATAAATCTTCAATTATCCCTTCAGAAGAGGGAACTCTCCTTGAAGCAGACCTCGAGACTGCGGTCTCAGATTAGGCAAGTTCGGTTGAACTTGGTGGTGGGGCCCATACACCGATTCTCATCGTTTTTTTTTTGTTTCTCGCGCTCGACATCGTGGTAGAGTGGAACGTGAACTTCCCGTCCGTTGCACTAAAGGCTAGGCGTGCATCTGTGGAAGTAGATAGCGTAGGTAGAATGGTTTGGTACATGAGGATCTGGACTGCGCCTTGAGCCCATGCCTTGCTTGCCCGCCGCTCTCTTTGTAGACCGGCAAACGTTGGACAGAGAAATGCAACAAGCGACATGCCCCTCTTTAGGTCCCCAAATAGCCTAGTCGGTCTATTGTACGTAAGAAGAAGAATATGCGAAGTAAAACAGGAGAGAGAAGAAAACAAGGAAAAAGGAAAGGGTGTAAAAAGACCTTTTCTCGGCTTTGTGTTATCGGGGTATCGTATTCATCTCTCTCCAGACTTTTTCCTGTTTTGCATCTCTATTGAATCGCCGACCGCGTGTTTTTTCCCGTTAGGGGCGAGACGTCCCCCTTGTGTTGTTGATGTCGTCGTTGTGTTTCCATTGACTGGGCCTCCGTTGCTGTGTCTGAAGCTGCCGATCATGGGCGAGCGGGGGTCGTCATCCTCCTCCTCTGAATCCTCGGCAAGATCGGCCAGCCCCAGCGCCTCTTCTTCGTCGTAAGCCCTCATAAGACTGTCGCGGTCGCGGTTGCTGCCTGTGCTCATACGTCCCAGTGAGCGCCGTCTCTCCATACTCATGCGGGTTTGCAGACCTGAGATCATGTCGGTACCAGTGGCATCGCCGCGGCTCCGTCGTGCGAGGTGCTTGGTGCCATCCGGATCGCCGCGGCTTAGGTTGAGCAGGTAGACTCCGGTAAAAGTGACCAGGAAACCACAAAGAAGCGAGAGGGTGGCGACAGGCTCGGTAGTGTTGAAGCCCTTGAAGAGGATGAACGAGGCGCAAAGGGTAGCGGTGGTGAATGTGACGTAGTACAAAGGGTTGACACTACAGATGTATGTTAGCTGAATCCCCAGTGGTTTACCAGATCTTGGACCTTCAACACATACATGTTGGTAGGGAATTGGCTGAGTGCTTTGTTGAAGTAGTTCATCTGCGTCAGAATGCAGACGGCGGTGATGATCATGAAGACATAGGTCGACGGATGGGTGAATTGGTTGTTGCCCGCGAATGTCAACTTCAGCGCAATGCCAAAGGCCTTGACAGCCATGACCGATATCGAACCCACGGTGGAGCAAATACTAAGATAGACGAGGGGGTTTTTCTTGCCGTAGACCGGAGCGACCCTGTAGATCATGAACCCGGCAAAGCCACATACCAGAGCCGAGTAAAGGAGAAACCCTGGTAAATTCAGTTAGCCTAGGCACTGTGAAGCGAATCCGAGATCAGGAGCCAAGACATACCCGGCTGGATCGCATAGTTGAGAATTTGGTCGATCGTCTGGATATCCTCGTCAGGGGGAGCATGGAGGACAATGATGACAGCACCGATGAGACAGATGGCGCTTCCCAACTTGCCCAAGGTTCCAAGCTCTTCGTTGAGGAAGTACGATCCCAGTACAGCTCCTATTAGCACCGCCAGCGCACCTAGTGGAGTGACCAGAATGGCTGGAGCAAATGCGTATGCCGCAAAGTTGCAAATCTCGCCAGCAACCACTATAGGGGGGAAAAAATGTCAGCCCTTTTGGTGTCTCTAACAAAACAGCGATTTTTGGTTGTGGGTATTCCATACTGCATCCAATTCCCGCCCACCACATGGGATTCTTGAGGTATACGTAGCCATCTCCTTCGAAGCCGTGTCTCTCTTCTGCTTGATTCAATCCCTACAAGAAGCTGGTGTTAGCTCCAGCATGTTCTCTCGCTATGCATCTGGTAACCGCAGCCGAGGCAAGTTTAAGTGTGGCCGGAGCGGACGAGATGCTGGTACGGTACCTTCTTTGTGATCACGAAACTCGTGCCTGCGTGGTGGAGTATGTTAGAGGCCATTGTCCCTGAACGTTATCTGGGGAATATGCAAGCATACCAATTGCTAAACTCGATGTCATGGCTAGCGCCAGACCGATATACCTGTCCACATATCCATCAGTATGAATGATCTCCTCTTGACCGGAACCCAGGTCCTGGCTGTAATGGGGAGGCTGTTGCTCTGGCCTACTTTTCTTCCAACATCCACGACATCTTGAATCAAACGAGTGTAACGACAGCTAAGAATTGCGCTGCACAGTAGTTCGTAAGGTAGCCGTGGTGGCTGTTGGTCTCTCCCAAGTTCGAATGGAGAGCAAAATCGAGACTCGCGCCGGGCGAGGTTTACGAAGAGAAAGGAATTCCGAGGCTTAGTTGGTCGTCGTGAGGTTCGGATGCATCCGCTACGCGCCCGGAAGCGAACGGCAGACAATGGTAACGGATGGGGGCAATCGGTACGTGTAAAGAGCGACGACGGCGAGAGTTGTCAAGCTGTGTGTGTCTGTTTTGCAGGCCCTCCCTAAGGTCAGGTCAGGGTGGTTTCGCTCGTTCGAGATCGGTTGTGTAAGGCAAGGTGTCGTCGTGCGTCTTGGAGTTTTGGACGTTGGTGGTGGCGGTGGTGGTGCCTCCTCAGTGGTGCCCTGAGGCAAGGTTGCTGTTGGGGAATCTCTGGTTCTTCGAACGGTGTTTTAGCGCGCAGGGTACGTGGGCGGCCCAGGTATAAAGGCAAGTGAAGGTCGTAGCGTTTGATGAATTGTGCTAGGAAAATCCGTAGCACTGTCCAGTGTCACGGCAGCGGGCCAGGTGGTTTCAATTCGAGGGGCACCTGTTTCTGTTGCTGCAATCTGTGTGTGTTCCTGGGGGTTGTGGTCGCTGTCGATGGGTGCGTCGGCGCTGTGGTGAGGCCAAGTGCAGTCAGTGTCTGGGTGTCGAGCCAGTGGGGGAGGGAGAAACCATGGAGCCAAAACGTTTCAAGAATCACAAGAGGCGTGGATTCGGCACCCCTGTCGGAGATGTGGTCGAACCCCTGGATATAAGTATGGCAACCTGGTCACTCTCAAGACTGGGAGGGCGCCCGTACCTGTTAGTCAGCCACTCAAAACCCCATCCCAAAGCGCCCGAGCTGGGCCAGGACCACTTGCTTCCTTGCATATCTACTGCGTATAAGTATGTACGTACGTGCTTAAGATGTGAAATGTCTGGGTGTCCAGGGCATGCTGTCCGAGCACGCTACTTGAAAACAAGTTAATGTTTGCCGACGAACGCGTGTGTACAGTCAGGTAAAAAGTATTGGCGATGGCTGTATCAAACGAACACGCCGGTCAGCCTCGGCCATCACAGTCACTTGGGATTTTCCATGCGCAGCGCGACCTGCAGTTCGAATGTAGAAGGATATTTTTCGTAGCCTCGTCCGTGCTGACCGTCCGGCGCCTTCCTTTATTTGTCCTCCAGCAGGTGGACCCTATTCTGGTAGGTACTCGACTCAAGGGATGGAAGTTGAACTGCGTTGGTGTTAAGCTCGGGATCATTCCTTCCCTTGTTCCTCGACATCAGTCAGGGTGGATTCGCTGCGAGTGTGTCTGACCTTCCATTGATCTTTCCAAATTTGGTTGTCGTAGGCCCGAAAGGGTCACTGCCCCGCACTTTTATTTTAGTCTTGGTGACTTCATTCCCTGTGCCTGGCATACCTCTAGGTATAGTTGAGAGTCTAAACATGCTGATGTGTGTGTAGGAGGAGATAGGGGCACTTTTTTTAAATTCTATCTCCGATGCTTCAAAACCCCTGTGGTATGGTACCTACGCACTGAGATGCCGATGATGTACTTCTCCAGTAAACGTTCTGGACGTTCCATCCGCATACCTACCTACGAAAGAAACAAAATCCAGATGACCTGAGCTTTATAAGCGGCCCAAGTTGAAACGTGACTCTGGAAGCGCCGGAACATGTGCATTCATCGAAACACACTCTTCCTCCGCTGTCCTCCGTCCCGCGTCTCCATTGTTATCCACTTCTCTCGAAAACCCACGCCGACGGGGTCCGACGCAGGCCGCGGGAAGCCTCCATCGATCACATCACCGTGCGTGTCACAGCAATTACCTGCAGTTGAACAAAATAGCTAGTCGCATAACCTACACATAGTCGGTAACTGATCGCCATAACAGAAGCAATGGGTTCACACTAGTGTGAAGTCAAACCTAGATCCGTTACGGGGAGAAGCGATTTGATAAGATTCCGTCCCGTCCTCCTCCCGGTCTCCTGGAAAGGGGTTTCTTAATCAATCACTGATGTCAATATGCGAAGAAAGGGTAATTTTGTTCCTGGTATTGGCTGTCATCAACTGCTACGTGGTAACCTGGCAAAGCATGCAAGACGCATCTTCGAAGGCTTATGTTGTCAGGAAATGCAAAATAATTTACAATTGAGGTCCGGCTGTGGCGAAGCAAAACATTACGAATGCTGTGGAGTCTCTCACTGAGAGCTGCGTGTGTTTGAAGCCTCCTACTTCCGCCACAACGTGGCCAGATCGACAGTCACGGCCTTGCATCCAAGTTCATCTAGCATTTTGGTTTTGGTGACTCTCTGCCATCGGGGATATTAGAAGACTCAATGTTCATCCACATCCCCATCTAAACTGATAACTGACCCCCAACTTCAGGCAAGTATCCGATTTTCCTTACGTGGTCCGCCTTCGCTATCTTTTCTCAACGCCTATTTTGGTTTTGCAGAACCCGTATCCACCCATCCCAAACCGAATGCGCCACCCCAAACAGAAAAGCTCTACATACCTCGTTAAAAACCCCGCTCCAACCACATGTTGCATAGTCTCGACTGCTATGACCACATGTTACCCGGATATATCCACCAAATTCAAATGCACCTCTGAAGCCTTGAGGGCTCCTAAAGATAGTCTAGCCGTGTCCCACCGCCGTTCTACCAAACGCCAACAAAGACTATAGTACAGGCCGAAGTATACACCATAAAATATGCTAAATGACCTCAGGGAGAGAAGTCCCAAGTATGCAGTTTAAGATTGCAAAGATAACCAGCAATCCCTGAGGTACCCCATGTATTTTGGTTTGTTCAACAAAATTGCGCTTCTTCGGGCGACATGTCCCCCAGGCCGTCCCAGAATTTTCGATTGTTAATGCCCGCTGTATGCAGGCTGAAGGTGGGCTGCGCTCTCGAGATCGTTGTCGCGAATCCTGGTGTTAAGTGTTGTCGATCGGGTGAAGAGTAATGAAGTAGATGGGGACACGACTTGTCCCATCGAGTACGGCCGATCCGTTGCAACTTACCTTACCATTCTTGAAGCTCAAAGCTTCTCTCAGCGCACATTCATGGTCGGTTCTTCGAACAGGAACAACCAAGAACATCAAAAGCAACTCACAAAATACAAGGCTGATCCACAGCGGTTAGAGGGGAAGGGGAGGAGAAGGGGAAAATGGGGCTGGGAAGATTGAAAGGAGGGGCATGGAGGTGTTGGGATGATGCTATATTCAAGGCCAGAGTTTGGCCGATCAGGTCCGACGACGCTTGACATCTATAGTCCTGATTAGCAAGATGTTTTCCCGTATGGATTATTCGTTGAACTTACCGGCCTCTTCGGCTTCCTCATCCAGGTCATCAGTCCGACTTCTCTTTGCTGTGAGAGGCGGTTGGTCTTGAGAAGTTGTAGTCTGCTGTGTAAAATCATTGTTGTCCTCCTCTCCATCGTCTCCCCATCCGATTTCGTCGTCATCTTGAGTGTTGCTGAACTCATGGATTTGACCTTCTGTTTCGAACGATGCATCCTGTTCCTCGTTCTCGTCGTAGTCAATCTCGTCGCCGCTCATGGTATTGGTTGTGCTCGTGCGGTTGGCCGATTCTTCGGCTGTAAAATCCTGAGCACCTTCTTCGGTCTGGTCCTTGGGGTCGGCGGTGTTGACTGGGAGATGCGATGTCTCATGGGTGTACTCGATATCGATCGCGTTTTCTACCTCAGTATAGTCGTCCACGTTAGGGCCGTCGTCAGTGTACTGCTCCTGCATGGCGGTGGAGTCGGAATTGCGCGAAGTACTAATTTCGTTGTTTCCTTGATAGGGCATGTCAGCAACATCGTAGGCAGAGAAGGTGACGCTTAAATCGAAGTCTTTGTGAGAATGAAAACGACTGCCACTGCTTCGATGGGGTGCAGAGAAGTTGACGGGGCTGCTGGATCTCTTGATGCAAGGTGAGTCGGAGCGGAAAGGAGATAGCGTTGCAAGACCGCGGTGCTGATTGGGTCGCAGTTCAACTGCAAGTTGGCTTCCGCCGGATACGTTGTTCGAGGGCCTGCTATGGAGTGGCGGCATTGTCCCATCCATTTGTTCGGACCTCATTTTCTTTACCCCGAAGACTAGGTCGGAGAACACGGACTTCCGTTTAAGACCAGGCATGGCATAGTTTGGGCCTTCGTCATCCGTGTAGTCAATGAGATCGTCATCCTTGGCTTCGCTTGTGTGCAAAACGACCATGTGGCCGTGTGTGCTGGGGTTGTGTGTGGTTGAGGAAAAAAGAAAAGGGTATTTACCAGTTCGATTGTCGTCACGGCCGAGCACTGCGTTACCTTCAGTAGACCCCTCCATGATATCGAGGGAGAAGTTGCCGTCATCCAACGTCTGTCTGAGTGTCAAGTCATCACCAAGCTCCTCCACACCCGCTGTACGATCAATGTCATGATCGTCTTGCTCCTCAGCCTCGGCCTCTTCATGATGCTCGATGTACTCGTCCTCATCATAAACCTCCTCCTCTTTCTCCTCGTTGATCATTTCGGTATGATCGCCGTTTTCCGGCTGAGGTTCGTCCGTGGCAGACTTCGTTTCAGGAACAAGCTCCAAATCACTGCTCGTTTCCTCAAGGCTGGGCTGAAATTCTCCCCGATCACCGTCCATCTCATGCTTGACATCAACGATGCCTGCCGGGCCATGAGAGGATTCACTGGCATCAAAGTGACTTGACCCGTTCATCTCTGCAGATGGCTCTGCTTGGGCAGCTTGATCGATGTTGTCTGCTAGCGAGAATTGCTCAGTATGACACTCATTCTCAAGAACATCCTCGGTGACCTGACGTTCCGTGTGTTGCTCTGATGCTTCCTTCTGGATGTCTCCAGCTGAGACGGTAACATCCCTAACCTCGGCTACATTCACGCTGACTTCGACGTCTTCAGTAACCTCGACATCCTCTGCAACTTCGATATTCTCGGTGAGCTCAATGACCTCTGGCTCTTCGTCATCTTCTTTCTCTTCTTGGTCTTGATCTTGCTGGCCTTCCTCGTCTTGATGCTCTTGGTCATCAAATTCAGCATTCTGGACATCCTCATGATTTTTATCATTTTCGAGGCCTTCGTTGTCATTGTCATCATGGTCTTCAATGTCCTGATCGTCGTCCAGATATTCATCCTCCCCGGAGGCATCTGAGTAATCGGGAGAGTAGTCTGCTCCACTCCAGATGCCTGCCTCCTCGAGCAAGTCCAGGAACCGGCCCTCGGGGTCCGGACGGACCAAAAGATTGAGCGTTAGGGATGTCTCTGTGACGATTCCTTTAGCTAGAAGGACATTGTAGCAGTAAATAATCTGATGAAAGCTGCGCTGCAAAAAGTCCTTGCTGGACCTTTCGCCAAAGTTCAAATCAAGTGAGTCAATAACGATGACCAGTTCTTCTCCGGGTGTTAATTCCGAGGCAATGACAGAGCGGATAGATGCAAGTAATTCCGACAACGGCGCGGTTGCGATCTCAGTATCGGTAAGGAAGTAGGTCTCAGGATCCATGTCCGAGTTCCCAAAGAGGGCATAACTGCCACCATCATACTGGACTGTGATATCTGTGATGCTGAATGCAGCATCATCAACAACGGGCTCGTCATGGTCAATCTGGCTTTCCTCGAGCTGGCAATCCTCGCTCACGGCCTCGCCCGCTTGTTCAGCTCCCGAGACAGCTGTATCCAGAGGGTTGGTAGCTGCAACACCACCGACGTCCAGACCGACATCGGTCTCGGCAACTTGTTCAGTAGCCTCCTGATCAACAAGGTTCTTTGTCTCGGCCACACGCCCGATCGGCTGCTCTTCCGCATCGTCGCCCATTTTGGACTCAGCAAGATCAATCGGGACGTCCTGGGCTTCCTGTTCCAATTCACGTAGATCTGGATTCTCGTCATTTGCAGACGGCGCTTTTGATGTAGTGTTATCTTCGGGCTCGTGTTCAGTAACAGCCTCTTCTGCAACGCCCTCCTCCTCTTCATAACCTATCTCGTCATTATATGCCATGGAGACATCCTGAGCATCTTGCTCGACGCCACCTGCCGCCTCTGCTTGCTCATCATTGGTATTATGTTGAGCCTCGAGGTTATCGACAGCGACTTCAACATCGGCTGTGGCGGGTTGGGCATCAAGATCGATCGTCTGGTACTCATCTTCCTTGTCATGTAGGTCGTCGAGTTCTAAGACAAGCTCGTCGGCTTGCATGCCGGCTTCTAGCATCAAGTCATCGTCAAATACCGCCTTCCCCGCCTCGGCACGAACGTCGAAGCTAACTTGCTCCATGATGTTAGGCGGTTGGCGGGTCAATAAAAACACGCGCCACAGATGAGTTGGATCAAGTACGAAAATTTGGGAAGTAACGCAAAACTTCCACAAAGTTCCTTGAAAGTGCGACGTATTGCCGTTGTCAAGATGTTGTACGTCCAGCAAGCGTCATGAAAGAAGCGAAGACGTGGAAAATTGGTGCACTGGTAAAAACCCCCAGCTTGGCGATGGGTTTCGGTAGATGTCTTGGACTGAAAGGATCTGACTTCTTCTTGGAAGCGAAGCCGTAGGGTATATAGAGACCACGGGTTCTGGAGTTATGGCTGAGAATGGGCAACCCCGCACTCGACAAAGAACGCCCAACAAACAACGGCGCTTCTGGGGCGCCAAATGAACCGGTAAAGGGATGTGAGGCGACACGTGGACTGGCGGATTCCGACAACACGATTTAACCGCTGTTAAGAGTTCTGGGGCGGATATTCTGGGCAAAAGTGCACATCGAATCGAGGTATGGATTGCTGAAACGCGGCAGGCAGATAATCGCGATGCCTCACTTTCACGGAGCGGCGGAGCTGGGAAGTGGGTGAAGTACAACGGAATCGAGCGAGCTCTTGATGACGAGGCGGGTCACAAAGGTAGCGTAGGTATTTGATGATCCGTAATCGAGACTCGTATTGGCTGGGCAATGCTTTGACGCGATTGAGAGACAAGTTTCTCGACGGCGGATTGTTTTTCGAGGTAGGCGATGGTTTGGACGGAAATGGAAATCGTGGAATTTCGACACACGGGGCCGTCTGTTGTGCGTGTTCAAGAAAGAGGTGCAGTTGTTGCTTTTGCCGCAGTGTGTGGTGGACAACGGTGAAATTCGCAGAATTGATCATAGGAAGGAAACTGAACCTAGAGGTAAGCAAATGCCGCATGGAGTTTAGCGGGCCCTGTGGGTGCCTAGAGGTACCTACTGTACTTGTATCTATGGTGTGCCCCTGGATTTCTCTTGCCAGCTGGCAGCCCCTCGTCGGCCGGCCAGGACGCTGCCGCCGCCGTGTAGGTTGCCCTGGCCCGCCTGAACCCGACTGCCCTGATGCTGCAGTGAAGCTGCCGTCCAGGTACCTCTACCTATCGCTGCCCGCTGGGTCCCTCCAGATGGCACCTTCAGTTCAATTGGACCTGACCGACAGCGCACCTCAGCACGGCAACGGAAAGACCACATCAACCTTCCCGTCCACGTTAACTTTCAGGAGGTGAAGCTCACGACTTACCTCCAACGCATCCCAAAGCTCCCCGCACTACCACGAAGCGCCCTTCGAGTCAGTAGTCGTGGTTGTTGTTTACTGCTGTCAAAATGGTAACTCATCCATCCCTGTCTCCTGGTGGGAAGAAGCGATTGACGGAACATGTCAGGTTGTCCTCGCTGCCTCCATCTGCACCCGCGGCGGCAAGGCCGTCTTAGCCCGCGCCTTCAACGACATCAAGCGCTCCCGCATCGAAGCTCTCCTCGCCTCGTTCCCCAAGGCCGCCGACTCGGGCACCCAGCACACCATTGTCGAGCAAGACAATGTCCGATTCGTCTACCAGCCCCTGGACGAGCTGTACATGGTCCTCATCACCAACAAGCAGTCCAACATCCTCCAGGACATCGACTCGCTCCACCTTTTTGCCCAGGTTGTCACCACCACCTGCAAGAGCCTTGACGAGCGCGAAATCCTCCGAAATGCCTACGAACTGCTCAGCGCCTTCGATGAGTTGGTGACCCTCGGTTACCGGGAGAACCTCACCATCAGCCAGATCAAGACCTTCCTCGAGATGGAAAGCCACGAGGAGCGCATTCAGGAAATCATTGCCCGCAACAAGGAGCTGGAGGCTACCGAAGAGCGCAAGAGGAAAGCCAAGCAGTTGGAGATGCAGCGCAAGGAGTCGGCCAGAACTGGTCGGTCCGCAGTACCCCGGACGCCGGTATATCCCACATACACCCCGCCGGTGCGACCTGCTGTCACCGAGTCCTATGACACGTATGAAGCCGAGAAGAACAAGGCCAAGTATGTGTTAGTCCCTCTCCTTTGCTGGCTGGCCTGCAAGCTAACATTCTTATAGGTTCAATGCGCCAAAGGGCAAAGGTATGCAGTTGGGCAAGAAGTCCAAGAATACGGATATTTTCGAGCGCGTGAAGGGGGATCTTGGACACGAGGCCGAGGAAGCGCCCCTTGTCCCGGTAGCCGCGCCGGCAGCTGCCGCAGAGCCTGCTGCTTCCAGAGTCTCTTCGACACTCGACAGGGATGCTATTCACGTCCTTATCAACGAGGCAATCAGTGCCAAGCTGTCGAGGGATGGTGCCCTCGAATCCCTCTCGGTCAGCGGTGACCTCCAGCTTCGCGTCTCCGACCCATCGCTTTCAAGGATCAAGCTCAACCTCAGCGCCACACCCACCCACGGCGCTCAGTTCCGCACTCACCCGAACGTCGATAAGAATGTCTTCAATAGCTCCCAGGCTATCCAGTTGTCTCAAATCACAAAGGGTTTCCCCCTTAACAACTCTGTCGGAGTTCTAAGGTGGCGGGCCAGTCCCAGAGTCGACGACACCAGCGCACTGCCAATCAGCTTCACCGTTTGGGTCAACAAGGGCTCAGATGGCAACAGCACATTGACGGTTGAGTACGAGCTCACTGGCGGAGATACCCTCAAGGACGTTACTGTCGTCATCCCCTACTCGAGCGCAGAGCCTCAGGTGTCTAGCTTCGACGCTGTGTATGAGGTGTCTGGTGACAGTCTAGAGTGGTCGATAGGCACCGTAAGCGAGGAGAACGCCAGCGGATCATTTGAGTTTGAGGCGCAGACGGATGACGAGAACGAGTTCTTCCCGATGCAAGTACGGTTCTCCAAGTCGTCGCCGTTCGTGGAGGTTGATGTAAGTTGTCGCCGCCTCATGTCAGAAAAACGGGTAAAGACGGAACAACTGACACATTCTAGGTTCAATCTGTTGAGCTGGTGGATGAAGGTGAAGAGGTTTCGTTCTCCAAGGACATCAGATCGGTGGCCGACAAGTTCCTCATTGAGTAGGGTTTGTTGTTGTTTTGAGCAGAACCAAAAAGGGGCGACCGTAGTATGCCGGCCAGGCGTCTCGATCATCATCTTCCGCACCAGAATTAGAGTAATGTATGGGAAGCAACCGAGTTGTCCAACTCCCTTTATAATGAATACTGTTGACATGGTCAGCGCCAGTGGGTGCTAGAGCTGTCATTCTTTTTCTTCCGTTGATATCCAAGGTCATACTTGACTTTTTGAACAAAAGGTTCTTGACGCTCCCGGGGTCCTTGAAAGTAACACGTAAGCTACGAACCCTACGCATTGTTAGAGGGATGGATACCCTCATGATTTAGTACCATATAGAAAAAAGCTTATCTACGCAAAGAGCTATACAAGTCAATCATCGCTGTTGTAGGCATGTAGTATAGTAATTGATATCGATGTGTGTAGTTAGCTACTTAGCTTGTCAAGGTCATACCTGTACACAGTACGAATGCCCATGCACAGTAGTTCTATTACTGTAGCAACTGCTCTATCTGCACTGTGTTTTGAATCAACAGGCAGGACAAGACCACACTACTACTAACTGAAATCGCAGAACAGCAGCAACAATAACAACAACATCACGCCGAGGTAAGTGAAGCTGTAGGTCTAGCAAATCAAAACTGAAATCGCCCAAACATACAAACCGACTTGCCAAGTTATGGACTTGCGCGTGTCATTTAAATCAAAATCTTGCGTCCCGGAGTTGAAGGCTGGAACCACTTAGCCGCTGCTTTCCACATCCAAATATCATCATCCAACTGAAAGTCGCCAACGGATCCTACAAAATGTCCCCAAATGGGCAGCTTCAGCTATTCAGTTCAAGCGCCTTGAGTGTGCCAGTCTCAGGCAAGCAAATTGCATGCAATCCCGTGATCGACTTGACAGCCACGGTCGGCGACGGTAACACGATCTATGTCTGGCGTGGCAGCAATCAGTTGGTCTCGAAGCATACAGAGCGAAACCAGAAGGTTGATGCAATCAGGTGGAAAGAGGATGGTAAGTGAATATCTTCCGATTGCTGTTGAGGGAAACCACTGTCTTACAGGGAATTCGCAGGCCAATTCTTAGCTGCCGGCTGGAGTGACGGCGTGGTGAGGTTGATCGGCTTGGAAAGCAACAAAGCCGTGCATCACATCCGCGTGGCAGGTCATGGTGGAAAGCCTTCTAAAATCGAGTTCATCGCCTGGGCCAGAAACGAAACTGGCAAGCAGTCGCGTGCCAGGAAGCATAATGAACTCCCCGACTTGCCGTGGCGGGATCTCATGCCCGATGAGAAGAAGCATGTTCTGGACCTCCCTCATGAGTTGACTTTTCTGGAAATCGAGACTGCTCTCCCCAAAATTAGTCCTCTTCCTTTGTCGGGAGGCATCGGGTAAGTAAACAGGACCCCATGAGCTTGCAGTGCCGGGAGACAAACCTAAAGATGGTGCAACTGACATGGTTATAGGGACGATATGTTTGTTTTCTCTACCGCGGCATCACTCGAGTTCGTGTTCCGCCCTTACCAGCCCGAGGACTCGGACAATGTACATGTCATGATCACCGGCACAGCCGACGGAGGCATTCATCTCAGCATCTATGATTCATTTGTCATTGGAACCTTTCAACATGCACCGCATACGGCCAGAGGACCTGCCTCAAACGAGGGTCCTTTCCAGCTTTGCGGTCATAGTTCCCATCACAAAGTGCCTACTCACGCACTCCTGCTAAGACCCAAAGAGGGTAGTCCGACATCCCTTTTTCTTGTTCCGATGGACCTCACTTTTGTACACAAATCGCCCATCAACCTGTCCTTGTTGGCGTCGAACACGACAACACTTCAGAATCTCCTTCGATATCTGAAGCAGGCACAGTCACATATGGTTAGTGAGTGGAAATCGACGAGAGAGCTTCCTGGGCGTTTTCTACGTGGTGTCCAAGAGGACCTAGAGAGGAGTCCCAAGGGGCCGGTGACCATTGTCCAGGCCCTGTACCACACAGTTGCAACAGGACATGTGTTTCCTCCGGTGAAGGAGTGGCTCGTCGACAGCCTAGCCGAGAGAGTAAGTTGAGTAGTGAGATGTGAAAGAGTGCCATAGGACTGACAAGTATTTAGGGGCATAAGCGTTGGGATAAAGCAGTTGTAAGCGGCCTGCAAAATCTCAGAAGCCTCGTCCATGAGAACTTCTTGTCTGCGCTCGAGAGGTGCGGCATCGTGCTCAGCCGGCTCCTAGGCCTCGCTCGTTTCCACGGCTCGCGTGAGAACATCGGCTTTACCGCCGCGCAGATCGAGAAGCTTCTGGACATGGTCGCGGCGCTGACCTTGGTCTCGTACAAGATCCTACTGGCGGTCATGGACGAGCTGGACCACTTCACTTGCTTTTCGTCATGGCTTCGAATGGAAATCGATAAACTGGCTTCGTCATTGGCAGCTGCTGAGGAGTTGACCGAGAAAGAGGCGACTATGGACAACGTCAAGGTCTTGACGTATATCCAACGATATTTGATGGGCAGTCCCTTGGCTGTGTATCTTGGTGATGTCACCGCGGAAGTGCGCGAGAAGGATTGGAGAGTTGTTGACAAAAGCGATGGAACATCTCTGCTGGAACTGGTTGATCAGCAGTTGAAGTGTCAGGAGCGTGGTGAGCCTTATTACAAGGCGTTACCTCAAGTCGATCAGTTGGTAGACCATCTCACTAGCAAGTCGGCTATCGTATTCAAGGAGATTGCTGAAGCAGAGAAACGAAGCGTGCGCTTCAACGAGGCTGTGGAGATATCTACTGGCGAGAAGATATGGAGGCATGATATTCATCTGTGTTCTCGATCTAGTGCGGTAAGTCATGTTATGCAGTTCACTTTTCCCTGAGCACTTGATTGCTAACACGAAAATTCAGGCTGAGTCTGGAGTCCTTACATTTGTTGCTACACTAACGGAAGGTGACAAGAACAAGAGTATGTCTCCCTTTTATTGCATCATTGAGCATTTAGCTAAGACTGGATGTAGTCTTCATTGTACGAACCGCTATTCCGGTCGCCAACGGCGTGAGTGGCACAACTTCTAGCAGTGCATGTAGTCTGGTCCTTCCCAACGGGGCCAGCGTGGTTGATATCAAGTTCTTGGACGACGAGTCTCTGCTCGTGCTAAGCCAGCTCAAAGGTCAGTCGACTTGGAACTAACAAAGACAAAACCAGACCAGAGAAGATGAAGCTAAATCCCATGTCAGATGAGCAAAGCCCTGCACTGGTGAGGATCGGATATCAGTCACCCAACCTAACCTACACAGCATACGAAGTAGGAGAGAGACCCCAAGCAATCGATATAGGAGGTCCAGAAGTGCCGTGTGTTCCACTTTTCTTTGATGCGGTTGGCTTTGTGCCCATCCAAATGGAAGTCCAACAAGCGAGCAAAACCAGGGGCGAGCTTCCTGCTAGGGTCTGTTTACTAGGACGCGACAGAACGGCCTACAAGACATATGCCCTTCCCGACCAGTTTGAGGCAGGTTCCGGGACTTCAGTATCACCGATGGTGAGGAAGTCATGGCAGCAACAAGGAGAGGAGGAAGATGTGGTGATGGAGAACAGCCAGTAGAACACAGAGCGGAAGGTCGGAAAGTACGGTAATGCGATTGGGGCATGGCGATAGCGGGAAGCGGGACCCTCAATTACCTGGGGATTGCACTTATGAGTCCCGTTCGTGATGTATGATTAGGAGGAGGCTGTTACAAATGAGGAATTTCATTGTATGAATGGGAGGCATGGATAAGGTACCGTATTGCTCGGTTATCAAACCGGGTCTGTCTAGTTGCGAACAAAGATTCCCAAGCTTTCTCACTTGATCGTTTTGGCAGTGCAGTCAGTGCTAATTTCCAAAAGTCTCCAAATCCTCGTTTTCACTTCCATCGATTCCTCGCGAAGAATATTCAGTCTTGTTGTGTCCGATTTCGACCACGCATTCCCGTGTGTTGTTAACGATGAGCGGGGCCATGAAATGAGAATCATTCCGTTAGCGTCGGGTGCGCTGCCAGGGCGTGCCTTGTCCACTAAATACCCAGCGGAGTTCCATGGGTTCTGCAAGCCAAGCCACAGGGCTAATGGGGTTTCCTTAGGTTGTTGTTAGGGTAGAGTCCACCGGCCCTGAAAGCCAGCCCAGCCCACCTACCTCTAGGGCAGGTCGGCGGATCCATACCTCTAGTACGCGGAACGGAAGAATCCGTGGCAGCCGGTGGGAAGCTTCGATTCAGGGGATCAGCAGATTCCAGTTCACTGCAGCCCAGTCTTCCACTTCAAGCCGTCACTCACCTACGCAGTAGGTAGAGGTACCCCAGTGCGAATTGCCGTTCCAGTCCATCGTACCCAGCCTGAAACGGCTGCGTGGCCAGCGACCACTCGGTCCCGTCCCGTCTACCATAGTGTACAACGTCATTGCGTTTGCAGCGGTCCAGGCTGCGGTAGTAGGACCCGCCAGGCACTACCTACCTAGGTAGTGTAGCGACCTGGAAGTGGAAGTGGAAGTCTCCACGACAGCTGAATGACGGTGTGCTAAAAGTATTGCTGAGGAGGAGCTGATACTGATCCCGCCTTGTCTCCTTTTACATTGGATTGACGTCCATCCCGTCACCACCACCACCAACTTTCCTCCAACAAGAACTCCACCACAACCAACTGTGTAACTGCACCACCCTTTGCGCCAACTGTAACGACTGGCTTTTTAGCAAACACCCTAATCGATAATGAGAGGAGAAGCTGAATAGATCACGAGATATCAAAAGGGATTTTTATGGATGGTGCTACCAAGAGTAGTTTTCTAATACGCCACCACCATTGTTACCGTCAAAGACTCGGTCCAGCTGCCAGAAAGGTTCCCGCACCTCGATCGCGACTGTGCAACCCGCCTCCCCGAGCCTTTGTGCTGCCCTGCCTGCCCTTGTTACAAGGTGCCGACGGGACAGACGGGACGAGATCGTCATAATTGTGGACAGCAGCCGCCGATTATACCCTTCGACTTCCCCAGAATACCACAAATCATGTCCGATACCACGGCATTCCCCGTCCTGCCGCCGCCGGCCGCCGCGGCTTCGAGCAAACCGCAATCGACGCAGCCGGCATCTGGTCCTACCCAGGGTCCTTCGTCTACAACGCAATCGCAACTACCCCTGACCAAGAAGCTACGCCCTGGCGCTCCCAACCCCGTGAGCCTCAACGAAGCCGCTCTCGATTCTCCCACATTCCGAGCCTCTACCGTCCACTTCTCCGAAAACCTTGACGTAATCGAGCGATGGCTCGACAACTACATCCGCAGCACATCCAAGGTGGTCAACGACCTGCTCGCACTCGAAGACAGCATTCACGCCTACCTCCAAAAGATTGCGCCGCCACCCGTCAATGCAACCGCCCAAGCCGACGCCATCATTGACACCGACTACACCTTCCTAGCCCTCCGGCGGGCCGGCGATGGCGCCCGTGACTGGTGGACCGGGGTGATGGCCACGGTGCGGCGACTCGAGCCCGTCAGCGTCGAGCCCATCCGCAACTTCGTCAATGGTGAACTTCGCACATTCAAAGAGGCTCGGCGAGCATTGGAGGCGGCCCAGAAAACGTTTGACACGACACTCGCTCGCTACGTGAGCCAAAACAAGACAAAAGAGCCGAGTGCTCTGCGCGAGGACGCCTTTGCTGTATTTGAGACGCGCAAGGCGTACCTCAAGGCTAGCATGGACTTCTGCCAGTCCGCACCCCAGCTGCGCTTTGCGCTCGACAAATTGCTTGTTCGAGTGTGCGCGGATATGTATAGGGAAATGCGGCGCTCGCGGGGCGACGCACCCCTGGGCGCGGCGACTGCGGCGGAGGAGCTGGAAAGGATACGCGGCTGGTCTAAAGAGATGGAGTCGTATGAGCCCTTGTTTAAGCGAGAGCTGCAGGCGGCAAGAAAAGAGGTTGGAGAGGCGACACTGGCAGTTTATAAGCCTTCGAGGGAGATCGAGGACTATAGCGTGTCTACGGTGCCATACTTGGGGTCTAGAGGACCTATGAACATGCAGCAGAAGGATCAGACGGATGTGATTGCAGAGAAGCAGGGGTGGCTCTTCCTACGAGTTGTGTCGGGAAAGCCGGCGAGGACAACTTGGGTGCGCCGGTGGTACTACTGCCGTAATTTCCAGTTCGGCTGGCTTATGAATGGGCCCCAGGGTGTGCTGCAGGGAGACGAGATCGGTGTGCTGCTTTGTAGTGCTAAGCCGGCTGTTCAGGAGGAACGTCGCTTCTGCTTTGAGGTAAAGACCAAGACGCAGACACTTCTGCTGCAGGCCGAAACCCAAACGCAGTTGATGGAGTGGCTGGAGGTTTTCGAAGTCGCAAAGAAGAGAGCGTTTGAGGCGACAATGGGCCGAGAGGCAAACGCTGTGAGCGGGGGCGTTGATCCTGCCTTTTCCATCAATCCGTCCACGATTCCCGAGTTCTCAGCCAAATCCCTTGACAGCGTCGAGGGTGATGGGCCGGGCCCTGGCCTTGAGCGGACGGCCACACTCGCTGTCCCTGGTGCCGACGCTGCGGCGCGCGCCAGTTTTGATGCCGCTGCCAACCCTCCTCGGCGCTCGATCACGACAACATTAGCGCGAGAGGAGGGCGAGAGCGGCCGGGAGCATGCTGCCCGGCTCATGCAGAGGCTGGATTTGCACAGGAAAGCTATGCTTGCCAACTCGGATACGCAAGCTCAGTCTTCTGGAGGTATCGCCAACTTGATCACAGCAAGTCATGGCCTCATAGGCAATAGCCCTATCTCACCCATCGCGCCCCAGACTCCTGCTGTGCGGGTACCAATTCCCTCGCTGGGCGGTCCCTTTGATCACGCCCCTACCAGTCTTGCGCCTGCAACATTATCTAAACCTCCGGTCCCGACGAATCTCAGCAGAGCCGCTGTTATGGCCAGCGCCACCGCAGATATCAATCGCGGTCTGCCGAGTGCGGTCCTTGCCAACTACTGGGGCAGCAATCCCTGGGCATCCTCCTTTACGCCTTTGCCTGAAACTGTTCGAACGCCAAAGGTTGATTTGGACGATCCGCTTGTAGGTGTCGTCCAGCCGAAAGCTCCCGGCACTACGAGCGACAAGGCCTCGACTGCCAGCCTGCACAAAAAGACCCTTAGCGTGGATGCGGCGTCTGATGCCCATGGGAAGATTCAGGAGAAGCATGGCCAACTCGTCGATTCCTTCCCGGTCAACTATCCTCCAGAGTTGAGAGCCCAGTATGCGCAGTTCCGGTTGGTCTTCCCAACTGTCGCTCCGGAGGAGAAGCCGGTCTTGGTTTTCAATGCTGCCTGGTCAAACTCGTCTGGTGAAGGCAAGGAAGGAAGAGGCATGGCTGCTAATGGACGTATCTTTGTGACGCCCGATAACATGTACTTCTTTGGTCACCAGCTTGGTCTCGTCGTTGCCTACGCCATCAGTCTCGACAGCATTACAGAAGTCACGGCGGCACCTGGAAAAGATTGTGATTACATCTTCCTGCATCTGAATCAGGATGCCAGCGATCTCAACATTTCCCGTATCACCATGAAAATTTTCTTGGAGGACTTTACACTCCTCCATGCTCGACTCAATCTCTTAGTCGATGATCTCCAGGCCGCCGAGCCAATGAGCCTAGAAGAGATCATCACTGCGCTGGTAAACCTCGAAGGGGAGAGCTTCGACAAGAGGAGCCCCAGTGCGGAAAGTTGGGAGGAGGTTGCGTCGAACACGCCCATGGATGACGGAACACCCCAGGGTAGGCCGGTTCAACGTCGAATCGGGGACTTGAGTAGCCGGTTGATCAGAGGAGCACGCGGTTCAAAGAAAGCTCCAATGCACAAGTTCCAGCTACCAGCGCACCCTGTTTACTTCGAACCAGAGGATATGGGCAAACCTGTAGCAGAACGGAATTTCGAGATTAGCGCCAAGGCGTGTTTCCATGTTCTGTTTGGTGACAAGAGCTTCATCTTCCCCAAGCTCTACTTCGAGCGCCGGGCCAAGGAGATCGCTCAAGGGCCTTGGGAGCTCAAAGACCACGGTGGCAAGATGGCGCGCCAGTTCAAGTTCAAAGTCGATAAAGCCGACATGCTCGGGCGCAAAACGGATGCAAACATCGTTGACACACAAAATATCGACATCTTCAACGATCACATCACCTACGTCGTCACCCACGTCAAGACCCCATGGCACTTGCCCCATTCCCACGCCTTCAAGCTCATCACCAAGGTCGTCATTACCCACGTCGCCAAGTCCAAGTGCAAGCTCGCCATCTACACAAAGGCCGACTGGTCCAAGGCCCCAGCCATCGCCAAGAACATGGTCGAGCGGCAGGCTCTCGACGACGCCGCCAACGACGCCGAGGAGCTCGCAGAGGTCGCGACCGACCAGGTCCGCCGACTCGGCCCCCACAGCCGTACCAAGCGCGCCATTCAGGTGTATGGAAACATTGGCCAGCAAACACAGGTCGTGGTCTTCTCGCCCAACGCGGGCTTCGACGGTTCCGGCGCTGCGTCAGGATCCAAGAAGGGTCAGCCCATCCGGGTGCGGTCACTGACGGCCATGATTCTCGAGACGGGCCGATCGCTGCTGGAGAGTGCCATAACGTCGGTCATGATGTGGGCGTTTGCCGTAGTCAAGAAGGTGTTCAAGATTATCACCGCGCACCGGGTCTTGCTGGTCCTACTGATGGCTAGCGCGGCGTATAACTTGGTAGTGGTCAGCCAGTCTGGTGCAGCGTGGTGGGCGGAGCGCAAGGCGGCACGGTATATGGAGCGGATTGGGGTCGGACCGAATACGGTCATGAGCAAGGCCATCTTTTTGGCCGATCTGGAGGAGGCGGCGAAGGGAAGCGCGGTGGTGGTGGAGAGGCCTGTTGGAAGTCAATGGTACGTGAGGTTGCATTCATCCATTCTTCGGCAGTCTAACCTGAAGACTATACTAACTTACCTACCAATAACAGCTACGAAACCTTCCAATCAATCGTCAACTCCACCGACATCGACGCGCCTTACACCGACGCCGGCGCCGGCTTCGCCTCAGCAACAGGCAAGGCCACGGCCCGCCGCCTCCGCCGCACGCGCCAGCGTCTTGGCACCTACCGCCACGATCTCCTCGTTGCCATGCGGGTCGTCAACGGCATCGAGAGAGAAATGATCCAATCCGAGTGGGAGAACTGGCTCGCTGATGAGAATCTGAGGTGCGAGCAGGTGAGCAATATGTTGCTTACCAGTAATAATGACAGTGGCGTTCTTGATCAAGAGGTTGTATATGATGATGCCTCAGGGGGGGGCCAAAGTGTTTTGAGCTCCGATACTACTTCTATTATGGGTACTAAGGAAACTAATGGTGGAGGCAATGAAGAGGCTACTACCTCCAGCGGTGGTGAGCAGCAGCAAATGACGAGGAGAGACGCGCTGAAGAAGTGGTATGCCGAATACTGCGGCGCTTGTGAAGCCGATCAGAGGGCGTTGTGGGAGGGGAAGAAGATGAGGCAGGTGGAGATGTCGCCTTTCATTGGTTGATTGGTTTAATATTGTTATCGATACCCGAGAGGGAAGACAGGGGCGAACAAGATATGAAAGCATCAGGGAGAGTACGTTTAATATTAGAGCCAGAACATACACAAGTGGATAGATCAGTTGGTTGGTCTGGATACTACATGTATCCTCTTACATCCTAGCTAGCAATGCCAAAAAGGGGTTGTGATACCAGTATTAGTGGCGGAGGATCAACAAGGTTCGAGCATCCATGTATTACCATTACCTCAGCCACTCAAGGCTCGTCAAGACATAATGTATATAGCCTACCTTGGTATATGTATCTCATTTACTCTTCCTCATAAACTTGAGTGTTGAATAACGGCACGTATCAATTGGTGATGTTAAATGTCTAAAACGTCTGTTCACCGCCTGTCGATTCATTGTGACGCAAGGCGGGAAAATCACACTGTAGACACAGAAAGTAAACAAACCCCCTTTATTGAACCAAATATCGTGAACACCGCCTTGTCCGCAATTCCACGCTTCACTCTCCCGTAACATCCTGTCCAAGCCACACAAGTTTATTATTACATTTCCAATAAATGAGTCACCTGTCGTTCTCTTCATCTATAGTCTGAAACTTATGTTAAATGGAGCAAATACGACTCATTGCAGCCTTTCGTTGCCAGCCAAAAAAAGCAAAGCGTTACACAGGTAGAGCGCCGAGAAGCAGGGAAAAAAATAAGTCGTTCTTTCGTGTTCTTCGTTTCTCATGTTTCATTTCTCTTTGATTGTGTGTTAACTCGTTCTCATGACCTCGTATCTTATTCGTTCCTCGTCTCTTCATTCATCATGCATGTAGCCCGGTTTTCCAATCTTTGGGCCCTCGCTCCCTTTGTCTCTTTGCGCATTTGATGCTGCCCTCCAACTCCTTCTACCCATCCCAGAAACATACAAACTGGAATTATATGCAATCTGTTGAATAATGTTGTCAAACAGAAATCATAGCGGAACAGACACGAGAGTTGTGGAAAGGGAGGGAGGGGGGGAGAATATAAAGACTAACTTCAAACTCCGCCACATGGTCGCTCATGCTCCCACACCGACAAAGAAAACACACTTGACTCTCCAAACTTAACCCACCCAATCTCTCACTGCGTCCCGTCGCCTGTCTCTCTGTCCCTAGTTCTTGGTAACTTGGTAGTAGCCCAGCTCCCACGGGCAATCACCACATCTGACTTGTACATAGCCGACAGGCTACTGCTTCTATCCTTCTTTCCCGCCGCTGCCGCTCCAGTAGTGGTGGTGTTGGTCGTATAGCTTCCGTGGGCAATGACCACGCCGCCTGTTGATTCCCTTCTGTGCCCCAGTTTGGGAGGTACCGCTAGTGCCGTTGCCGATGTCGATGTTGATGGCGTGTTGATTATTTGCACTTTCTGCGATTCCGTTCTCTGCCCACTGGTATCATCCTTACTGCTGTTGTCTTTGTTCTTGGCGTACTTCGCCCCTTGATCGCTCTTCTCCTTTCCCTTACCGCGCGGTCCATCCCTATTCTTGCTTTCATCGTTCCTACCACCTCCATCATCGCTCTCTTTCACGCCCCCGCCTCTTCTATCACCCTCTGCTGCGGCCCCACCCACGTTTAGCCTCCCTCCTCCTCTCCTCCCTCCGCCACTACTATCAACCTCTTCCCCGACAAACACCGCCCCCCGTTCAGGAACCCAAATCTTCACTCCCAAGGTATACTTCCCAAAGAGCTTTTGATCCAGATGTGCCACCGCCAACTCCGCGTCCTCGATGGTCTTGAACCGCACGTATGCTGTGTATCCGAGGGGTGTCGTTTCCTTCCTGTCCGAAATCTGGATACCTTGTATCTGGGCGGCGACAACTTCAGAGACGTGCTTAGAGACAAGGAGACGAATTTTATCCGGTGTGAGATCTTTTTTTGCGAGACCGGTTATGAGGATCGTATGTGGTTGTTGCTGTTGAGGTTGAGCCTGCATTGGGTGGGGTCCAGGAGAGGTGATGGGAAACGAAAAAGGAAGGTTGCGAGCATTGAGAGGGGGCGAGGGAGCGGTCAGTGCTGTATTGACGGTGTTCACGATATTGGGTGTGCCAATGTTGGTGATGATGGTGGTAGTTGGTGTGCTGAAGCTGGGCACGGAGGCGAGACTGTTAGCGATGCTATTATTGCGCTGGACCTGGACGGGAATAGGAGGCGTAGAGGCTGCGGCGATGGTTCCCTCGTAGTTGTTGTATCCTTCTGGATAGACAGGAGGGCTATGATACATTGGAACAGCTACGTAAGACTGAGTATGAGCATCTTGACCGTGATCACGGGTAGCGTAATCTGAACTGAAGCTTTGGTGAGCGTTGTAGGGCTGTCCAATCGAAGCATAGGGGTTCCATGCCGGATCGACGCTGTAGGGACTGATCATCAACGGGGTCTCAGGATATGGCGCCACAACATGGCCTCCATACGGCTGCGCGGCCCCATAAACCGCCGGAGACCCGGATATGGCCATGTTCGTAAAGGCTGGCATCATACCACCGGCTGCACCACCTCGACTGAAGCCATATCCATAAGCTGGAGCGGGGTCTGTCTCTAGGGACGCGGTAGGTCGAACGGTCAAAGGTACGGCGATGGTGGGCTTGACCATGACCCTTCCGCCCTTGTTCCTCCCATCAGCAAAAAGGGCACGGCCGTTAAGGGTACTGCCGTTTAAGAAAGCTGACTATGCTGTCAGTAAACAGGGATCAGGGTAGTTGAAGATGATGATTTATCACTTACTGAACGCTTTGTCAAAATTGTCCCTCTCTCGGATTCGAACACATCCACCGAGAGGAGCATAAACCTCAATTTTATCGGCTTCGACACCACATCCCCTCCTTACGTGGTCCTTTAACTGTTGCCACGTCGTTGTGTGGGGAAGCTGCATAAAGAGGATTGTTAGTCAATGTAACGGTATTGCTAAGGAGAGAGCTAGGCTACGAACACCAGAGATGGGAATGTAGTAGATTCCCGTCAGCTCACCATCCTCGACGAACACAGTGTCCGCCGTCCTGATAGAGTCTTTGGCATGCTTTGAGCTCCTTGAGCCAGGCATTTTGGCCCAAGGGGCAGTTTTGGCGTGGTTTGGGTGACCTTGTCCAAGAAGAGAGTGAAAGCGGAGACCTCAATATCAAGAATTGCTGCTTGCATTCGAAAACCGAAACTAGTTGCTGATAGTCCCGGATTCTTCTGGGTTGGCAGATTGGTGAACCTTAAGGAGGTGAGGCTGTGGCTGGATGAACAAATAGACAGCGGGAATAGAGAGGATCCTAACGGACGGAGGATCTGGGAATTCTTGAGTATTTGCCTCGAATCACACCTTGATGAGGGAGAGCTATGGCGAGTCCAATTCTCAGTGGAGCTTTGGATATACCTTCAACTATTGCCAGTTGCGTTGTTCTAGATTCAGGGTCATCCTGGTGTAAAGGGTCGATGCCGGTCTGTCAGGAAGTTTCTGGCTCAGTTTCAACGAATTGTGGCTCCGACTAAAGACCGAAGATTTGACAACTCTCCTACCCCTGAGACTGCGTGTCATCATCAAGTTCGTATATCGACGCCGGCCAGCTATTTAAATCCGAAAGCTCTACACATCTGGGGGATCCAACCGCATGCAACGGAATGTTGCCGTCGCCTGGTCCTCGAGGCTCGGCGGCCTTCCGGCGTCATTGTAGGTTTCCTCTAGGAATGGTCACTAAGGGCAATGCATCCTGTTCAACCTCTACCCGAGAGTTGTTGACATGGCTTCCGAGCCGTGGGGTGAACTGATCACATCTGATAAAATGATGCACGGAACCATGACCACTTGCGGATAGGAAAGATGATTCCTCCCGGCCATTCTACGTCATTCTCATAGCAATGCTACTCCGCGTTCTCCTTGGAATGAGACATGCTCGACAGCAAAGGTGATTTCGAAGCGGCGTTGATACCCCTAATATTCCCTCACAACTACAAGCAATGTGTGCAGCTTCGACAGGCCGGCAATGCTATCCGTACTCGTCGTGACAGTCTCAAGGATGCAGAACCGGAGACGCAAACACACGTTACGGGAGTGCGTGATGCAGCACCTATAGAAGCTCGTGAGTTGTGCGGCTGTAGGTAACGCACCAACCCACCTCCCGTTGTCGCCGTTTCGGAATTGTATGATGCCAGCTTGTCAACTACTACCCAAGGGGCACTGAAAACGGTAAGGACCCACTGAGCTACGTACAGCCGCGGCTCAAGAGATGGGAACCTGTCAAGCTGCTGTCTCAGTGTCAAGCGAGGCGGTTTATAACGGTGATCCATGGTTGGCGACGCTCTAACTCGTGTGTAAGACAAGGTGAATGCAGGCAAGGGTCCGTCCGTCTGCCAACCTATGTTGATAAACGTGAGAGAGTCTAATTGGCGTTGGACTTCCATCTGTAAGAGGAATTACATCGAAGCCCGAAAGGATACAGCGGTAAGATCCGGGTCGCCAGCGGCTGCAGATGAAGGTAAATTCTGGGTTATGAAGTAACTCGACCGGGTTCGAAGGCCAGACCGTAATCTTTTTGGAACAATTCATTCCGAGTACGCACCACATTGTTTGTTTGCAATTCCGGACCTCGTCGGCTATCAGGCTGCACGAGTCATTCCAATCTTGTTTTGGGCAAATATTGAAACAAGTGAGTTGGCATGCGGGATGAACGCGTGAAGCCTTATGGGAATAGGAGGTCGTTCGAGTCGATTTACCAATATCCCACCATCTGTGATTAAAGCGCGGGGGTCACTCGCTGCGCCAGTTCATCATAGGCCCCCGTTAAAACGCTACTGATGTTGGGCTCAAAGCCTAACTTGTTCAAGCATTGCGTCTTGGATCCTGTCACTGTGACTTGACAGCATAAAACGGAGGGTTGGCAGGCCCATCAACAACATCCGCGGGTGGTCCGTCATGCCCCCAAGTGGCCAGTAACGTAAACGGGAACATGAGCCAAAGCCCCGGGTCGGTTATCCTGGAAATAAACTAGGACATCTCCTATAGGTAGTGCTCCAGCACCAAGGCATATGCGGGAAGGTAAGGGATATCGCTTGTATAAGACCATTCGCACAAAAATCGCCTATCGCTTGTAGCCATATGTGTCCTTCATTACAATGTCACCGTCATCCCCAGTCTGTGAAGCATCTTCTTCGTCTGCTTCGTCTTCTGTTGCTGGAACGAGTTCAAGGGGTGATTCAGCGCGGCTCGGGCCGTTGCCGCCTTGTGGGTTGCGTGGGTTGATCCACGGCAGTGACTCTCTGTCCGAATCGGCAAGAGATGCCAACACATAGTTTTGGGTATCCGAGTAGAAAATGGACAGGGGAGTAGATGCGTCGAGACCGAGCCACGAGGCATGCCACTTACCAACTGCTTTAAACCCGGACAGTTGTTGGCTAAAGTCGACCGATTGAGGCCCTTCGGACAGAGGATCCCAGACAAACACGACGCTATTATAGTGGTCTCCTTCACATCTTATGAGCAAGGTCTCGCGAACGTGAGGATGCCACGACAGGGTGCTGACGCTGCCGTGAAAAAGGAGAACTGCACGAAGTACTGCAGCTTGTACGTCCCAAATCCAGACGGTCGAAGGGAATTCTTCGATCCTGGTTGCTATGAGATTCGATGACAGGTCGAAGGCAATGGTAGCACAACCTGACAGCTGTTCAGCAGCCTCTTGGGGCCTCGGAGGCGGAGAGATAGCTTGAGAGGCTCGGATAAAGGTATGCATGATGGGACCGTGAGAGATTCCGATTCGTTCTTGCCAGATCTGTTGTGTTCCATCAGCTGGTCTGACTCGCAGGAGCCAGGCCCCGTATTACAATCTTACCTGTAGCGTGCCCTTGGGGACAAGGTTGTTGGGATGTTGGAGCCGCAGCACTTCCATTGTGGATGCCATATCGACGATGGATAAACTTCTGCTGTGATCACTAATAGCAAGCAGGCGGGCATCTGGAGAGAACTGCACCGTCTTGACACCGGCACCCAGAGCAAAATCCTTCTCCTCGTGTGTGGGGTTGACGGGACCCGACCAGATCTTGAACAGATTGCCATCTGGCGTATAAAACACGACCTTGTGGCCAAGGGCGGGCGACTCCCACACAACCAGCCATCTCCCATCTGGACTCCAGAGCAGGCCTTGTGCATCAATTGTGTCAGGGGCCCACGATCTCTGCAGTTCCCTACTGGGAAAAGCGTGAATGCTAATCATGTCTTTACCAGCTGTCCTGGTTAATAGGGCAAGGTGGTTGGACTGAGGGCGAAAGGAGAAGCCTCTGCGAACAGCCGTAGAGGACGAGAACTTGGGGCTCCCAATCTCGATGGCTTTGGACGAGTTAAGGTCAAAGACAGCCAACTTGAGACCGAATGAGGCCATGACACAGATTTCTGTATCCGATGCACCAAAGTCAATGTAGGTAGGCTTCAGATGGGGAGCAACAGGGTTTCGGATGGTGGCATGATAGTTCCCATCCAGAGCAGAAAACACTCGAAGCTGGTCGAAGCTGGCAACGAGAAGCAGGCGGGAAGACGGCGACCACTGAAAAGAGAGGAACGGGCCAATGAAGTCCTGAGGCAGTCTGACAGCGTGGATGGGCTCCCATGACTGGACGCTCCGGACATTGATCAAAGTTGGGAACAAAGTCGCGATGTATCGGCCATCAGGGCTGGGCAGGCAGTGAGCCGAAGCTATGAAACAGACCATCGATCAGCCATGGTGCCTGTGGGAATGAATTTGGCAAGCAACCTGGAGTGCTCCGAGGGCAGCTCCCGCGGATCCTGATGATAGCCCAGGCCCTGTCTTGAAGGACATGTGGATGTTGCGGTTGTGGTGGTGATGATGTTTCCTCACCTACACTTTACGTTCTTGGAGAACAACATCTGTGTCGCTTTGGTGTTCAGCGGAAGTCTGGCGTCGGTTTTTGTGTCGGTCAGGCCGAAGAAGTAGTTTAGTGGTCCACGTTTAGTTGTCGTTTTGTTTTGGTGGGTTTCTGCTATTTTTGGGCCTGTTTTGGCCAGATGTTGTTGGTCAATCCCAGTTGGCAAAAGATGTTGAACAGGAAGAGAAAGTCTAGACGCGAAGGGGAAATGGGGGCACGCGTCAGAAAGAGCAATTGAGCAGGATGACACTGGCAACTACCTAGGTACCTAGAAGGCGGTCAGCAAACAGTCAGTCGACCAACAACGTGACTTCCATCACCAACTGTTCTGGTGAGACGAGAAGTGACAGGCAGGTTCAATGGATTCTTCCCGTCCTTCCTTCCTGTCACGAGCTCAAAGGTGCAGTCCGGCCCTGTGTCGTGCAGGCACCAAGGACGCTATCTTACCGCTAGGTAGGCAGCGCTACTTCTAAGGAATGTCTGAGGTGCACAGTCAGAACAGCTCGAAGGGACTGAAGCTGTCAACGACGGACTGAAGCTGTCAGAATGAACCGAAGGACACGGCGATTGCCGGACAGTACATAGTACATAGCCCCTCTTGGCAGTGTTGACTCCCCTGCCAAGACAGAGGCTTCCCATCGGAGAGGTGGTCAGTGCGCCCTATCATAGGAAATCCTGATGTTCGCCGCTCTCCGCAAACGTGGTGCGGGGTGAAAAGTCCAGCGTCGGTTTCCGTGCTTACACTACACTCAGCTACACTACTGTTGAACGATGAACCTTGTCACTACTACTTTCTCCATCTTCTTGGAGATAATTGATAGCAGTGTTACTACGGTTTGTCATGGTATTTGTGTATTGCCCTATCTCAGTGGATATGAGATTGTTGCCTCTATTCTGCCGCGCCACAACTTCTTTCTTGACCTTTGTAATACCGGATTGTAAATCCTTACAATAGCTGCTTTGTGTTCACTCTCGTTGGTTTAGTCTGACCCTGACTTAAAGAGCTGCGAGTCCAACCCAACCAGCTGATGGTCCGGAACCCGGACTTGCAAGCTAACAATTAAGCTGATGAGGTCATCACAAACTACCTTAGTTTGCCTATTTCCAGCCACATCATGGTTGGTTTTTCTCGGTCTCTCTAGTCCAAACGTTCTTTGAGAGTCTAAAGTACGAAAGAAAATCAACAAAAAAGAAAGAAGCCATCAATCATGTCCGCTGTGGCCCGCCATGCGGCCCGAGGACTCCGAGTCCGCATCGGAATATGGCACCTTACCAGGGCGTCGATCCCCTCATCCCGACGTGTTGCCACAGCTGCAGCCGCAAAACCAACAACAACCACATCGTCTTCAGCATCGATAGTACGGAACGCTTCCTCATACCTGTCATCTGCTCAAGCGTCAGTGACTCCAGACGAACATAGTTCATCTAGCGTACCTGTCGACATCAGCGTTGGGGCTTCTCTACATACTCCGACAACGGAGTCAGAAGAGCCACTTCATCATCCAGCAGCCCCCACGCCAGCGTCCTCACGAAGGGACATGCTCAAGGATGCAAAACCCTTCTCCGACTTTTTAACTGACAACTACAACCGTCAGCATGACTACCTTCGAATCTCAGTAACGGAGCGATGTAATCTTCGTTGCCTGTACTGCATGCCTGAGGAGGGTGTCCCACTGTCGCCTCAAAAAGAGCTTCTGACTACCCCCGAGATCGTCTTGCTCTCGTCCTTATTCGTCTCGCAAGGCGTGACAAAAATCAGACTCACTGGCGGCGAGCCAACGGTGCGGCGCGATATCGTGTCCCTGATGCAGCAGATAGGCGCCCTACGGCCTCACGGTTTAAAGGAGCTATGTCTTACCACGAACGGGCTCTCGCTGCACCGTAAGCTGGACGCCATGGTCGAGGCTGGATTGACAGGCATCAATCTCTCCCTGGACACCATCGATCCCTGGCAGTTCCAGCTGATGACGCGCCGGAACGGCTTTAGTGCCGTGCAAAAATCCATCGACCGCATCTTCGAGCTCAACCGCCTTGGGGCCGGCATCAAGTTCAAGATTAACTGCGTCGTCATGCGCGGTCTGAACGACCGCGAGGTACTCCCTTTTGTTGAGATGACGCGGGATAAGAACGTGGAGGTTCGTTTCATCGAGTACATGCCGTTTGACGGCAACAAATGGAACAAGGGCAAGATGTTCAGCTACCAGGAGATGCTGGAGCTTATTCGCTCCAAGTACCCGGACCTACAGAGGATCCAGGGTCACAAGAACGACACCAGCAAGACCTTCCAAGTGCCTGGGTTTGCCGGCAAGGTTGGCTTCATCACGAGCATGACGCACAATTTCTGTGGGACGTGCAACAGACTGCGAATCACCAGTGATGGGAATCTCAAGGTGTGCCTCTTTGGCAACGCCGAGGTCTCTCTTCGCGATATTGTACGCAAGATCAACCAGGGAGAACCCATTGATGAGGAAGCGTTTGAGGTTCTGAGGCAGGCTGCGCTGGAAAAGGCAGGCCAGGCCTTCACCGACGGGACTTCTCCATTGCTCGCTCCCAACTCAGAGGAGCTTCTGAATATTATCGGCATGGCCGTTAAGAACAAGAAGGAGAAGCATGCCGGCATTGGCGAGCTCGAAAACATGAAAAATCGACCAATGATCTTGATTGGTGGGTGATGTTCGTCCTCCTCCTTTGCTTGCTTTCATGTTTTCTTTTGCACTTTGGCCGGAGTTGTGAGGGGGTTTCTTGGTATGGAGGTTTTGGGGCATGTACATCATATGGGCGGTTATATCGTGATATCTTTACGTACAGAACCACGGTCAATGGTCATACTGGGGCGTTCTTGTAGCACTATGTTTGGTTTTGCAAGATGGTAGACATACTAAGGATGTTCCGTCTACCCAGATACCAATACCAATGCTATATTTCAGCACCGTTCCCAGTCATACCAGTCACCGAACCACAACAAACATCAAATCCATTGGAATCATAATGGGGTTTCTTCCCTTCTCTCACCTCTCACCAGCAATACCCTCAGCAGAAACGTGAACAGCTTTGTCCAACGCAAGATGCAAGGCGCCAGCACGTTCAACCCTCCTCCAACCTCAGCCCTCTCTCAAGGACTTGGGCACCTCCGCCTCTTCTCCACCACTCGCTCCTTCCTCTCCTCCTCCTCCTCCTCCTCCTCCTCAGACAGCAACTCCAACCACAACAATGAGAAGGGACAACCTGAACAATCCACACTTAACAATGCGAAGGAACAGCCTCAACTCAAGCCCAGACTTACCCACCTCACCCCCACTGGCGAAGCCCACATGGTCTCCATAACCACCAAGACGCCTTCCTCGCGCACCGCCGTTGCCAGGTGCACCGTACACTTCTCCAACCCGACCGCCTACCCGCTCGTCGTCACCAACTCCCTGAAGAAGGGCGACGTCTTGGGCGTGGCGCGCATAGCGGGGATCATGGCGGCCAAGCGGACGCCAGATATCATTCCGTTGTGTCACCCGATTCAGTTGACGCATGCTGAGGTTGAGTTGGTGCCCGTTGCGCCCGTTGCTCCGGCTGCCGATTCCGTTGCGGGGTCAGAAGATTTGGAGAGGGGCTCAGAAAGTGCAAAGGGACAGGGATATGGATACATCGACATCAGAGCCACCGTGTCTTGCTACGGCAAGACGGGCGTTGAGATGGAGGCCATGACGGCCGCGTCGGCAGCGGCGTTAACGGTGTATGATATGTGCAAGGCGGTAGATAAGGGGATGAGGGTTGAGGGGTTAAGGGTGGTGATGAAAGAAGGTGGAAAGAGTGGGAAATGGGTGGAGGGGGAGAGCGTGAGTGAGTGAGCTAGGTCCCCAAGGAGACAGGATGGCGAGTAAGATGCAGTTTGTAAAAGGTAGAAGAACAGAGTTGTTGGCGATGGGTGCCAAGGAAGGAGTTGACTACTGACGGGGACAAGGGAGACGAAGTGTCTGCAGCGAGTGGGATGTTGAAGTCCTGTGGGGCATGTTGCCTGAAGAGCATTCTGCTTTTGAGTATTGGTGGATGATCTTTCATTCTTTGCACTGGGGTCTATGAGCTAGCTGTATCTGAACAAGGAAGAAGAGAGGTCAAACATCAATCTCACACCATGATATCCTTTTCGTCTCCAAACAAGAGTTGAGTCCAAAGCAGACAAATCACTACGAACACACATTAATCCACTCGTGTTGTTGACAAGCACGTGTCTAAGACACCAATGCCATCTCCTTTTGCAAGCACTCGTACTGACACGTTTGAGATGGAAGTAAACAAACATGTAGTAACCTCGGCATTATTTAAATTGCTTGGCCATCAACCACCCCCGGTGCGCGCGGCTCCCATCCATTTCTATCACGCCTACCTAATTAGGCAAACCCAAGACATTCGCCAAGGACCTCGGGATCGGTCTCGACTTGATATATGTAACCGCCGCCCCCGTTGCCTACCCTAAGTGTGCTGCTACTGCGATCCTGCATATGGTCTAGACTTTCTTTGGTAACGTAAATATCGCCATGTAGTTTCAGCCTAGGGTACGTCGTAGAAGCCATCAGTATCAGTTTGATGCAGTCGATCGAGAACCTCCAAGAATATAGCTCGACGGGAATAGCCTCAGGTCGCTGCCCTAGCCTCGAGCCCCTATGGGCGCTACGGCGTATCCCTGAGACCATGCTTGACGGGAACGCTGAACCCCGATGTCCCGTCCTCAGCAGCCGGCAGCCAGGGCCTACTTTAAGCGGAGGCTTGGCGTTGTTGAAAGCTATTTGGATGTGCAAAGCTAGCAGCTGCTTGTCCCGTCCATTCAGGTCATAGCGTCGCGCCGTGGTTCCTCAGAGTCATGGAATTGAAAACTCAAAAAGCAATTTCGCAGTATCGGGCCGTGAAAGTTGAAGATCACGTTCTCCTGGTGGTTCATCGTCGTCGTGGTTGTGTCCTTTGCCGCCCGTCGCCGACCACGAGAGTCCGGACTGGGCTCGGGTCCCTGTCTGGTTAGTCACGGTAGTTGTCATGACGTAACAATATCACAGGCTTTCGGTCTAATTCCGTTGCCGCTGCCCGGGATGTAAGTAAGTTTTGGGGGGACCTCGTAGGAGCCGTGGGAGCACGCGCAGAGCCCCAACACTGCGAGGGATCTCCGAGACCATTAGGTTTTAGGTTGTAGGGCTTATGAGATGCGAAATGAGAAAGGGATGGGTTGAGGGGTTAAGATCTCGGGAGGACCCTCGACAAAAGGAAGAGTACAGTTGAATGTTGCGCAGGGCGGGTCGACCGAGGCTATGCAGATGTTAATTAACGGGAAATGTGGAATATTTCGAGTCAAAGCCTTGAGTGAAGTCCGGGTTCTCCAAATTCGAGAGACGAGACATCTCGTGGTGTGCACAACCTGTCAAGTTGACCATCTCAGTTTGTCAGTCCCCTGTCCCGGTTCCCGCTCCCGTTTTGGGGGGGGGGAGGTTGTGCTGTTCTAAGTAACAACACTTCTGTCTAGACTGTGCGACTTGGTTTTGAAATGGGCGGGACGTCGTTCGCTGGTCTCCCGCTCCGAACTCGACGTCGACCGGCCGCAACCGAACTTCATGGACAACTCCCACACCTCCCCCTCTTCTTCGAACTTCTGTTTCCTTCCGTCGCCGGTCAAACGGGTGCCTTTCCCGTTCGCATCAAGGCAGTGTGACAGTCAAGGCTTCAAGTCCAATCAGGGCACCTCGCGTCTTCGGGGCGACTCGCACGAATCTCGCCTCACCACCTTTCGAAACCCCTTCTGGGGCTCCCACCCCCAAGTCCGATATTCGCTGTCTGCCATGGCTCTCCAGCGCCGCTCCAGCCGCCGGCAGCGCGCTCACGGCGCCAGTTGGACAATTCGACTAGGTAACAAAGTGGCATGGACCCGCTGTGAACTCTGGGGCGATGGAGACAGGTCCTTGAGGGATTGGAGGGACCCTGTAACTGCACTAACGCAAGGCAAAAACAGACTGTAACCATGACCATGCCCGAAAAAGGTTTGAAGAACACACAAGAGAAAAGAGTTCCACTCTCCCCCTGACCCTGCTTGTGGCTCTTGGAGTGGAGACCTTTTGGATTCTCTCTTGGGCAGGGAATAGATGCGAGACATTTCCAAACAAAATCCAAGTCGAGCTAATCAGCTCGTCGCGATAACCTTCAGGTGAGGTTGACGAATCAGGTCGTGAGGCTCAAAGAACCCCGCTTATGTACATGTGCCATGGCTTGCCAAAGCATGCTTTTGATGTTCAACGCTTGATGCAAATGCACCTCTGCCATATTCATCATGTCTTGCCATTGAGTTTTCGACTTTTTCAACGTCAAGCGAAGTCACTCTTTGCATTCTCGTTTCTCTTGAGAGAAAGAGACAGATCGTAATTATTATTTCTTTGTCGCATGGAAACGCGGCATGTCGTAACGTGGAAACGACATGGAAGAGATGTAGTGATGTATGGTATCGTTACGAGCATTTCATACAGTTCCGATTCTGTGCATCTTCACCAGCCCATATCAGCAATTGTGCACCCTACGGTTTTGAGTGGTAATTGGTGGGTGAATCCTTATCCTCACAGAAGGTATGTAAATAGGTGGTGCTAAAAACAAAGAATGCAGACGGGCTCACTACGAAAGCAGTGGTCGTGCATGTACATACTGTGTTTTAGCACCACCTGGTAGATCAGGCCGTGGGAGGCTAGCTGGCCACACACACAACCTCTCCCTCCCTCTCGAAAAGGACACCCACTTCCATCTCATCATGCCAGAGCCTCTTCCCCTCCTCAGTGTCGACCGTACCACCTGGAAGCTAAGAAAAAAAAAAATAAATAAATAAAAAAAAATAAAAAAAAGGGAGAACACCACAACACTCACCTCCTGCCCCTCTACCCCTCCTCAAAACCAAGGGACTAATGCACTGCAACGGCGGGAGTGATGAGAAAGCGAAGTGAATTGAGACATTTCATTCTCCCCCTCTCACTTGGAAAAAAAAACGAAGGGGAAAAAAAAAGCCTAGCGGTTGCCGTAGCCGTTTGTGCTTGGCCTGCTCTGTCTGTCCATTCCTTGTCACTTTTGACGTTCGGGATGCTTGTTCTTGAAGGAGGAAGGTGCCGTCCAACCAGAATTGAGCTGACTGACTGACTGCATCAATTGCCTTCCACTCTTCCGGGGAATACCTGGCAGAAGGGTGACAATCAAGATCTCGTACGACACTTCCATGGATCCTTGGACGGGAGGACGGGCGGTGAGCCCGGTCCTTTTATTCCCCCCAAAATACCCGTGGCCTTCTAAACTTGTGGGACCAGTTCCTGGTGTTCAACCCGACTGTGAACCTGTTTGCGTTTCTGGCAAGACGGCACATGTCGTTGAGCCTCACTTGACCTCGCCTAGGACAGGATTGGTGAACCCAGAACAAATACCAAACTCGACCGAAACACCACAAAAACGAACAAATATTTATCTATCTTGAATTACAATATTTCAGTTTTATTCTTCAATCTTCTTTTTAATTTTTTTTTTTTATTTTTTAAATTTTTTTTTTTTATTATTTTTTTTTTTTTTGGCTTCAACGCCTAGTAAGGGCACTCTCTAAACCTGTGCAGTCCTGCAGTATGCAGCTGTCAGAACTGGACTCGGGTTTCATTGATTCTGTCCTAAGCGAATGGTCTTTTTGTGTTGCTTCCACATTATGGCACCATGCATGAAAACGAATGTCAATTCCGCGGAAAAGGGCCATGATAACACTGCCTGTTATGTGTACGTCTGTGCGTATGATGTATGTACCTGATTCCTTTTTTTCAACATCTTTGGAAAATGAACGACGGTGTAAAATGTCTCGGGAGCAGGTGTGTACATATGCATGTTCCTATCTCTGCCCAGTCAACCGGGTCCCGGCAATGGGTTTGTTTAGGGTTCGATTGGTGTCAAATAAAGCCCAGCCCAATACAATGAGTTTTACGCCGTATATCTAGCAGTTCTCACTTGTGACATATTCTCTACCTTGACTATAGATGTTCTCGACATGTCAGACACCTACAAAGACCCCAAAAAATGATCCCATGAATTTTAATGTCATCTTTGCCGTAAGCCGAATCCCCATTCACTTGAAGCACAGGCGCGACATTAGGTATGAGCGCCTCTGCCACCCCGCATATTTGCAGTCTCAGTTTCCTATGATGTTGTTCAAACCCCAGCTTGCATCCAACGTCTATAGTGCACATGGGTAGACGCCGACGGAGCCGATATAAGATCGACATGGAGGAAGATCCGTACGCAATGCCGCCATCATCGATCAGCTCAATTGATGCTGCTGCGTAGTCTTGTTGTTTGAATTTCAACGTTTCCATTCAGATCTTCATAAGAGTCTTTTTGCCTGGGCTAGCTTGAGAGGGACAACAACCCCTAAAATATACCATAGTCTACATTACTTACGACTCGCACAGTTTACGCCACTACGGCGTGGCGGACAAGGTCGTCATCACTGCAACCGAATGTCGTGACTGGGGAACCCGACCGCCTCGCTTGTGTCGGCCCATCACATATAATCTTGGAGGGCGGATGTCGTATGAAACTAACGGGTATGCAAGAAACGGAGCGAAGATCTCCAGATAAGTGCGCAGCCTCGGATTCGACACATAGCAATTCTATAACAGGACTACCTACATCTGGTGGTCGAAGTATATATTTCACAGCTTTATCGCCAACAGTGGTCAATCTTTCACGGTTTTGGGTATGTACCACACAACAATGAATAGAAGAAAGGGTATATTGCAGGTTGAATCAGAAGTTTAGCATTCTCAAAGCCCACGAAGTCGTCAAGGTAAGTAGCTTTCACATATCCAAACAGGCTACTGTAAGGCCCTCTGTCGTCAGTAGCCAAACTGCAACCTGCGCGGAAACCAAGAGCTGAATTAGAAGAGACCCCCGCCAGTGTCTCGGAGACGACGAGGGGCCAGTCGCTCTGTGTATTTTGATAGAAGGGAACGTTGCGGTCGATGGCATATATCAGTGCGGCTGACTAAAAGCGAAGACAGTCGCGGGCGGTTGGTTGGTATTGATGAACGATCTTTACATAACCAGGCAGCACGAGTTCTGCTTCTTCGCACTCTGGTAGAACATCTTGCTCTGCGCACTCAGGTCGGAACTCTTGGCAACCAGGTCGTCGAGCTTCTCGCCTCGTTGCAAAACCTAAAACTAGGTTAGCATGTTATATAGAGCATTGCTACCCTCTGTGAATGGACATACGCTATCAATAGCCTTGTGTAGGACGATCTTGGTCTCGTCGAGCTCCTGCTGGATCTTTGCAATGCTGCTCGCGTTGTTGGCATCTTGGTAGTCGCGGAGGTACTGCTCGATGGCCGGGAAAGGGATGTCGCCGTCGTTCTTGGCGGCGTTTATCGTGGCAACCGGCTTCTCCGAGAGAAACTGGTCCATGAGCTTGGAAAGGACACTGTGGGCGGCGATAGGAGGGTAGTCCTTGGTGATGACGACACCGCAAACACCCTCGGAGCGGGCATAGGCGTGGATAATATAATCTGTTCGGACACCACCTTGTCAGCTAGGCACATGTATGCGAGCAGAGAGTTCACCATAGACGCACCTTGCTCCTCAACACTTTGCCTCTGGCCAGGCTTCGTCCTCTCTGCGACAGTCCTGCTGATCATGGTCATGAAGTTCTTGTATTGGTCTCGTGTGAACCTGGAGAAGTCGCTAAGCTCGTGGGCACCGCAGAGCTGCACCGCAGGCTGCTCGGTGTTTTTGTAGATCTTGTTCGCGGTCAGCAAGTACCTTCTTGTACCCCCTATGAAAACAGCCGTATCTTACACCAATGTAGTAGAGCTTCATGGTGGCGGTGTTTGAAATGTCCCCGAGGTTTTGTTGTGGTCGTGTTTCAAATCTTTGGCGCAAATCAGACGAGTATCGCTGTTGATGGTTCCTGACTGTACACGATGATGTTGATGTCTCGCGTTGGTATAGAGAGAGCCGATGTGATGGCGTGGGGAGCAATGAGGTCTGGAATTACCGAATCGTAGGGTTCGTCGTTAAATTAGGTTATGGATTGTGAGTTGCGATGGCTTGGTCAAGGAAGCGCGTCGCTGTGTCGGTCGTGGTTCGGGCTCGACGATGGTCGATGGATTGGGGGTAAAGGTTTGATAGACGACGCGCGATCGATGGCGGCAATGGCGATGCGATGAGGTATCGATGGAATCAAGCTGAGCTGTTGTTGTTCGAGGCTGAATGGCGATGTGTCGAAGCCAACCACAGCCGTCCGCTTCTTGTTGGGCCAGGCCATCGAGACCCATGCCCTCTGGTCTGGAACAGCACCAGTCAGGCGGGCGTCGGCCAAACACCGCCCCGCTAGCACATGTTAGTGCCAATGCTACTATAGGAAGACCTTGTCCTAACACGGGCTCTTGTTGCATCTCCGTGTCCTTTCATTTGCTTTTTGTTCAACCATGATTGACATGTGCAATAACAAGACGACTACTCAGATCCTTACAATCGAACTTGTCAAGAATATTTTCCTGGACCATTGAACAAAAGTTTCCAAGGGGACGGACTGATGATGTGGAAGGTGATTAGAAAGCACAAACAGAACAAGCGGAACGCCGGCCCATGCTTCTAACGAGGTTCCCTGAAGCGAATAAAAGGTCTTTGGTGTACTGCGGTTACGAGCAAAAGTTTTACCTCCCTGTCAGGTATCTTGCACTGACCACTAAAGCTAAAGCTTCGTGGGCACTGTGTGTCCAACGACCTGATCCACGGGTTTAACTTACCCATATCACCATAGTACAGTGTTCACCCGCGAAGCGAATATGTTTGACATGCACTCTGCTCCGAGTCTGGAAGGGATCGCGGACCTCTCAACGAGCATTACCCCTATGAGGTATATGATTCCACGACTACCCAGTATGGAATACTATGGAGCAAAACTCCTCCGAGTCAGACGGATTGGATCGATGCCTTGAATGACCTTCTCGAGAACAAAGTCATCGATCCTCTCCACCAGGTCCGGATATTACACCGCGCGGATTTCCACCTCTTGTCCGATCTCGAAGCCTTTCGGGTACATATCATTCATGGTCGCACAAATGTAACTACACACATATGACCATCGAACCGCCTTGCCTACGCGTCCGTACATCACCAATAATGTAAAGCTGGACATGAATTTCTGGCCGAGACATCGCCAGACTGATGAAGCTGGAACTCTTCCTACCAAAAGTTGACCTTGAAGGAACGACAACCATCAAGACCCGTAGTCGTAGTGTATGTAATGACGAGGAGATGGCTCAAAGAGGAAAACCAATCCGTGGTGTAGTGTAGTGTAGTGTAGTGTAGACAAGCCTAGGAAAGAGACAGGGGGGGTTCGTGAAGTGGCCGGCACATGCGTTCTTCCTTCCACACCAGATTTTGACGCCGGCGATGCCTGTGGTGCTCCACCGCTTTTTGCACCGATTAGGACAAGCCCAGTGAGCTGTGGCTCTTCGCCATTCGTTTCCCCAGCGATCTCACTCTGCCGTCGCGACGGTGCCGTTCGCTTGTGAGATGGAAGAGGAACGGGCGGGATGCTGGGGGACGTTGGGACGGCGACGAAGCGCAGTGGACACTAGACTCTCTGCAGTGGGTTCGCAGTGCAGTGGGTGGGTGGACCCGCTGCTGCAGACCAGGGCCGAGCCAATCCCATTGGCTTTAAAGGCAAGTCCAGGGTGCAACGTCTTGCCGGGCAGTCGGGCGTAACCTGGACAGGAACCATCGTTCGCTCTTGGCTCGCTTGGCTCTCACTCGTCTGCTCCGTTGATGGACGAAGTCGACCTTCCCGACGCGACCTCGTCCCCCCTGGTCAGCTTCTCGAGCCTCGCCCACACTGGTGAGCGCTCCCTGTCAGATCTCCATCGATGCGGTCTGCCGTCGGCCAGACTTGCGGGCTTTGGCAATTTGAGGTATCCACCTGTTGGGTATGATAATAGTGTGGTCATGGTGCATCCGTGTTCTTTCCATATGGACTATTCCTGCAGAGTACATATCTGTCTTCCACTTATAAAGAGATATCTACCTGGGTAACTGTCCCGTATACATATAGCTGGCGGTACTTCTCGATTCATCGTCCGCGTCCCTCCGACCATCCGTCCTGCAAACGAACGCAACTCGGTTTGGCTCTTATACATACCCCTACCTACTACCTTCCCTCTATCCGTTCCCTCCCAAGCCTCCTACTGCACTCTGTGCTTCCTACACTACCATATATATTACTCTGCTTCTTTGCCTCGCACTCTCTCATTACCTAAACCTGACCCTTTTTTTTGCCCATGTGCAAGCAGCATACATAACTCGGAGTTTGGACACACACGGACCCCTCGAGTCTAGATCACCGACGCATCAACCAAACGAGGTTGAACGTCAACTGTGATCAGCTCTGGCTTTCTCTTATCTGCGGATACTTGCCGACTAATATCGATACCAAAGTCACCTCGACTTCACCCTTCCTTCAACATCGCCCATCCATTATATACTGGATGAAGCAATAAACTTCTCCTCATCAACCCTTGATCGCTCTTAAGACGTCTTCAACTTCGTCTCTTGCGACTTTCTATTCTGTCTGCTACGACAATTCAACAAGCCGCACGTGCCAGCATCCATCCCCGCGCTCCCGTCCAGGTTGTTTGAAGCTAGGGTATCTACAACTACACTCTCGACATTCTGTTCTGCGCAATCGGAACACATCACCGCCTCATCAGCCCACCGCCACAGATATGGCTACCGACTTCGTGATGCCTCAGTTCCCCAACAACCAGCAACAATCTCATTTCCAGCAAACATATCGTGGTTTTCATAATAACCCAAGTATGAATCGCCAACAGCCGCCGCCTCAGCAAGTGAGCACGGGTGCTCCTTATCAACCATCCGCCCAGTACAACGGCAATGGCAATGGCAACAGCCGACAAATCTCACCTCTCAGTACGTCAGGGAATGTTTCGCCAACTTCCCCAAAGACCCTCACTCGTCAAATCCGCCCGCTGTATATGCCGGCGGCCCTCAGGCCGAACCAGTACGCATCCAAGCCGCCGACGTCGAGGCCCAGTTCCAAAGACGAGGAGATTGAGGAGGAGCGCAAGTTGAAACCAACCACCAGCTATATCGGACGGGGTGCCCTGGGCCGATTGAGCAGGAGAAACACTGGAGATAGCGGCATGTGCATCGACCCCAACGTGAACCTGGATCATTATCCCAAGCCGACCGGGGTACCGACGCGGAAGCACTGGAAGGTACGTTTCCACCCATCTTCCCTGTCATGTCTCACTTCGGTGAGGCTTTTGTGTGTTTGAAAGTGACACAAGATTCATGGATTGACACGTCTAACTGTTTCTTCACAGCCCGACGCAGAGTCTACGGTATGCGATGATGCCAGGTGCAAGAAGAACTTCAATTACTTCACCCGCCGTCACCACTGTCGCAGATGCGGTAACATCTTCTGTGACGTCCACAGCGCATTCGAGATCCCCTTGGACCAAGATGCGAACTACAACCCCCGGGGAACTCCAAGCCGCGCCTGTCAGCACTGCTATTCCCAGTTTAAGGAGTGGCGAAGCCGGGCCAACAGCCAGTCGTCGACCAGCGGTTCGTCTACCTCGGATGGCAACACGACCAGCTCTGAGCCGGGCAGCCCGGTTCTTGCTTCCCCCATCACCCCCTCGGGGATTAAGATGGGATTCAATCTGGGATTGCCGAGCATGCCCGAGGTGGCCCACAGCGTCCCTAGGGACTGGAACTGGAGCACATTCTGAAGGCATGATTGGCCTTTGTTAAAGTCATTGTCTCCAGAGAGATGTCTCCTGGCTAGAGACCTCTTCTCGCACTCTGCAATCCAGATGGATTGCTCGCTTTTGGACCAATCGCATAGAGTATGTATACATTTCCTCCCGAGTTGAATCTCACCGGAGACGCGGAGTTGAGTGGATCCTCCCATCCGGCAACGGCGACCACAACGGCCAATGTTTATTCTTACGACCGACATGGCCCGAGATTGAACGAAAAGCATATACGCTTAATGCGTGACGTACCTAATATGGCACAACGAGGTGGAATTAATGGGTTACGTTGCGTCGGATGAACATTTCTAGATGGTTCGTTCTGATCTACACGGCATAGGATTTCCCAGCGTTTGCGGGATTGAGCGTCTGCTTTTCGGCTTGCTTTCAGTTTATCACCACCTCTTGGCTTTGGACGTCACAAAGTCGGAAAAGAGTAGCGTGCATATCATAACAAAGAAACCCTCCGCATCAGACTGGGCCTCTGGCGGGATGGGCACTGGCGGAGTTGACCCTTTGGGCCTACGCACAACAGATTGCCCAGGGTTTGCCTGCGCGACATTTCGGTGGGCTTCTCGTCGAGCGGAGCGGAGGAGCACACGACTCGCGCCTGCAGCTTCGGACCCGCATCGTTGAGGCTGCTCTCTTGACCCTCTAGCCGTCGGAGTAGGAAGGTTCCACGTCGTCCCGCTCAAGACTCCACTTTCTTCACCTTCGACGCGGTCCACCCCTACCAATCCTATCAAGTGGAGTTCCGCCGATCTGGCTTTGAGGATGAGCAGTTACACTAGATCTGGTCATGGGATCAGATTCATAGCACCCGGGCAAGGGCCTAATTTTCCCTTTCCCTCACTTATCATACGTTGAGTTGTTGTTGAAATTTCTATGGTTTTGTTCTTTGCTGTTTCTGTTCGAGAAGGGGCGCCAGCCGCGAGCTAGCTCAACCCACAGATTTGCAAATTGCATAATTGGCGTTTCCCGACGGAATGTTTACTGTTTCGTCCAAGCATGTCCGAAGAATAGGAGGACCCTTTTGTTTCGGCCTTTGCAATGTTGCTGTTTTTTTGTTGTTGAGATCTGCATCATTTTTGGGAGAGGCATTGCTATGGGACAGATTATAGGCGTCTTTTTTTTTTTTTCTTGGGATGTACATTTACAACAACATGGGACAAATGAGAAAGAAGTCAAAGAGTCGGAGGCTATCGATTCATATTCAGAACTTCAGATCGGCGTTTCGCTTACTGCCTTTGCGTGTCGATATTCGTGTCTAAGTGATGTAGAAGGAACATACCAGTCGACGTGTGAGACGGAGAAGTTGATCGAATACCTGGTGAGTTCCGGGTACTCGTATGAAGAGGATCATATTCAGATCAGTTACAATCATTCTCTCTTGTAGTCCTGTTGCTGTTGTACTGCACAGCAAGTCAGTAGTCACTCTGATATTCCTTTCCTAAGCTGTCTAGGACATCATCTTTGGAGGAAGAGCATACCGACAGGTACCATCGTCTAGTCCGTTCCTTACGAGTAGTCTTAGGTAGTTCCATGCTAGGCATGATCGTCCGTAAGTCTTAGACAAGTGTCTAATACCAAAAAAGCTCTCTTACAACTCACAACGGTTATCAACTTGACACTCCCAACTTCAACTCTTCTCCATTGGCATCCTTGTCTCGCCGCTCACGGCCAAGTTAGTGCCAGACGGGCGGAGTGCCTAGAGGTGATTACGTGCATGTTTGAGTGGCGTTGGCGTGCGTGCGTGCGTGCCTGGCATCCTGCAGCCTGTCTTCGGCAGTCTGGACTTGAGTGGATGGTTTCCACGTTACGGGATGACATCGCCGGGCGTCCAGGACCCGGAAAACTCAGTTTTTTTTTTGTTTTGTTTTTTTTTTGTTTTTTTGTTTCTTGGTGATGCTGTACAAAAGACAGGGTAAAGATCTGTCAAACGCTTTTTGGTGGCCATCAGAGAGCATGCACATGGTTGCGGGACACCATTGACCCTGCAATTTGGAAAACGAGTTTTCCGAGAGTTTTGTTTTTGGCGGCATTTCATGCAATTATCCCAACCTTTGAACCCCCCTCCAACTCATTCAACTCTCAAAAGTCAAGGCAAAGGGGGCAATGTTGATCTTCCAGCTGATGGACTAACCGAATGACTGTCATTCTTCTATACTCCTTTCACCTTGTCGAGCTTGATCACACCGAATTCCATATAACAAATGGCTCAATAAGACGGTACACGGGCAGGTCTGCAGTATTCAAGTCATGTAGGCAGGCAAGCTCCTCAGCTTGTTATGAGGAAGGACGAGTGAAATGGATATTGGATTTCAGGATAAGGGACACGAAGCCTATAGGATGCGAGAGAGAAAGGCAGGAAGAAAAGAGAGGAAGAGAGAAACGAGGAGAGAAAGAAAGAAAGAAAGAAAGAAAGAGATACCGACGATTTCTCGAAGCCAGTTCACTCGTGTTCCCTTTTTTTTTTTTTTGTCCTCCTGGAAACACGCGAATTGATGTTTTGATCCAGGTGCGTTATTACACACTCTTACTTGAATCTCTCTGAGAGTATATACAAGCCGAAATCTCCATCCGAGAGCGAGACGTGCAGTCGACACCTCTACCTTCCTACACCCACATTGCTCGCAAGAATGATACAGCCGCGGCATGCCGCTCTCTCCATACAGGTCGTTAGAAAGCCATTTGCGAACCTTCTTCCTTCGAACGAATCCGATGAGAACGCGAATGAGATAGATTTGATAATCTGTGTTCATACATCATCGCCAATGGAACCAAGGTGACAACTGAACCGAACGAACAAAAGGCAAAAAATGGTGGTATTGTTTCTTAAAGGGAAAATACAAACCTCTAGGTAGACGGGAGATTGGGCTCGGAAGGTCCGTTAGTCAAAGAATGGCCAGAGACTTTTGGCAGGTGCGAGTGCTACCGACGGTTCAGTTGCTTGGCCCCGATAGAAGACCGGAAGCGAAGGCTGAAGGGAAGGCGCGGAGAGCAGTTTCGTTGATCGCACAATTCTCATTGGAAAAGCGAGGAACCTTCACACCTTGATGCGGTACTGTGGGTTAGATCGATAGAGGTTACTTGACTTGAGCGAATTCTGACTTTCCGGGGCACCGTCATACTAGAGACTTACTGCGTAGAAATGACTTGACTAAAGAAGACACCACAATGTTAAGTACGTGAGAAACTTGGTTGTGATTCAGCCTGTGTATCCAACAATTCGTTGTTGTATTCCTCTTTTTTTTTTTTTTTTTTTTTTTTTTTTTTTTTCCTTTTTGCGTTAATGTCATCACCTCAAACATTCCCGATGTGGAAAGAAGCCTAGATTGTTATGCTGCCCGAATGTGACTTAACAACTTTGTCGCCTACATGGCGGTAGACATGACCATACTGGAATAACGTCCGTAGTTACTATAACGCCGGCATGAGACGTTCCAAGTGTAATAAAACATCATGAGCAGGGCGGCACTCAGTACACAAGAGCTTCATAATAGTCTAGAGTTTGAAGATGGACCATGAACAGTTGTATTCTATGAAATGCCAAAATGTGCTGATGAAATAATGATATGCCGATAACCCAAGCAAAATACCCGTCCCATGCTATTTCCCTTCCCTTTTCTCTTTCCTTATGCTAATAAAACCCAATCAACGTTAATCATCCCTCATCTAAGAGAACCACAAAGTTCCTTGTTTCCTATCTTCGAACAACCTTGAACAGCCGAGTGGCCCTGCTCTTGGCTTTGAGATAATCTGCTACCGCCTTGAGAAACACGGGTGTTTACCCACATACCATTGAGGCGTGGGCGCGGCGCAGAGAATCGGGTATCTCTGTATGTCAGTCTTTTTTTTGTTTCTTTTTTTGTTTTTCCCCACTTCACCTGTTTTGTTGGCTCCAAGCGGAGAACAAGTAGCGAAGAAAGAAGAGATACCGGATGAGAGCTGACATCATCTGGCCTCTTGAGGCTATCGCCAGGTCTGGATCACGACCGGACTTGCGGAGCGCATAACCCCCATTCATACTGGACATACTGGAGGTTATAGGGCTAACTCCAGATCGGATAGTGGTCAAAGTGGTCAGACATTGTTTAAGCGCGCTGGCGAAGGGTACGCTTGGAGGCAGAGCGGGTGGTGCGAGCCTCGTAGGTGTCCTCCTTAGTCTCACCATAGACCTCACCCTCCATCTTCTTGGCAGCCTCCCACCCTGCCTTCTCAGCCATGGCGACGTTGTCGACGGGCTTGGCGTTCTTGGTCTTCTCAGCAGCGTTGCTGCGGCGCGTGTAGCTCTCGATGAAGAAAGAGATGAAGAGATAGGTGAGAGGAGCAAGGTAGAAGACGTTGAGCCAGATGGCAAAGGTGGAGTTGTTGCTGGTGACGCAGGGAACAACGCGCTGGCCATAGGTGGCCTCGGCGGCGTCGACGCGAGTAGCATTGCCAAAGACAAGGACCTTCTGGCTGTCAACAACAGTGCTGGCGGCCTCGACAGCGGAAGCAGTCTTCTCGGGGTTGGCGACCACAACGGGGATAGTGTAGGAGACGAAGGAGTGGACGATGGCGTAGGAGGCACCGAGAAGGAACTGGGTAATCTGCATGCTGGTGAGGGTACGCTTAATGGGGGTAGGAACGCGGATATTGAAGGCAGTAACGGTGTAGTAGGTGTACTAGGAAACTATCAGCGTTTGTTCATGTTTGGAAAGTGATAGTGACTTTGAACTTACCATCAGGGCGTGGATGAAGGAGTTGACAAAGCAGAAGACCCAGATAGGAGTGGACATGTAGCGCATACCAGCCCACATGCAGAGCATAGCACCGGCGTGGTGGTAGGTCTGGAGAGTGGAGCTAAGCTTGCCCTTGGCGAGGATGATGAGGGTATCAACGACCTCGTAGAACTTGGAGAGGTAGAAGATCCAGCCGTAGAAAGCAAGACCCTCGTTCCACAGACGGCCAGAGTCGAAGCGGCTGGGGTTGCCATCGGCACCGAGGGTGACGTGGGGAGAGTAGGTCTGGAAAGCACCAGCCTCATCGTTGTAGAAGACAGAGTTGCTGAGACCAGCGGGACCGTTGATGCGGCAGACGGAGTCGACGAAACCAGCCAGGCCCTCAGGACCGAAGGGGCTCACGAAGGAGCGGCGGACGGCACCGAGCATGCCAATGAAGGTCCAGGCCGAGTATACAGCGAGGAAGACATTGTGGGCAATGACGAACCAGTGGAAAGGCCTGGTCTTGCTGATGGCCCAGGGCTTCTTGCCGGTGGACTTGTTGTAGATGTTGAGGAGCTTGGCGGTCACGGCGTAGACGGTAGCGATCGTGAGAGGGACCTTGGGGTCCAACCAGGCGTAGTAGACATCATCGGGGATGTCAAAGACTGTCGAGGAGTTGGGGCCGGCTGGGGGAGGAGGAACGAAGCCCGGGTTGGTGGCGGGTGGGAACTTGAAGAGGGATGCCTTGGGCAAGGAGAAGGAGATGGACGCCATTCTGACTCCTGGTGCAACCTAAATCGAGTTGGATTCGGTGAAGGATGATGTTGAAAGAGAACCGGGGAGAGAGAAAGCTCGAAAACCGTAACGGACGTCTGCGAGGTTTTGTTCTTGCGTCTTTTGTCAACTTTTTAAACAAACCTTATAAGAGGATCCCCAACGCTTTCGGGATCGTCCAATCTCTGCGCCTCACTAAAAAGGTACTCGGTACTTCTGGGTACTTCTGGGTACGTACTTCAGTGGACTGCGGGGTCGTGGTGAACGTCAACAATTGGCCAGATGGACGCCCGCGGGATGGCGACACTGGAGACGACCGGGACTGGTTTGCGTTGTCTGAGCCTCTGGGTTGATGAGATGGTCCTATTCGCCGGGTGGATGAGGTTGCTGCCGGCGTCGGATCGGCTCGGAACGGGAAACAGGACGAGCGTGATCAGATAAGTAGAGGTCTACAAACTTTATGGGCCAGTCAAGAAGTTTGCACCGGAGTGTAATATCTGGTTGCTTGGCCGGGGAAAGAGAAGGGGAGAACAAATTAACTTTAGTAAAGAAGATGAGGATCAAACCAGGTAGGTAGGCTACAAGCAGCCAGAGATAGCCATTATAGATAGAGGCGACATGTTCCTCAAGTTCATCACTGCAGCAAACTTGATTTACCAGGGGTCAAAGAGGGCAGTGAGCGACGAGCGGCAGGACTGATAAGGTACCTCAAAGGTACGAGCAGACACCAAGGCAAAAATTGGGCGAGGGCATCTCATCCATGGCAGACAGAGGCAGGCTTGGACCGTTGTTGGCTTCTTTTCCTACGTACTTCCCTTGGATTATTGGGCAAGAGGCTGGGCTTGCAGTTGCATGGCAAGACCACCGCAGCACTCCGGGACATTGCCCGTCAAGGCACCTCGCAAACCGAAGGCACATCGCAAAGGGCACATTCCAAAGCCACCTTTCGAAAGGCACCTCTCGTCACGCAACACCGTAACCTGGCTGTCTCGCCGATACCTCTAAGCATGATGATACAGAGCGCTTGCCGTTACTGGTGAGCCATGAACGAGACTTCCCAGTTGAAAATGGTAACTTGTCCCAAGGGCTCCACCCAGAACCTAGTATCAGAGAAATCCAGATCATGCCTGTGTGGTGGTTTGGTGGACAAAGGCAAGGTAGACAGGTAGTTTCCAGCAGACTTCCATAGAGCTTCCATGAAGGCACATTGGACAATTCAAAAGCAAACAGGAACATGCCCGGCCTGTTTGCAAAGCATTCAACCGAGATGTCAACATTTTCCTTGCCAGTATCTGGCAGCAGTACCGTGGGCGTTGCTCTCCTATATCACTCGCCGCTGGGCAAGGGTCCACTCATACATGCACCGAGTTTATCGCGACTCCGCGAGTTCGTGGGCTTCAGGTAGGTATCGGTACCTTGGCAGTACAAGACACTGGTGCAAGTCAAGACCAGCTTCAGCCGACCCATATATTACCAAAAACAGCAGGAGAAGGACTCATTGAGGGTTTTCATTGGTTCACCATATTCACTTTCCCAACCCAGCTGAGTAATTAACAAGCTGCTTGATCCTGGACAATAGAACGCTCTGTTGATGAAGGCGACCATATCGGGAGCCGCGGGGCGAGGGCGACAGCAGCAGCAGCAGCACCTACAGCAAGAGGCGGGCGGTTATCGCTACCATGGCACCTGCCCATCCAGTATCTGCCCCAACGAAGGTACGTAGGTGCATGTCATGTCATTGAAGAGGCGTTACAGTGTTGTCAAGCGAGGCAATCACTTTGACAGCAACTGAATGGAAAGGAAGAGGAACAAGATTCAACGGCACCGGATCACTCGGTGGCGGGCGTGAGCTTTGACGTCTTGGGTTGTCTTGGCAATGCGAAACCGAGGGTTGACGCGTTCGCGGTCATGGAGACGGATCCTGTTGTTGCCAAACAGCCGGGAGGTGATGTCAGTTTGGAAAATCGGATGAGATGGCATTTAGCGACCCAGGCGTGCCGACGGCTTGGCGTTGCCGCTCCAAATCGAATCGCCGACCGGCTTGGTTCGTCCGATCACGTCGACCCTGGGCTTCACTAGCTTCCAACTCTCTCTAGGCCGATTTGGACTCCCGCTACAAACTTTGCATGTGAAAGTTCAAGACAGGGAGCTTATAAATTTCGAGACTCCATTGGCGGTATCCAAAGAAAAAGTATCCATTATCCCGAGGTTCGTCGAAGATGAGGTCCACTTTGGGGAGTACCTAATCGCACTTACACCATGTAGAATCCTCAAAGAGGACGCGGTTCACGGTTGTCAGGCGCGGTCCTAGGCGCTCGAGATCGCCAGGGCTACCTTACAAATTCAACAAAAAGTTTCAGAAAAAGGCAGCCTCTTTACCCCGCCATTTGATCCACATCTCCCCAACAGTTGGAAAGAGCTTGCATTTCATGCACTGTAACTCTGCGCGCCTCACTAAAACTACCTCTACGGACACTACACACACGCGTCTGGGGCTGTGGCAGGCAAACAAGATGTCGCAAGGCGGAAGGTCTCGTGCCTGGGGCTTTGCCCGCGCAGAAGGCAAGTGGAAGGTAGCACGCCGCAAATCTTGGCATCAGGTTTGGGTTTCTGTTGAATGACACCGTACAAACTACAAACACAAGGTGAACCCCCGCTACGACTTTTTCATTTTTTCATTTTTCTTTCATTGCGACTGTCGCCTCCCCCACGACGTCGGCAATGGTTTGTCGTCAAGAAAGGTGAGAAAGGGGACGTGAGGATTCCCCAGACGAGACAAAAAGTCAACAGTTCGACAAGCACGTGAAAGGAACATGGATCCAAGAGCAAAAGTGCTGTCAAACGCCCACGCCCACGCTGCCCACGCCTTTGATCGCCAGTTTTCTCCAGAACAACGTCCACTTCCCCCGCATTCCTTCCGTGGCCGTGCTCCTCCCGTTCCCGCGTGGGTATCACAAGGATATTAAGCCGTGAAGGAGAAGATCTGGATTGCAGATGGTTCCCGCAAGGTGAGCCGCTTGGGCGTACCATTGTGTCTTTTTGTGTATCCAAAGTTTGAGATACACTAAAACTCCCTTCTTGATAAGCAACATCTGATTGTCGTTCAACGAAGCAAAGGTGATAGCTGCTTCCAATAACAATGGCCGTCCGTTATGAGCAGTTGGAACAAGGTCGTGAATTTAAGGTCTTTTCTGCATGGGCAATGCTGCACGTTGCCTGTATGTATTTACCTAAAGTTCATTTCCAGCAGAAGAAACTCCGTCGCTATGCCAAAGATGGACTTGGACTTATGCCCAGCCTTGGCGACGATACCCTTAAGGGTCTCAGCGTAGGAATGTTGCTTCACCTCCAGTCGTACTTGTCCAACCGAGGTATGCACGGACACTCTTCCAGTCTTGTGTAACCATGTGTCCACAAGAGGGTTCAGATGAGGGGTGAAAAGAGGGGGACGGGACAAGAGGGAGAATTAAGCTTAAGGTCTGATGATGCACGTTTGACACCATTCCCATCTCCATCTCGTCCGATCTGGTGTCGCTGCAATTGCGTCGCGTCTTGATCGCATTTTCCAAGATCTAAACGCTTAAAATGGCCTCTTCTGTATCCGGCCCCACTCCGCCCGGGCTACCGCCGCTACCGCCCGGACACGGCGATTACTTCACCGAGACGCAGTGGTCCGTGCTCATGTCCCTACTGGACGCTACTGTTCCTTCCATCACAGCAGTCTCAGACAGGAAAGATGACAAGACACAGCTCGGGATTACCGATGCCGAGTTCAAGGAAATCGTCACCAAGGCACAGGCCAGTGTGGTGAAGAAACCCGCTGTTGAGGATATCACAGCTTATCTGGCCGAAAGGCCGTCCAATGACCCGGCCTTCTGCCGTGCCGTGCGCCGGGTCCTCGGCAACGTCCCGCCATCCGCACAAAAGCGGCTCGGAGGCGTCTTATCCGCTCTCTCGTAAGCCACCACCAACACATACAATACTAGTGTTCCATTCAGATTACACATGACCTCCAAAACGGGAACGCACACCCAAGTGTTGCCCCGGACTACCCCTTTTCCTTGAAATATCCAGGTGTCAACAAAATAAGACAAAGATGTGAGTGCTAACCTTCCAACCCTAGGACACGGCCCGGCAGCCTCCTCCTGACAGGCTATGCCACCCCCATCCAGGACCAGCCCCTCCACATCCGAGAATCCATCCTCCGGAGCTGGTCCTCCTCATGGTTCGGTACTCCCCGCACCCTCTACAAAATCTTCACTGCCATCGCCAAAGTACTTTGGCTCCAGACGAGCCCTCTCTTTCGCACCGTCACCGGCTACCCGGATGTGCCAATAAACTGGAATCCAGGCCCCACAGAGGACTTTGGATTTCTGCAATTCGACACTTCTGTTAGTGAACCCGCCACTGTCGACACCGACGTGGTCATCATCGGCTCTGGCTGCGGCGGCGGCGTGTGCGCCAAAGTTCTCGCCGAAGCGGGGCACCGCGTTCTCGTCGTCGACAAGGGGTATTACTTTAATCCGGCACAGCTGCCCATGCCCATGGAGCAGAGCGGGTTTCATTTATTCGAAAACAACGGGCTCGTCAATAGTGTTGATGGCTCCATCAACGCCGTGGCGGGGTCGTGCTGGGGCGGCGGCGGTAGTGTTAACTGGAGCGTTAGCCTGCAGACGCCGGGGTATGTGAGGAAGGAGTGGTCGGAGCAGCACGGCTTGCCGTTTTTCGAGAGCGCCGAGTTCCAGAACTGCTTGGATCGCGTGTACGAGTTCATGGGCGTTGTAAGTGGTGATAAAGTGAGGACAACTTATCGGGGGCAGAAGCTGCTGGAAGGGAGCAGGAAGCTGGGTTACGAGGCGCACGTGTGTCCCCAGAATAACGGCGGGAAGGAACACTGGTGTGGGCATTGCCCTTTGGGTTGTGGTAGCGCGGAGAAGCAGGGGCCGGCGGTCAGTTGGCTGCCGGCGGCGGCGAAAAAGGGGGCTACCTTCATGGAAGGTTTTTCGGTGGACAAGATTTTGTGGGATGAGTCTTCTTCGTCGTCGTCGTGGTTCGGATCAGGAGGGAAGAAGAAGGCGGTGGGCGTGGAGGGAACGTGGACTGCGAGGGATACTAATGGGGGAGTGATTGGGGAACGGAAGACAAGAAAGGTCGTTATCAAGGCGAAGAAGGTCATTGTTTCTGCTGGAACGCTTAACAGTCCTTTGATTCTTCACAGGAGCGGGTTGAATGTGAGTGCTCACCAACGACTGGTTGTGTTTAATCAAGAGGATTTGGGAGACTCACAATCTGAACAGAACCACCATATTGGCCGCAACCTCCATGTCCATCCCGTTAAATTCATCGGCGCTTACTACGAGGATGATGTGAATCCCTGGGAAGGTCAGTCTCCAGCATTGTCTCGCCACTTGCAGCATTCTCATAACTAACCACAATGCGGACCATAGGTGGCGTCATCACCACCATCTGCACCGCCTTTGAGAACCTCGACGGCCAAGGCCACGGCGTTAAGTTAGAAGACACGTGCATGCTTGTACGTATTCCCTCTTCCCTTCGTCCTCCTTTACTTATCACCCCATCCCTTTTTCTCTTCAAACCCTCCACCATACTAACCCTTCGCTCCCAACCAGCCTCACTCAATTCTATCCCAAGTCCCCTGGCGCGGCGCCCTCTCCTGGAAGCTATCCTGCTTGCGCTACCCACAATTAAGCGCGTGGCTTTCTCTTTCGCGCGACCGGGACACCGGCCGAGTTTACGCCGACCCGGTGACCGGGAAACTCTGCATCGAGTACACCATCTCGTCCTTCGACGCGAGCCTCAATTTCGAGGGAATCATCGCTTTGGCAAAAATCGCCTATGTCACGGGTGCGAGCGAGATTGATCCTTTCTTGCCGGGGGTGGAACCTTTTGTTCGATCTTCCCCCGGTACTCCTTCCACCCCAACTGAAGAAGCGAAGGAGGAAGATTACGATAAGGGAGTTAAGGACCCTCTATTTGAGAAGTGGCTGTCCACCCTCCTCCACCAGAGGGATAACGCACCACTTTGCCCGCCTTATGTATCGGCGCACCAAATGGGCACGTGCAGGATGAGTAGCAAGCCGGAAAACGGCGTGGTGGATCCTAAGGGGAAGGTTTGGGGCACCGAGGGGTTGTATGTAGCGGATGCCAGCGTGTTTCCGAGTGCGAGTGGAGTGAATCCAATGGTTACGAACATGGCGATTGCGGATTGGATTGCGAATGGGGTGGCGAGGGATTTGGGGAAGAAAATCTGAAAAGAGGATTTACGAAGGCAGAGGTATGTAGAGGGTTGTGAGGTGGCAGATAACCGCGGAGTTGATGAGTGTGGTGATCAGTTATATGGCTTTCAAGGTGATGTTAGGGTTGACGGATAAGTGGTGGTTTGGCAGGAAGTTTTCTTGTCGCAGTTGTGTGTTTTGCTTTTGCTCTAGTGCTCGAATTTGATTTTCCCGAGCTTTGCAATATTAATCGTATGCCAGTAGTTAAAAAGCAGCTCATGATCTGGTGTATTTTCTGCATGACCCAACGCTGACAGCATCGCCTGGCAACCACATCTCCCGAACGCATCCACTAAATAGGAACGTCTTGCGAAAAGAAACTGATACTCAGGAGGCAAGAATTGCAACCGGTAATGATCATCACGACTACCAAGAAAAATGTATCCTCTCCTCGTGTTCTCCTATTCTATTCATAAAACCAAACGTCAACTCGTCAACTCGTCAACCCGTCATCCTCCTCTTCGTCATCCCCATCCTGATCATTCCTGTCTTTCCACCTCTTCCCGAATTACTTCCTCTCCTCGACCAGCGAGGTGTTCCATCCTACGCCCCAACAGCGCCGCCGTTCTTAACAACCTCCACTTCCCCAACCGCTGCTTCACTTCCAACCGTGGCCCCAGGCCCCTCATACTTCCCCAGCCTCGCCACCAACATGGTATTCTGCCTCTGCAACTCGCCCACCTGCTCCCTCAACATCTCCATCTGCCTCAACGCCAGATCCCTCTCCGCTTTAACCTTCTCCATCTCCCTCAGCACATTAGCTTTTTCCTCCTTTTCAGCCGCCTTCCTCAGCTTCTCCTTCGCTTTCCGCTCCTCCCGCAGCCGGTGCTGCTCCAACCGCGTCAGCTCGCGCTGGTACTTCTCTTCCTGCTTCGCGAGCTCGCGCTCGTGCTTCTCGCGTAGTTTGGCAAGTCGGGCGTCCTCGTGCACCGCCTTGCTGCTTTTGTTGTGCTTGGAGGCGGTGTCATCATCGAGGGCAGCGGCAGCCGCGGCGGCGGCGAGTCCCTTCTCTTCCTGTTCGCGCCGCTTGGCGGCTTGTTTGGCTTGGAGACGGTGCAGTTTCTCTTCGGCCTTGCGGTGGCGCTCCTCGAGCTTGCGGACTTCTCTTTCGTGCTTTTCGCGCCGCGCGGAGTAGTGGTCGGGGAGATGAATGCTGCCGTTGTCGCCGGTAACGGTGGGCTGAAGAGAAGAGGCGGATTCGGTGGCGGAGAGTTCGGAGCGGATGGACGTCGCGCTAGTGGGATCGTTGGAGAGGTCGCCATTGCCGTTAACGGTGAGGGACTGACCGGATGCGTTGATGGGGTGGCCTTCTCCTTCCGTGGCGGAGACGAAGCTGCGGATGGAGGACACATCGCTTTCGATGTCAGAGGAAGAGATGGAGGAGGCGAGTGAAGCGGTGTCATCGTCGGTGTTGTTGTTGGTAGTGCCGGCGAAGTTGGCCACTTTGTTGGCTACGGCATTGCCTGCTGCGCCGAGAGCACCGGTCAACATACCGTAGAGACCACTCGACTGCGAAGCAGGGGCTTCTTCCTCGACAGCCTCTGTCTCTCGTAACGGAGATTGGGCATGGTCGGCCTTATCGACACCAGCAGCTCTTTTCTGTTGTACGGTAACGTCCTTGCGCTGAATGTCGTCTGGTGCCGTCGTAGCTGCAGCAGGTTGCGGGACAGCCTGTGCTGTTTGCTCCAGCACCTCTTCGCCATCACTTTCGGTAAGCTCTTCGATACTTTTGGTTGACAGCCAATCTAGTAAACGGGCAGCGTCGTTAGTTATTCCGCCAGGAGTTCCTCTTTCGACCATAAACCTAGGCACACTGCCTCCGGGGTCACTGCGTGTCACCATGAGCCACTCGACAGCAAAGTGTTGGTCATCATCGTCTCCCTTTAAAGAGGATCTGCCACCATCATCAGCTCCATCTGCCACTGCCATTGCCGCTTTCTTAGCAGACCGCAGCACAGCCTCCTTTTTGAGGTCATCCACGTCTGCCTGATCCAGCGCATCCTTCATCTCGTGAAACTCCTCCCTACTGAGTTCCGAAGAAGATTTCGTCCTTCTCAACGGCCTATCCAGCGGAATCTCCCTGATAACCTCGACGGATTCGTACTGTCCCCTGATGAAATCCGACCTAGCAGGGGCATCGGGGTGTTCACATGGTCTCGACACCAACATGAACTGTCTCGGCTGTCGCGGTCCCTTTTCCAACGCATTTCCAGTAGCCCCAGGCCCAGGCATCATCAGACAGGTGACAAAGTCCCTAGGCGTAGTCGGCCCAGGAAACCTCGCGCTCACCAGGAACACCTCCAGCCTCCCTCGTCCTTGTTCCCCGCTGCTATCACCTTCTGCGCCTCCTCCTCCTCCTCCGGCGCCTACACTCACACGCTCAAGCCTCTTCTCTCCACCAATACCTCTAATATTTCCCGTGCCCGGCTCCGTCCCATTCTCCTGATACCGCTTTATACTTTCAGCGAACTCCCTCTCCAGCCCTGCCCGCCACTTGTCAAAGGCCACATCTTTATGGACGCTCCTCCGCGCGAACCAGGCGCCCTTTCCGTCTTTCGCAGAGAGCTTGTACACGTTGATGCCGAGCGGGTTCTCTTTGGTATTGGAAACTTTGCACTCTTTCCATTCTTTGCGGAGCTTGGTGGCTGTTTCGGCTGCTTCCGCTGAGAGCTTTATTGGGAGGAAGCCGGAATTGTCAGGCTGGTGGCGACCAGTTATGGCCGAGCTGGTTGCTGAGCGGGGGCGGCCTTGAGCGGCACCGGCGGCTTTCGCCGTGGCGGCAGCGACGCTGGGTGGTATCGGGATCGAGTCGACGAGGGTTTGGGCATTGGTGAACGTGGAGGTCATGAGGGCTTGTAGGTCCGAGTCGGGTCTGCCGGCGAGGTCGGTAGGCCAGGAGATGGGGCCGAGGGCCTGGAAGGGTTCGTGATGCGCTGGTCCGCCCATTGTGCCTGTGATATGTGGGTGAGGGGAAGTTGGGGCTCGTTTATGGCGGTGGTGGGTAGTCTGAGGATGAAGCTGGAAGAAATTGTGCGTATATAGCCGGGCTCTGCACAGATACCACTGTCGAGGATATGGTGATGGTTGGCAGTGGTGAATGTTGGGTCAAGTAGAAGGGCGAGCGAATCGCCATACAAGTTAAAGTGCCAGTCTGGTTTAGAATAGGTGATTCGTCGGTAATATCGTAGACGGGTAGGGATGAGATTCGACGACTTCGGGGTTCGATGTATAGGTCCAGTTCGTAACAATTCTCAAGTTGTTGGAGGGGTTGTTCTCTGCGTCTTGTTGATCTTTGTAATCTTGATGATTCAAATAGTTCGATCTGTATGGGTTTTGTATTCTAGGAACGATCTAACCACGCAGTCGTAATCAAGAACTTGACCGAACCTCCAGACTGACATCGATCCATGTTGTTACGCTCTTGGCTGGATACCCTGTTGTCTTTGTTGTTCCCGCTGCCAAACACTTGGTCTGGTCTTGGCATACACCTCTGATAGTGTACATTGTAACACCGCATGTGATTACTCTACTGACTGCATAAGAAGTTCTCGGGCTATTATGGTAGTGTAGTATTTCTTATAGTTATAACTAACATATTACTTATTAGTACTTTCTTCCAATCCTATTCGCAGTAACTTCCTTTACAGTGACATAAATCAAAATAATAGATGTGTTGTAGTAAGTATCATCAACTGCGCAGTCTTCCAACGTTTTAGTTTTGACCAAAAACTATGGCAATATTGCGATGCATTTGGAGTGTGTGTGCCCAAGCAGACTGGGCGTTTGGCGGCCAAGAATGGACCAGACGTTTGGTGTTGGAAATGACGTCATATCCTCCCAGGGGATCGTAAAGTGCACTAACGACCCCATCCCCTATAGCGGGGAAACCAGCAGCAGAAGGAAGTCACTTACATGACCTGACGTCCAATGATGTCCTCAGATGCCGTCTTAACCGTCGAGCCGACAGTGATGAAACTCGTATACGCGGAAGAGCACGAGGTAACACAATACGCCTAACTTCTCACACAATCATCCCATCGCTGATGAACTGTTTACTCATTTGCTTCATATGACAAGGGGGATGCTCGGAAGAGCGCCAATCCAAACACTGACATCATGCACCTGGCTAGGAGTTGACGTTGATGATGCACTCATTTGGCGTCGAAAAGGCGCCTTCTCAATGATCTTCGACTCAGTCCGAAATATTGGACTTATGAATCTAGAAGAAAAGGGCCGAGATGCACCAAAATACCTAAGATGGCAATGCCGATCACGCCAAATAACTTTGTAAGTCCATCATATCTAATTCCTGCTCTCTTCTTCTGAGTAGAAGCTTCCATGTGTTCGAGGCCAGCACTAGCCATTCGTCAATCAGCTCATCGCATCCGGATTATGATCTGCTCGACTAGTTGTGGGTTCTCGTTATCCCTTATCATCTTGAATATCTACTTAACTGGGGGATTGTGGATGCCAGGAACTCCAGGCTGGCAGGGAAGTTGTGGCAGAGAAGCCAATTATGAGGCCTTGTCGAGTTCTTGTTTTCGCCTGACACGACCGCTTTGCTGAGCGACCCACGAGTTCAGACTCGGCGAACGTGCTGGCGTATCCTCGCTGTGTTGATATCCCCGAGGATCGGTCCGTAGCGTCGTTGGGCGAGGAGGGGTAGGTTGGGGCGGCTGGTTGTTGTGGCTGAGGGTTCGTTCGGGTACGATTATATTTCCGTCGCCAACCCCAGATGAGGGGGAGGATATGTCCCTCATGCGATGGCGTCGACCTTTGAATGTGATGCAGGGTGACAGCAAGTAGTTTACATCATAGTGGCTGACATGCTGTATTTTTCTCGTGCCATTCGAAACTGCAGTCGTCGCGAGGGATTCGTTTGGCGATGGGTCGGAAGAGCTGACTTTTTAGGGTTGATGAGAGTACATCGTGGCAGTTGCCAAGTTCCGCGTGTCAACGATATTTGCTGGATATGCAACCTTCGCAGAACTCGCGTATGGTACGGGACTTTGGCTACATTGATGGACAAAATTGGGTTGCTGATATTGAATTTAGATACCCGACTCGTGTGGTTGATGCAGCAATCTATCTATTCACCTTTTCGTGTCACCAACAGAGGCTACCGACACTCTCAACATGTGCAACGGTCTCAGTCCTCTCTGATGTCGGGGATGGATGAATCAAGATCAGAAAACCTATCACAATCCAAACACCTGCGGCAGGTGCTCCCCAACTCTGTTCTGAGGGCATAAAATATATAGAATCGGGCATATGTATGTCTGATTATGCTTGATTTCCATGGAAGTTGAAAAGCTATGCCCCGAGTCTTTGCGGTAGGCATCAAACGCAGCAACCGTAACCTCGGACCTCCGAACCTGCATACGCAGTTGCAGAAGTGAGCTTCACTCGTACAGAAAGAATAACTGGTCACAAGGATGAAAGCAAATGGAAAGGAAACCCGACGCGGGCCCTCCTAGCAGGTACTTAAACTACTGTATCCCCCCTCTCAAATTCTTCTCCCAACATTTAACCAAACTTTGATAATTATATTATACAAAAATTTCTATCAAGTATTCTCAGGCCGTCAGACCATCCAACAATTAGACCATCAGACCTGACTTCCTCGAAGGCACTCCTCCAAGTATGTTTCTCGCTTACTATTCTGCTCTCTACTTTCCCGTCTCTCCAACTCCTTTCTAACATACTAATAAATATTATAGGATGAACGATACTGTGCCGATAGCCCTTGAGGCTAGTAACGCCGATCTCCAAACCCAAATTTTAGTTCCAGCCATTGTTAGTTGGGTTCTCATCGGTTACTTATGGTTTTGGCACCGATCGACGAAAGTTTGGGTTCGGTGCAACGGAAATATCAATGCTTTCACCAACGTCCCAGAACTCACACAACGAACACGCATCACGGCAATTTGCCTAGCCTCCATCGTGTTTCTTGGAGTATGGCCGATCGACGTACTAGGCTGTATCGTCTGCCGGGTGCTACATGCAGACAACAACGAACAAGGCCTGCAGAAAACACTGCCAATTACGAGATCACAACACGAACTACCACCTCCGCCCTACGATAGTGGTGGTGCCCGTAGTGCTTCATAAATCACTTAGCCGGTCGATATCGTTGAGCGTGGTGTTTTCGGCGAGGAGGTGATGGTTGTGGCGGAGTGGGGGGGCAGGAGGCAGGAGCGGAAGATGGGGGCTGATTGAAACCACAGCGTGTTTTGCTTTGCTGAATTTTCTCCGTCGCTCGAACGCCTGAATTGGTGGTAACAATCTAAAAGAGATGATGTAGATGAGAGCAATGAAGTAGCATGCCAGCTTGGCTATAGCAGCAAGAGAGAAGAGAAAGAGAAGGTGGTGGGCGAGAAGTGTCAGCTCAAGTAGGACGGCGGTGCTCTTAGTACTTAGCACAAAGCAACAATCGAACCCGACTCCTCGAAGAGTCCGTCAACCTCGTACCGGCGCATGACAGCAGTAAACTCTTCCGGCCTGGAGCCGCCTCACCCCAATCAACCAGAAAGCCTCGTGGTAACAAGCTGTTGGGATAATGGGTGCTCGACCCCTCTCATGTCCTCGAGTGTACCGCTGTGTCTATATATGTGACAAAGGCCGTATTTCCTCACCTGTATTCATGAAAGATGGCCCTCTCTTGCTAGCAGCGGGGGACAAGCTTTGGGACGTCGTCTACATATGTCTGACATAGCTGTATCCCAGCCGAGATCCGGATGGAGTCCAATTTTTTTGAGATTAGGTGGAGGGAAGGTCAGCTTGAAGATGGATTGGTCGGAGTCGGAATGGGCGAGACCGGATCAGACGGGATGCTACTTGGATAGTAGGACACTACTGTAGTGTGTGAGCTGTGCCGCCTCATGTCGTTGCCGTTTAAGTTTACAAGTGTAGAAATATGCTGGCTGGGCAGGGTCTTGCCAAGTGAAAGCGATCGATGTCGTGGAAAGTTCAAGTTGTTTGAAGTCGGAAGGTTGCACAGATAGTATCGTGCCATCTCAGCCTCCGAGACACCGGCACTGCTCCAGGGTACGTACAAAGAGCTGAGCCTGCCTGGCAGGGTTGTTCACGATGGAGCTTGTGAACGGAAGGAACAAGGGCAAAGGGCGATCAGACACACCTTCCCCAGAGTTCATGACTCGAGGCATTTGCGACTTAGTTTCGAGTCTCGATCGGGTAAGGCAGGAAGGCATCCACCAGTCGAGGTACCTTCCCTTTCGTAGAGTAGTGTATAACATGTCGATTCGTCATCATCATCATGACCAGACCAGAGCATTCAGTTGCTTCTTCAAGAAAGAAAGGCAGGGTGCCAGGCAACTTCGGAATGTCAACCTTACTATCAGACCACAGAGATGCCGAGATCCATCGACTGTCAATCCCGAGATCCCATTCGAGTTCCGTCTCTGCCGTCGAGGTTACAGCAGTGTTTTGCAGAACTTCGGCGTTGAGCCAGGTGGAGCCGTCAAGAGTCCACAGAGGGAGGAGCCCTAGCCCCTCCGGCTATTTTAGTGTTAAATTCAAGTTCCCTGCAACCGACTGCAACTGCAACTGTATCTGCACCCTCACCCACTGGGTACGACATCTTGGGATGCAAGATGCCACCCATTTATTGATGTGCTATTACATACCTCTACACTACGTATGCCGGGCGGACGGGAGTGCGGAAATGGAAGCAAAATGCCGTCGGCGCAGACCATCTTGGAGAGCAATTGTCGTCGTCGTGTCGTGCTAGGTCCGTGCAGGGGCTGAGGCCGGACCGGGCACCTCTTCTTCCTTCTTGGCACCCCGACCACCGGCCCGGTACCTACCGGCTGTCGAAGGAAAGTGTCCAACGCTGGACACACTTGGCATCTCTGCGCGGTTGCGATGTTCGGAGCCCTGCTGGAACGTTCGGAAGTGGAAAGTCACGAGTGCACGACTCGGGCTACCTAGACCGAAACCACCGACTCGAATGCTGAGACGGCAGTGCATGTGACATATCCTGGCAGCGCTCGAGGCTCCTGTCGCTTTGACATGTGCCTTCACGCCACTCTCTGCATTCTGTTTTGACATGTTTAGTTGACAAGTGGTCAAAACGCAGGGACCAGTTCGCACCGACCAGATGGGATGAATGCCATCGAGTGCCACTCTGCCAGAGCCGCAGCGACTACCCCTGTTCCCCAGTGCTGGCGGTTGATATGAATTGGTTTTCCTCCGTCTTTCTCGCTGGCTCTGTTCCCATGCGCTCCATCGCGTCTCGCCGTTTCCCAGGGTCCAAAGGTCTGGCTCTCCTCTTTGACACATATCTAACCCTGGCGTGCCTGAGAGACGAGAGGCAAAGAGAGTCTGTGTCAACTGCCGGGCCAATCGCATATTTGTATGACGTGAACCTGTTTTGTATCAATGGGGGAATCGATGGTTGTTCATCCCAAAAACCCACAAAACCCGCCAACTTGATAGGGAATAGGGCACTCCTTGCAGAGGGTTTAAGGCCCGATGCCAGGTCTAGAGGTCCCACTCGGGCGGGTTCCTTCCACATGGATCGTTCCCGAAGCCTTTGCAAAGACAAGACAGCGCCCCGATCTAGGATCAGTCAGACTCGGAGCCTTTCAGCGTACAGCAACTTCCCATGCTGACGGGTGGACGGCATGGACGGCGCCGTTAGAGAGAGGAGGAGGAGAATAGGATGACTAAGAACCAGGACGAAGAGGCGGGACGGGACGAATCGAGACACGGAATTTGTTTTAACCAGCGCTAGGTCTGGTCTAGTTTTTGGAGGGGTTTCTAGATTCGGTGTAGCTCCAAACGGATCCGCGCATTTTTAGCCCAAGCAAGGTTGCAAGACTGAACGAAGGGAAAAAAAAAAAAAAAAAAAAAAAAAAAAAAAAAAAAAAAAGGGCGGCGGCCACCAGTTTAATAGAGAGGCTAAAAACAGTCATTCCTCCCAACTCCAATTCCTATTACAAGGCCAAGCAACCAATCCTGGCTGACTCGCTTATCACGCCGCCACAGCCTTCTGCTAAAGCTTCAGCTTTTCTTATCCCCCGCCTCCCCTTCAGAATCCTTCCATTTTGCTTTCTTTCTCTCCTTCTTCCTCACCTAAGCACACCTAATTTCTTACCCCCACCCTCCCTCCGTGTTCTTCCCCTCCCCTCTCGAGGCCATCTAGGTCGCCAGTCCCATATCGCGTCGTCGCGCTCGTCAATTCGAAAAACAAAAAACGACGAACGACCAACCATGGCGTCCACATCCAGAGCTCTGGGAAGGCTTTCGGCCCCCTCCATGGGCGTTGCCCGTCTCCAGACCCAGGCCGTTTCTAGGCTGCTCAGCTCTGCGCCTCGTCGCGCTCTCATCTCCGAGTCCAGGCAGGTTGCTGTCACTCAGCAGATTCGTCGCGCCCACACAGAGACTACTCCTCTTCCTGAGCCCCCCAAGGAACGTCGTCGCTTCCGGAAGTTGAGGTGGCTCTGGAGGGCACCTCTCTTCGCCTCCCTCGCCGGTATCGCCTATGTCGGTTGGGGTGTTTACGAAGAGAGAAACCCTGGTCCTCAGGTCGAGCCTGACCCGTCCAAGAAGACTCTCGTTGTTCTTGGTGAGTTTTAACCCTTGCGCATACGAGATAGCTATACGCGCAGCTTTGCGCCATGCGCTTTCTCCCCATCTACGAGTTCAAACTGACTGATATCGCTCAGGCACTGGCTGGGGCTCCGTTTCTCTTCTCAAGAAGCTCGACACTGAGCACTACAATGTCATCGTCATCTCGCCCCGCAACTACTTCCTATTCACTCCCCTGCTCCCGTCCTGCACCACCGGTCTGATCGAGCACCGTTCCATCATGGAGCCCATCCGCACCATTCTGCGCCACAAGAAGGCCAACGTCAAGTTCTACGAGGCTGAGGCCAGCTCCGTCGATCCCGAGCGCAAGGTCGTCCGTGTCCTCGATACCTCCGAGATCCGCGGCGACGTCGTTGAGACCGAGATCCCCTACGACATGCTGGTGGTTGGTGTCGGTGCTGAAAACGCTACTTTCGGTATCCCCGGTGTCCGTGAGCACACCTGCTTCCTCAAGGAGATTGGTGATGCCCAGCGCATTCGCAAGAAGATTATGGACTGCGTCGAAACTGCCGCTTTCAAGGGCCAGTCCCAGGAGGAGATTGACCGTCTTCTGCACATGGTTGTCGTTGGTGGTGGCCCTACTGGTGTCGAGTTCGCTGGCGAGCTCCAGGATTTCTTCGAGGAGGACATCAAGAAGCTGATTCCCGATATTGCTGACCGCTTCCGCGTCACCCTCATCGAGGCTCTTCCCAACGTCCTTCCCAGCTTCTCCAAGCAGCTGATCGAGTACACCGAGAGCACCTTCAAGGAGGAGAAGATTGACATTATGACCAAGACCATGGTCAAGAGGGTCACCGAAAAGACCGTCGAGGCCGAGATCAGCAAGCCCGATGGTACCCGTGAGAAGATTACTCTTCCCTACGGTCTCCTCGTCTGGGCCACTGGCAATGCCGTGCGCCCCGTCGTCAAGGACCTCATGGAGCGCATCCCTGCCCAGAAGGACTCTCGCCGCGGTCTTGCCGTGAACGAGTACCTCGTTGTTCAGGGTACCCGCGACATCTGGGCTGTCGGTGACTGCGCCGTCGCTGGATATGCCCCTACCGCCCAGGTCGCCTCTCAGGAGGGTAACTTCCTGGCTGGTCTCTTCAACAACATGGCTCGCACCGAGGTCCTTGAGCAGCGCGTCCGCGAGCTCAGCGGTTCCCTCAACCTTGCGCCCGGCAACGCTGCCGAGATCTCCAAGGAGATTGAGGAGCATGAGCGCCAGCTCCGCCGCATCAAGGACATCAAGCCCTTCCACTACTCTCACCAGGGTTCTCTTGCCTACATTGGAAGCGAGAAGGCCGTCGCTGATGTGAGCTGGTTTAACGGAAACCTTGCCTCTGGTGGCAGCCTTACCTTTCTCTTCTGGAGGAGTGCTTACCTGTCCATGTGCTTCAGCAGTAAGTTTTCCCCAGGAATGTAATTTTTTGTTTTAGAAGCGGTATGACTAACATTTCCTGCCAGCTCGCAACCGTCTCCTTGTCATTAACGACTGGGTCAAGTCCAAGCTCTTTGGTCGCGACGTTTCTCGCGAGTAAACGACCTGCCGCATCTATGGCATGACTTGAAATTCAATCTCTCCTTCTTGCACGCTCTTTTGGCATGTTTAGCGTGTCTCTCGTATAGCGAGTGCGGACCTGGGGACTTCTTTGCCTTTTCTTCTTCTGGAGTCTCGGGCTGTTTTGGTCATAGAAAATGGGGGTTTTTAGACGGGTTTTTAAAGGAGGATTTAGACGAGGGGGCAATGAAACGAACGGGTTCTTTTTTATGTTTTCTTTTGTATGACGTCCTACAATTCTCTTCAAGTATCCTGTATGAAACATTTGAGTTATTCTTGCAGCCCTCATAGCAGTACTGTCTTCTTGTCCATTTCTTTTCGCCTGTTATCAAGGGCTATCAAGACATATCTCGGACAAAACAACCTATCTGAGCTGTTGCGTTTGAAACTGTATAGATTAAAAGTCATTTACATTGATGCCCGTATCGCTATCTTTGCAGTACTGTTCAATCTTACAAGCTCGTTGGAGTCTTGATTTCTAGAACAGTCAAATCAGAATCCTGTAGAATAGAATTGAGTTGGTGGTGATGTCGGCCCCTGAGACGAGCACAACAAGGAACAAGTGGAAGGGTTAGGGTTACATTACGCAGTACCGACGTATCGCACTTTTGCTCCTCACAGGCAATCGACACAATCGTCATATGTCCGTTTTTGCTCTTACAGATAACTTTCGTTGAGAACTGGACTCAACAACCAACTTGAAGCCCATTCATTGTTTGTCCGGAAATAAACATAAGACAAGTGTTTCATAAAGACGCACATTTCATGTGGACATTCTATGTTCTCTGATACAGCGACATAATGCACGAAATTATCACGCTCCAGCTCGGGCAGCAGAGCAATTATCTAGCCACGCATTTCTGGAATGCCCAGGTAAGCATGTTCATTGAACTCACTTGGAACCGGGGAAACAGCTGACACTTCTCGAGGAATCATATTTTACATATTCTGAGGATCAAGAGCCAGCCATTAACCATGATATCCACTGGCGTCCCGGCATCGGTGCGGATGGCACCGAAACCTACATGCCGCGGACCGTCATTTACGATCTGAAGGGTGGCTTTGGGTCCATGGCAAAGACGAATGCGCTGTATAACGACCTTGAGGAGGGACAGACGCCTCAAGCATTGTGGTAAGTTGGGCATCACTCTCGGTCTGGTGGACATCTTGCACCAGATTCCGTCATTTTCGATCGACATCCTCCAGCGTTCAAACCCATCCTCCCCTTCGTCTACCTCTTGACTCACCTCCCCTCCTTTCTCGCCACAGGAATGGACCAACCGTACTCCAAAAACAACCCGCCATCCCACAATCCGCCTATCAACAATCCCTCGACGCCGGCCTCGAGCCCCCTCCCCTCACCACGGACACCGTCCGCTACTGGTCTGATTTTAACCGGGTTTTCTACCACCCGCGCTCCGTCGTTCAGCTGAACGAGTATGAGCTCAACTCATCCATCATGCCGTTTGAGCGCTACGCGACGGGCGAGGATCTGTTTGCGTCGCTGGACAAGGAACATGACCTTCTCGATCGGGACCTGCGGCCTTTTATCGAAGAGGCCGACCAGATGCAAGGGATCCAAGTCATGACAGGCTTGGATGACGCCTGGGGCGGGTTCGCGGCAAAGTACTTGGAGAGGATAAGAGACGAGTACGGCAAGACGGCCATGTTCGTTTGGGGCAGCGAGCAGGAGTCGGTGATGAGGGCTGGCGGATTGAGCAGGGAGAAGAGACTGCTGAGACTGGCGAATAAGGCGAGGACAATGACGGAGGTTTATAAGTATGCGAGCGTTGTCGTGCCGTTTACGGTGCCTGCGACGCTGCCGGGGAGTGTGGTGCTGGATGCGGGCTCGCAGTGGCATAATACTGCGCTGTCGGCGGCGGCGATAGAGAGCGTCACGCTTCCGTCGCGGCTGAGGGATCCGGCGAACAGAGATACGATGGGTACGCTGGCTGATACGCTCAATGCGATGGGGAAGCAGAATGTGGCTAGCTTGGGGATGAGCTTTGCTCCAGAGCCGACAGAGGAGGAAGATGTAGTCATGGAAGGAACGCAGGATTTCAGGCAGAGGCAGTTGCTCAACCAGAAGTCGAGTAGACATGCGGCTGTGATGGCGAAGGAGAACCCGGAGGGAGTGTTTCTCGATATCAACTTTACTCCCACCGACCAGTTGGACTATGTCCGTCGCCGTGGTGGCGGCGATGATGACAGACCGAGGGTGTTCAGCCAGGTGCTTACCTCGAGAGGTTATGAGGTTGATGAGCAGGCGCAGGAAGCCAAGGAGGCTGAGGAGGACGAGAGGTTCCGTAGGAGGAGCTCGTACGAGACTGTTATGAGAAGGCACGTTTTCTGTGTTCTTTTTTTTTTTCTTCTTTTTTTTTTCTCGTTATCTTTTGCTAACAAAGTCCCTCTCATGCAGTTATCACACACCCCTTCGCTTCCCTCTTCTAGACAGCTTCCCTCAGATCTTCAGGGATGACAGTGGTGAGCCACTGAAGAGAGGAGGAGCGATCAATGTCACTAGCAGTCTGTCTACGGATGCTTCAGTGCATAAGAGGCTGAAGTCGTTGAGGACTACGGTCGGTCGGTCGATTGGATTGGAGGATAGGGAACAGCTTGGAAACGAGCTGGCGGAGATGGCTGATGAATATCATGAGGGGTGGTCGAGTGGAAGTGATGATGGAGATGACGATTGATCGGTCGACGCAGCAATCAACAACGTGTTCAAGTGTGAAGCAGACAAGACGATTACTCCCCGAGGTCCTTCCGCCTTCACACCAGACATTTCACTACCTGGGTACTAATCTAACCATCCAATCCCAACAACGCCCCAATCAAATCCCCCTCCCCTTCCATCTCCCAGAAATCCATCACCACAACTCCCAACCTCTTCCCCTTTAACCCGTCCGGCCCATCATCCTTCAACAACGCCAACAACTTTTCGTTAACTCCTCCTTTCACCGTTCCACCGCCAGTCACCTTGGGGACACCTTGCCGTTGTTCTTCCGGACCAAGCGCCATAACCTCCGGCGTAATGTTCGGTTCATTCAATACATGTTCCCCCGAGGTGAACGTGATCCACAACCCATCATCCTCATCATCCTCCCCGCGTGCACCCAGTCCTGCCCCGGGACCGCTCGCAGCAGCACCAGCAGCCGCCGCAGCCCGTAAATGGCCCTCCACAGCCTCCCACTTGGCCATCACATTCTCCGTCACACTTCCATTCATCCCACTCGGCAGGTCGTTAGGTTCAAAGTAGTCCTCTATATACGCCGTCTCATTTCTCCTTTTCTCCTCTTCTACTCCCTTGCTCTGATCTCCGTCACCCACGTTAAGTTGGTTATAAACCAACTCAAACCCTCTATTGTTCTCCGGCCATAGGCTAGGAGAAAAGTTGAGTCCCGGTACAGCCAGCTGTTGATCGAGAGGCAAGTCGGGCAGGTCGAAGCGTTTGAGGAGGACGATCTTGCCACGGGCGTCTCCCAAAGTGGGCGGGAGGGAGTGTGACGGGTAGATGAAGCGGCGGGCGGCCGGGGTTGTAAGGAGGGAATGAAGGAGGCGTTGGACTTGTGGGGTGTTAGAGGCGTGTGAGCGGGTTGGGTGCTGTTAGTCTGTTAGCGAAGGGAGCGGTAGAGGCGGTAACTTAATGGACGGTGATGATGACCCCTTTTGTTTACATATAACCCGAACCAGTTATACCCACCCCAGATGAAACCCAAAACCAGGGCATGAAAATATGTAAACGAAAGAAAGAAAGGAAGAAAGAAAATGAAAAGCAAAGAGAAGAAACTCACCTCATACTGCAAACTAACCATCACCACCTCCCCCGCTCCCCTCCCCTCCAACCACTTATAAAACCCAAACAAAACATCCTCCACCGTCGCCACCTCACTCAACAAAGCCATCTTATGCCAAAACACCAGTCTCGTCCCTTGTCCTCCCCCTTTACCACTCCCACCCGTACCTGTATCCAACGCAGCATACCGCAAATCAAAGAACCTCACCCCCGCCTCCAACGATTCCAAAATACTCTTCTTCTGACACCTAAACCATTCAGCCGGCAAGTAACTCGGATTAGAAGGGATCGAGTTCCTCGTCTCAGTAGTAAAGTTCCAGGTTGCGCTGTCGTGGGTTCCCGGAATGGCTCGGAGGCGGGTGAGCGGCAGGGAGTCCGGGAGAGGGGTCATCCATTGTGCGCGACGCTTGGAGGCTGCTGACTTGTTGAAGGAGGAAGGGAAGGTGCCGAAGATTTGGCGGCCGTCACCGAGGATCTTTTGGAGGGCCAGGTCGGCTACTGAGGAGAAGGAGTCTTCTTCTTCTCCAGGTTGTGATGGGGAAGGAGAGGTTGATAATGGGTTGCCAGTGGTGAGGTCTGTAAGGAGGGAGAAGAAGAGGAGGTGAAGGACCCAGAAGAGGACGGCCATGATGCATACGGAGCTGAGGACCGCGCGGTAGGAGGTTGTGGGTAGTAGGCCGCGAAAGCGCTTGAAGCGCCGTGGTGATGATGAGGGCGTGGATGCCGCTGCCACTGTCGGTGAGGGAAGATGAGGAAGACTTCGAGGAACTGGCGCAGAGAAGAGCGGCGAGCGCCCAGGTTTTGATTCCTGGTGCATCATCGCGGCATAGCGGATGGAAGTAGCAAGTGGCTTTTGGGGTCCTCGAGGGTGATACTCGAGGTACTTCGGGCGGGTTTACACGGCCAAAGTACTTGAGACAAGATAGAATCCTCAGTGAGATGTTGGGTTGAGGATCTCGAGACAGGTGTTACTGTGTATCTATTTGTAGGACATGCGACCGACGATCTACGGGGGCGTACGTGCAAGCTTTGATTGGCTGCTGGCATTTTGACGTTGACATACTGAGGTGCATATGGCGTTTTCCCCCGAGTACAACGGAACTAGTCTAACAGCTCAATCCATTAGCAGAAGCGATCGACGCAGCAAAGCATTTGTTAATATGATGTATAATAGAGCGAGAAATAAGATGAAAAGTCACGGACGCAAAAGACCACTGCGAGATGGGAACTTGGCTTAGTTGATGGGGCACTTGTGCCCCGAAAAACTAAATTTATTAGTCTAGCAGATTTAGCAACTCTATCTTAGATACATTTCTCTACACCTCGCGCGTGGTCCTGCTCGCACATAGCAACTAATTTGTCCATGGCTGCCAACAAGATCCGTCTGTACATCCTTCGATCAGTGTTCGCTCTTAATAGTCGGTGGCGCGGTCGCCATCTGTTGTCGCTTGGCCATCGGGCCGTTCGCATGTTCCCCTTCGGCCATACGCTTCTTCTTCTTAACTGGCCTTACAGGCTTCGTCTCTCCAGGCTCGAAAACGTCGTCGGGGAGATCGAAATTCCTAACGTGCTGGATAGTCAATCCCATCAACTCTGCTTTGAAGATGTCGTTCGAAGTGCACATTGCCTTGAAGTCGTCGACTTCTCTGGACAGATCCAGAGACTTAGCTCCCTCTACCAGCTGCAGGCCGATGTAATGGTTAGTGGTGTAAATCTCAAGCTCCGGCTCCTTCTCCGGTATATCCTCCAGCTTAACCTTGTCTTCGTCGTAGTCGTTGGCCTCAGGCTTTACAGAGTTGTCCTCAGGCTTTAGAGGTACCGTTCCTAGATGTACTACGTCGTTCGGTTCTTCCTTGACAACCGGCACAGCCGGCTCCGGTGCAACACCATCCTCCGTCTTGATCTCCGCCTTGATCTCAACCTTGCTGTCGTTCTTGGCGTTCCCATTCGCGGCTGTATCCGTCGGCTTGACCATGTATGTGAGGTTTCCGGTTTGAATCTCTTCGACCTGAGCATCCGTCTTGCATCGGTGCACTCTGTCGTAACCTTTGTTGAAGGGGCGGGCAAGGGCGATGGAAGGGTGCAGCTCAAGCTTCTGGACCAGAACACGCACTCTTGACTCGACGAAGCCCGACCAGGTATTCTGCGCCTCTTTCGTCCTGCCGGATGAGATGACCGTCAGGTAAAACTTGAAGCCGTTGGTGAAAAAGGTGTGTTTCTCGAACAAATCTTTCCAAGGCCTTTTACCCAACATGATCTCTTCAGAAATCTGCACCCCCCGTTCCAGCTCCTGCTGAATTACCGCCATTGAAGACCTCCCAACATTGTGTGTCGCGCACATGGAAGGGTATGATGGGGTGATGATGGGCATCTTGTGATTGCGATCACTCGGGTATATCTAGTCTGTGGTGAGACATCAGCGCGACAATGATGAGGGGTTGACTTACCTTGGGATTCCACACCGCTACACGCGTAATGGACTGGTTGTATTCGATATTCTTCAGAAGAACCGGGAGCGGCCATGGCCAGTTGAGCATAATGGTGAAGAACTTCCTGACGATCACAGCACTCGTCGCCTTCGGATAGAGTTGGCATACTCTGGCGACCAGCATAGCCCAAGCCACACCACCAGGATAACCCATGATATTGGCGTAGATAGCCCTTCTCTGAGCCCAGAGCTTGATTGCACGAAGTGCCAGCTTGAACGTCTTCTCTTCGGGGACCAGCGCAAGGATCTCGTCGGTTACGCGTGTTCCGTTGAGCGAGCGCACCTCGTTTTCGGACAAGCCGCGCAGGAGGTTGTTACTGTTCAAATTCCAGTCCTTGTCGTCAGGAAGTTGACGAAGGCTCTGAATTGAACAGAAGATAAGATCTATGCTGATGCCCGAATACTCGAACTTGATGATAGGAACGAAGGCCTCGGGTACTGGAGTCAGGTCGGTGATGGCGCCAGGGGGAGCCATTTCGACAAGAAGGTTGGGAAAGATGTCGAAGTATTGTTTGACGGTGACGTACTTGGGTACAACGACGAGGGTATCGATATCGGATCCTGGCCCATACACACCCAAGCGAAAACTGCCATATGTGAAGATTCTGCCTCGAGCGTCGCGAATCAGAATGGCATTGTGCGGCTCCTTTTCCTGTGCAGCCCTCTTCACGAATTCATCAGTAATGCGCTGGAGATCAGCGAGCACCGCCCATCGCTTATCAGTTTCGGCCTGACTTTCGAACGTGCCCTGCGCGCGCAGCTCTTTGAGAAGGGCCTCGGTCTGTCGCTTCTCGGCGTCGGTAGGTAGCGCGGTCGAGATAGGAGGCGTCACGCCCAAGGTATGTTCGGGGTTCGACATGGTGGCACGAAGCGCGGTGGGACGAGGAAGCGTGCTGGTTGCGCCGGTAAGAGTACCGGAGATGAAATATGTCGTGCAGAACTGATCAATGACGCTGGTCGGGACAAGAGGAAGACTGGATCGCGCGCAAAGAGAGGAGCGCAGGCGCAGTGAGAGAACGCTGACAGACGAATATAGAAGTCTATGAAGGGATTGAACAGAAGGAACCAAGCAGCTCCACGTAAGGCAAAGAACGCTCAGGTCATGATATGCTGTGCTTTTTGTTGATTCGAAGGATGGCGATACCAAATAGTTGATTGATTCTGATATCGACCCTGGGGCAGTCGGAGAAGCCGAAACCAGACAGGGTGATCGATGGGGATGGATGAAGGGGCTGCGTTAGGTTGTTGCAGAAGACAAAAAGCACGTCGCCGACTCGGCGCGTCTCGGTTCAGCCTGGGGTGTTGAGCACGGACTCCGGGCCACTCACCACAAGTCTGGCAGCGGGATTGGCGCGAAGCAAGGGAATAGTGTCCTGTTATTTCAGAGACGCTGGACACTGCAACTTGAAATGCAACCTGCAGGAATCACCCATAAACCTCTGACGAGTATCCTTGGACCCGCACGGGGATACCTAATCTCCACTGAAATTCAAGTACTTTGGTACCTCCACCATAATAAGACGGGTATCATGTTGGCTTTTGGTGTCTTGGTTCCGACAATCAAGGGACTCAAGCTCTGAAAAGCTCAATCGTCACATTGCAAAGGCCGCTGGACTGCCGCATTTCAGGTAGAAGAAGGTCATCCCCAGATAACCTGTTCCTTCAAGTAGGCGTAGGATGTCTGTCTGTACACTTTTGGGCATCTTACACTACATTCGAGTAACGCCATGGGGACAGGTGAGTTGGCAGAATCGGTTCCATTTTTGCAGTAAACATCGGTCTAATATTCAGAGACGTATTCTATTATAAGCCCAAGACATTGGCTATAAGCACAAATTCAACTTTGATCCAATGCTACGTACCCTCGGAATGAAGGTCAAATGACGATAGAGTAGAGGTATGGATTTGGAGAACAGATGACATTTCAAAGCTGCCGCGGCCCCTGTGGAAGATGGGATCTGGCCCCAGGCGGCAAGCAAGGGCAAGACCGGACCAGGTGTCCATGCATCATCCACTGGAGTTCCCCTGGGAGGTCCCTTCCATAGCGCGGCCCCGCCCCCACACTGGCCCTGCAGGCCCCTGCAAATGACGCTGCCGCTAGATGGAGGATCACCGTAACAGCCGGGGCAACGTTTTTAAAGTTTCCATGTCGCATTCTCTCGGCCTCCCCTACACTACATCCTTTTTGCACCACTTCCACTTTGCTTAGTCTCAATGGGGAAGGATGAAAAAGACATTACTTCTCTGCTTCATCCACGGCTTCAAGGTATGTACATTGAGATTAAGCGACGCTCCAGCCAAGATCAAACTGACATTATCATGTAAAGGGAGGTGAGTCGACCTTTGGCGACAACTATGCCTTCACCGAGCACCTCCGCCAACTTGTCGCGGCCGACCTACCAAATATAAACGTCAATGTCGTGGTATATCCCAAATATGAGACGCGAGGAGACTTGGGCGAGTGCGTAGCGCGATTTCGAGATTGGTATGTCCTCATCGACCGCATCCGTTGCTTCATCTGTCACATGTTGAAGCCCTGAACCATCCCTAACATGGTCGCCCTGGCTATCACAGGCTCATGAATAAAGTTATCGACCTCGAAGTTGCCGCCGGAACCTCCTCGCCCACCATAGATCCCTCGGTCCGCGTCATTCTAGTTGGCCACTCCATGGGCGGCATCGTCGCCGCTGAAACCGCCATCGAGCTCTCCTCCGACAAGCCTATCCACGGCAGCACCGACCCGGCCGTCGAGGACCCGAAGCTGGACCATCGCACCGCCGACTCCGCGCCTCTCCACCGACCACCCAGCCCCAGCTCGCTCATGTTCCCCTATATCCAGGGCGTCCTCGGCTTCGATACACCCTATCTAGGCATTGCTCCTGCCGTCTTCGCTCATGGCGTCGAGGGTCACTATGCGACGGCTTCGGCAGCGCTGTCGCAACTGAGCAGCTTAACAAGTTTACTCGGAGCGAAGGGGGCGCAGGCGCAATCGAACGCAACAACGCAGAAAAGACAGATAGCCGCTCTGCCGGCGCCGGAAAAGAAGGAGGAGCAGCAGAGGAATAATGGCAGCGCCTGGGGGAACTGGGGCAAGATCGCCATGGTCGCGGGCGCAGCGGCTGCTGCAGCGGCTGGAGGAGCGGCGGCGTACTACAATCGAGATCAGATTACGCAAAGCGTGAGCTGGGCGACGTCGCATCTCGAGTTTGTCGGGGTGCTTTATAGAAGAGAAGAGCTGCGGCGCCGTGTGGCGTACATGGTGCGGCTCAACAATGACCTTGGGGTCGGTTTCGGAAACTTTTATACCCGGCTGGGACGGGCCGCGGGGTCAAAGGAAGTGAGCATGGTCGGGACCGTGATGGGCAATGAACGGACGTTTTGCGTTCTGCCTAAGAAGGATCCCGCTGGAGACTGGAGGGAGGCCATCAACGATAAGGCTAAGGACGAAGTAACGGCGCATATCTGTAAGTGCACCCCTCCCATCTCTTGGAGCGAGGTCTTTATGTATACATGAAGCGAGTACTGACACTATTCATAGCCATGTTCGACCTGAAGGACAACCCTGGCTATACCAAGATGGCGCATGATGCTAGAGATATGATTGTCAAGTGGTTGCAGAACGATTGGTACGAAAGCAGTAACGGTGATGTCATTCGCGCATAGAAGCGCACCCTAATAACCGTAACATTCCATCTAATACTTAGCCCAAGTCTTTTCTTTTTTTCCCATCATAAAACGTCTATCATTATGTCTAAAACTCCAAAACTCTTTGAAGGTATCATGTATATTCCCCAAATAAGCTCGGCCGCAGAATCCACAGCCGAAGTGGCTTGTAAAAATCATTTACCGTGACCACGACACTTCAACAGCAGGGGCGGGTAGGCTGTGAGCATACGTCGCACGCCAATCCAGCCCAAGCCAACCCTCTCCTCTTTACAACAACCACGGCCTAGTTTAGAAGTCTGTAACCCCTCACTGCCTCTTCTTCTCCTTCTTCTCCTTGATAGCACCACCACCAACCTGCTTCCTCCTCTGACTCAACATATGGCTATACAGCACCACCGAGCCAGGGATATACGACAACAGCACAGCAACCAGCGCATAAGGGTACCAAGTCGCGAGCTGATCGGCCGGACCCACGAGCGCCTTGATGATCATGGCCACCTCGGAGCTGATGCCCATTGGGTACAGCACCAGGAAGGCGCTATACCGCAGCCAGTGCAGCCAGTAAGGAATGAAGTCGACCTGCTTGAGCGCAAAGTAGCTGTACCGGATCACCTCGGTGGTGGACCAGGCCGTCAACATGGAGGTGTACCAGGCCGAACTGTTGAGGTGCGGGAAGGGGTACGAGATGCCCCAGACGAGCATCAGGCGCGAGGCGACTTGCATGACGGTGGTGAAAATTGGGGCGGGGACGATGCCTTTTTTTTTGTGTTAAACATCGATTAGCGTTGGTTTCCTAAACAGGTAGTAGAGAGAAAAGGTAGAGGAGGGGGACAAAGATAGGGACAAGGATGAGAGATGGAGACTGAGACGGGATCCGGGTGGGAAGCGTCGGGCAAGCAGGGCATACCGGTAAGAGCATGGAAGATCTCCATAACAGCAAAGGTCTGCGTAACACGAGCAAAGTCATCGACGACCAGCGGTACAAAAGGCGCGCCCTTGGCAAAGTAGACGGACGCGACGCGGCCGAGGATCGTGGCCCAGGCGACGGCCGAGGCGGCATTGTAAAGGACTAGGTAGCCCTTGCGGAGAGCTGAGCCAGCCATTGTTGGTGTCGTTTGGTGTGTGGTGTGGTGTCGATATTGTTTTGGTGATCAGTTCGGTGGACGTGGGAAGATGTCGACGGATGTTAAGGTAGATACTGATGATTTGATGCTATGAACGTGATTGACGGACAAGGTAGGTGATAATGGATTCCCCAACAAGACGGGGCGAGACTGCTCCGAATGAACGCGGGGACTAGAACAATTTTCGACCCGAACCGAGACCGCGGCAGGTGGATTCGCGCGTCGGGACAGGGGTCGGTTCCTTTCTTGTGGGGTACCTGACTCCGCGGGACCCACTATCTTTCGGCGGCCCGGTGTCTAGAACGCCGATGTCACCGGTGGGTTGTGAGCATTCACATGTGAAAGAAATTCAACGCGAGAAAGGTAATTTGATTAAAGAGAATACACAGTATTGAGTTAAACCTAGGGTCGTTGCCTCCAATTAGAACAATTCGCCGCTCACGCCTCGGCGTCCATCATTCTCGGCAGAGAACGGACGTCAATTGTTACCGCCCAGGGCTGGGCGCAGCACACACTCTGCCGTGTTAACCGGCCATGACGAATCTTTTTGAAATCGTCCCTTGAACCCAAGCATAGCTCAAAACTGGTATTGACCACTCCAAAAAAAACAGAATAGAAAACACAGTTGCTCAACTCCAAATCTTTCTCCCTAGGCCCCAAAACTCCTTGGTATCATATCCCACGGAAAAGAAAAAGACAATGAAACAGAATGGGGCCGTTACATGCAACAAAAACGGTTGTCATGTCATCGTTAAGCGTAGATGAAGTATATCCTTCAGTGCTTCCACCCAAAGCCTCCAATCTCCCTTGTTCGAGATGAGCTGGTTATAAAGTCCCCCCCAATGCAACATGTTCCAGCCAGTGCAGACGGACGAACCCGTAGCCGAGGTGAGTTTCTTTCACCTACTTTGATCCTTTCTAAAACCATGAGCAATGGGTGATCACTCGCGCGAGTCCCTTCGATGCTTAAGGTTGCTCAAGAGGTTCCTGATGGAGCGGCCTCCAAACAGGAACTCAGTCGAATGTCGTCCGCAGTAGCTGTGTGCGTTGACGTGCTTGTTGTGAGACTTGGTTGTCCGTAGCGGCCTTGATGGGTCCGCAGAGTTTGTGATGTTTCCCGAATCCTTTCTGCTGTTCACGGGAGCCACTGTTGTCTCAGACTCGAAAGAGTACCTCATTTCGTGGTACTGTTGAGTTGTGTTAGTACCGGAGAGATGAGACACTCGGAAGGGAGCACGGCTTACGCTATCAAGAGACATGGGCGAGGTAATAGGGCTTATGACGGGCCCGGTGGTACTGATGTTGAGTGCCGACGGAGCAGAGGCACTAGAAGAAGAGCGCTTCATGACTAGATGTTGTTGCTGAAAGTTGGTGATGATGTTGGATAGTGGTATATAATGCTTGACTTTTGATGCCAAGGACGATGAGAAGAGCTTCTACACGAGTAGATCTCTTCAAGATCGGGTAGTGTCGTTGGTTTGTGAGAGTGCCCGCCGGGGTAGACAGTTATGGCACGCCTGGTGCTCAGATAATGTAGCTAATAGAACAAAGGAAAGATGGTTCACTTTGCTTGAAGCTTGATGATAGTGCTTGATCTTGATATGTGATGAGTAAGTAGGTAGAAAGAAAGAGGAGATCTGAATTCATCAGTCCGGAGCCGGGCCGGCCGACTTATATCTCTTCAAAGATACTGTGAGGCCAGTGACCTAAAACTAGTTCGAACTCCGTCCTACGTACCTGGTTGAACCATTCTGAGCTGGCCTTCCAAGCAGTCAAGGTACCGGGATTGCTGCAGCGTTCTGACAGACAAACCGGCCAAGAACCCTTGGCACATGTTTGTTCCACTGGGGTTGTTTGGCCCTCGCCGTGGGAGCGCATTTGCGTGTAAGTCGGATCCTCGGCCGAGCGACGTACCTAGTGTACTATGAAACGACAGAAAGGTCCTCGCCGAGAGGTCCTTGCAGTGGGTATTGCCAATGTTGCAGCGCTCATTCTCGCACAGCTTCCAGTAGAAAAGCCTGGGTGAGGAGTGAAGACCTCCATGTGAACTAGCCCCCCTGTCGAAAATTATCGGCCAATGGCATGTCGTTGCATTGACCAAAAAGGGACGCCATTCGCAAATATGATTGGTCGCCTTAAGAAGAGCGTCTTTTCAGGCATCCATTGCGATCCTTCCCCATGCAGGTCTTTGCTCACAGGGACACCGACCAGCAACGGGAATGGTGGATCATGGCCGGCTCAATGCAGTCGTGACTTGATGAGTCAACATTGGACCCCGGAGATAGGCCGTTGACGATAGGACAACGGCAAAAGATCAACAAAGACGTGGAAATTGCCAAGTCGGCCTATCCGAATGATTATCAGTTGCTCCATCCCGCATTTTCAATCTCCGAGTGTAGTCTACGGCGTCATAAGTCGTCTTGTCCTATCGCAGGACTGAGCCAGGTGGTGATGAGCCAGTTTGCAGCTAGGACTTGGACGAATGCCGGTGGTGCCCAAGGGACAACACCTGGAAGATCCAGGTTGGTGGACGTTGGTGGACGTTGGTCTTCTCGGGCATACATTCCACTTCTGTGTTTGCTCTGTCGGTGGGTTTCACCAAGACTCTGGCAGCATGCCAGTGTTGACCGCCAGCAATAAGGACTGTCCCACGGAAGAGATGAAGTGTAGTTGGCTGGATGCGATGGGTGATGCGGATGGCCGTCGGTGTCGGAAAACAGAATGGGTGGGGAGGTTGTGTTGCACAGAGACACGGGAAGCGAACTCCCGCCAGCAAGCCTCGGCGAGAGACGTTGCGGGATGGGAGGCAGGGGCCCCGCTGCCCCCGCCACACTGGACATCGTCAAAGGATGCTCCACACTGCCACATCCCCAATTCTCCACAGTTCCTGGTTCCCGTTCCTCGCCGGACAGCACTCCGTCTTCATCCGTCCACGCCGCAACAGCCGTCAACCATCTCCCCGCGATACGATATCTGTTTTGTTATCAAAACAGAAATTCACTCATTTTTGACGGCCATCGAATCAACGCAAAGCCATTTTCGAGGCTTCAGTCCCGGTCTATTTTCTCTATCGAGATGACTGCGTCGGTGACCTGAAGAAATCACTCAATAACCCAGGAGTGGTTAGGTAGGTGTAGCTTATTCCCGTCTTTCGAGGTCATGTTACCCCCGTGAACAACTCGAGGAGCCTTTTTTTTTAGTTCTTTTCGGGTGCCTGGATATGTAAGGTTGCAGCGAGATAGGTCGCCGCTCGAAATGGGCACGAATGCAGGAACACCGCAGTGATTCTATCACGATTGTTTCTTTTCTGGGTGGTCACGCAGTCCCGTCGCCGACCCGGTGTCGTCGTCATTGTCATCGTAAGACGTGACGCGGAGCGATTTGTAGGGGACCACCTCATCCCTCCCACTTTCTCAAAGGTTTCATGCATAGTGCTCGAAAGCTTCAGCTGTTCATCGGCTATTGCCAGAAAGGAAAATCGGGCATTGAAGGGGAAAGGTCAATTTCTTTCTCTTGTTGTCGAGAAAGGCTGCCTTGCGCTACTGCACAGTAGATCAGTCGCTAGAAGCAGTCCTACCTCAGCAGAACCACATACAATTCACCCCGTGTGAAGAACCCTTGTCTCATGTTTGGAGGTTGTTATGCATAAGAGGCTTCTGAATGGCGGGTTTTTGAGTTAAGGTTCCATCGCGTGGTCTCGTGGTTGCCTCCATCACGTCGCTTGCCCATCACAAAGTTCAATTGTTCGAGGTTGCATTTTGGAAACATTTGAGAACTCTGGAGATACTAGTATCTATTCAAAGACTGCGGTCAACGAGGATGACTTAAGGAGCAGTGCCGAAGGAGCCTAGCACTTGATATTTCGGGATATTACGGGATCGTGGGATTCTGGATCGTGGAATTCGGGATCCTACTGAGGTATATGTCTTCCTGCGGCGAAGTGCGTTGAGGACAATAGCAGTTGCTGAAGTACACTAAAGATAGTCAAAATGACGATGGTCGGATGAACCAATCTGGTGAGTGTCTTAGTTTTCAAGGCTCTGACAAGCAAGTTCGATTGCTGATGAAGTGTGATATACACTCGAATACTGACTTATGTCAAAGTGAGGCTGTCCTTCAGGTCATGCTACTTGCACGTTCATTGTCTTTTCTTGCCGGATCTTTGCAGAAGCTGTTACTTTGTTTACGCAGCTTTGACAGCGGAGTCTCTTCACCACATAGTATGTATCATTTTCAACGGCCCTTGATTCTTGCAAAATCGTTCCAGCTCTTCGAATGGGTCGGTCATACGAACACAGTCTCCGAGAGGCGGCACCTTCTACGCCGCTGAACCAGAGTGTCGGGAGCATCAAAAGGACCAGTAAGACCTTCGCTTTCTACACCCCTTGTTTATGGAAGCTCCGTTGGTGGCTTTCCCCAGGTTCTAGTCTTCCACACGATCAGGGTTCCTGGGTGCTTACACTACACAAAGTGATCGATCGATATTTCCGGTTTGACACTTCGCACAGCCCCGATGCGCATTTTGGATGGTAAGCGTTCCTGCATTGTTCTGTTTCATTGAGGCTCAGATTTTTGGAAGACGAGCCAGAAATCCTGATTGCGCCAAGAAAACAGACAAACTGTGAATTTTCCTGACACACTGAAAGTTAAATTTGATCGTCACATCATTAACAGCGCGTTCTTTACTTTGGACTATCGTCCTCTGGAACATCTTACACAGTCACCCAGAACACTCCATTCACCACCATTTTTTGTTTGCCTTCTTCACTCCGCGTCCTCCGGCTTTTGCCCGTACACAACCTTCCAGGTCCAGTAGCCGTGGATCTTCTGCTCCTTCATCTCTTGACGCATGTGCGCCGCAAATACCGCGACTTCCTCCGTCGACCAGCCCATGACTTTATGGAAGAGGAATTGGATGACACCCTCAAGGTCCGATGTGACAGCAGCGTAGGTGTAGAGGCCTATTTCCTTTTGCTTGGGGTCTTTTGGCCAGGGAGACAAGGGTTGCTAAAGTCGCTGGTCAGCTTTATCCCTAACTCTGGGTCGTAACGGAACATACCTTCCACTGCTTCGTATGGAGGTTCACAAATCCCGCCTCCTTCAAACCGGGCTCTTGGGTTCCATCATGAGCGATGGTCAAACTCCTACCAATTCGCCTTCCAGCCTCGTCCAGGATTTTTCCGTATGTGGCCAACGCAGAATCGGGAGGAAGGGTTTCGTCATCACACGAGACGATGGGAGAACAATCAAAGTGTTCAATCCAACCGCCAGGCTTGCAGCACCGATAGGCATTTTTGTACAAGTTTCCCCAGTCCTCAATAGCGCCGTTGAGGAACGAGATGTGGATATAGTCGAAAAAGTTTTTCTTGAATGTCCATTCCTTGGTCGCATCATCAATCTCGAAGCGCAAATTTGGCGGGGTCCAAGTGGGCTGGATAGGCGAAATATCCGTACCGACCACATCGCAGTAGGGGAATTTATCGGCAAAGTCGATTGCCCAGAATCCTTCGCCAGTACCGATATCAATGGCATGCTGAATGTTGTCCTTGAGAGGGGCTTGGAAAAGCTGCTTGTCCGTCATAAGAAAGAGGGAGTGATAATAGATCTCTAGGGCTCCAAGCATCTTTTGATCATTGGGAGCCCAGTATTCTCCGTCTGTCACCGAATCACTATGGTAGGTTCGACCGTTGATGGTGCGGTAGTTGAGAATGCTCGACGAAATTGAGGCAGTCGAGCTTTCAACATCACTTCCCAGAGTTGAATCTTTGTCATCTGTGTCAGTCTCAGGAAGACCTTGCTGAAGCCAATGTGCACCGGACATAACGCCAGGCAATTCGGGCGCTGGAGAATCAGGAGCGGGTGTTGGTGACCTTCCCTCAGATCTAGGAGAGGACGAGGCATGAGTAGGTGAATTTTCCTTAGGACCAGGAGAGGAGGGACCCGGGGCTGCTGGCTTAGGCGAAGCCGCAGCATCGGACAATGGCGACTCGGCCTTTCGTTTTTCGGGAACACCCATGGTTGAAAGATCGTTTGTCGGCGTCAGTATGTAGGATATGAAGGGTCAAGTGAAGAAAGAATCCGAGTTAAAAATAAGAAGGGTAACCATGTGAGAACCAGCGTACATCCGGCGGACTATAGCGGTTTTTTTAAATTCAAACGACGACAAGGGGCTCCAGACGCCTAAGCCTAGCTGGGAAGCGGATTATACATAAGAATAACCCCGAGTTTCTGACAACTCTTTTCACTTGGAGCAAATCGATTATTAGTGCGGTACTATTGATGTTAGTTAGTCGCGGGTTCCAAAAGGTTGCCGAAGGAAATGCAGCCCAATCAACTGTCTGGCCGAGGCTTTGCCCGGCTGCTTTGATGCTTACCCGGTAACGGATTGTGGATTACACGGGCAGGTGCCATATGTAGTAGTTGGTCTGCTCGGGCGGTAGGATGCCAGATAGATCTCACCTTGAAGTCGGAGTTTTGAGCTGGTACCTAAGCTGCCCCGCGATGTCAGGAGACCTTTGTGCGATATGGGGCGAGTCTGAGTAAGCAGTACCAGCACGATGTTGAAGCGAAACCCTCTTCTTTGACTAAGAATACCTCCATCTCAAACCTTTGATGAGATATTGGACGGCCTGCTTCACATTTCAATGCTGGCTATCAGGGGGGCACAGGACTTCGGAAGGCCCGAGAGAACGGTGGTTTGTTTGGGGAAGAGACTCCACATTTCGGCTCGCTTAGGTTTGGTTTGTCTGGATTGGCTATGTTTGGGGGTACAGCTTTGGATGATTTGCACTGAATGGCGTGTGTACAACTTCTGGTGCTTCACCCTCATACACAAAAGGGAGTTCGGGCGGCCAACAGGTTTACACTTGATCGGTCATTTAGTTTGTATGTGTTTGCAGGGAAAAAAAAGAAAGAAAAAAAAGGGAGAGGGGTTGCACTTGCAGGGGACTTTACTGTATTACGTACCTCTACGTAATGGGTCTTTGGTGTCTGTATCAGTGTATGCACCCAAGTTGTTCTACTTTTTATACTTCGTTTAGTAGGTAACTACCGGTTGATACCTTTGCTCCGAGTTCGCTTCGTAATGCCAGAATGCACAACGATGCTCAACGTACAGTAGAACCCCCTGAACCCGCATGCAATTGTGCGGTTCCTGGAGGATGTATGTAGTTGCAGGAGTTCATCTGTGTTGCATCGCTGACTCGGATATATCCCCGAAACTATACTAGCCAATCACGTCTGGCAGAGAGAGGCCTTCACGGCGACGCCTCAAAAGGGCATGCAGACCTCGGCATATCACATACTCCAATTGCCGACGACAGGGGGCGGGGAGACATCCGAGTTGAATGAGATTCAGCGGTACATATTTGTCAGCTCCGAAGGTATCGTGCTTAGTACCCGTCCCAATAGAGCTCGCAGTTGGACAGATATGTTTACATGGCTCAACCATTTACTGTCACGATGAGAGGCCTTGGTGGGAAGACGATAGAGTCAGATGGACTAGTTCAGTTGTCTGGTTGAAGGGAAGACGTGGCCGGCTAGAAATGCACTTCACGAGAAAGCTTAGGTGACCATTGGGTGGGCCATGACTTCGCAACGGTAAGAGTACCCAGGAGGAAGCGCATTCCTGTCCACTTACATCGATACTCACCAAGTGCGAAAGCAATTCCCCCCGAAATCCGGTGGCACATCACCAGCCTGCTTCAGCCTGACTTGTTCCTTGCCTGACTATAACTTCTATTCTCATCCTCTATTCAAGACCATCTATTTTGCTTAATGCTCGTCCTGAAAGTCAGCATTATGATTTCTTGGCTTCTTTTGACAATTACACTGATTTGACAGTAACCTTCATAACATATGTTTGAACAGCGGAGCGAACGCCGTCTCGCATGAGAGCATATAGTGAAAGTAATTGGGGCGGCTGCCAGATGCGAGGGCAATGGTGAAGACGGGGTTACTGAGATAAACAGCATAGGTCAAACGAAGCCTAAGAAACTAGTGAAACCATCTTCAAAACGCTTCCCTATATATTGGGCAGAATCTCTTCCCGGCTGAATCACGAATATCCGAGTTCCCTCCAAATGTTTCGATTGACATAAGAGAAGACAAGCGGGAGGAAGAAGAGAAAGGGGAAAATGAAAGGAAAAATGAGGAAGAAAAAACCCCCCAAAAAAAGAGAAAAATTGCAAACCTCTATGGGCATTGAGGAAAAGTTAGATCCGGTCTGATCTCGTAGATAAGTTGGTCATCGCATGTTGAATAGTGGCATAAAGCACGACCACCGGAAAGTACACTCCCGCGTTATAAGAGTTTATAATTTGCAATGGGGAAATTTTAGACTGTGAGCACGATGGCTGAACATCACCTCACTGGTGTGTACTGTTGGCTCAATTTGGACTTGGCTTTGAACCTTTGCCTGAAGCACTATTCTGGGCTCACTCGGAATTCGAGCTGCAAATACCCAGGTCAACTGATGACCAAGCTTAGAGTCACCGCGCAAGAGAACATAAGTAATATCGGAGTCGGGAATATGTCGCGTGAAACGGGAGATTGCCCAACGCGCAGACATGTTATAAGAGTCCGAATTTCGTCTTTTGTTGTGTGCTTGAAGTCTCAATACCCGACGATCCGACGTTGAATAGTCGCCGGAGCCAGTCCATTAATTAAAAGAAGGCTATAGAAAGCTCGTAAGCTGATATATGTAGGCAGAAATCTCTGAACCCTTATGTCGTTTTGTTTGTCATCAAGGCATCCGCTGGTACCAACCACCACGGGACATAACCCCCAAGAACGCCGAGAAACCCGGCCTGCCGCCGCCATACGTATCCGATATACCCAAGTCATGTGCCGGTATGTAATTCCGTCGGTACGACCTATTCCCGAATGTTGATGTTGTTGTCATTTGTTGTTGTACAGATTCTCCTCGTCATCTCAAAGCCGGTGGTGATGTTTGCGCATTCCCTGCTTTGGCCACTACTCCTCTTTTACGGTTTGCTGCTCACTTGGTTAGCACATAGACAGAATAACGGGCCGGGAGCAGCAAAAGAAGAGGTTAAACATACCACCAACCAATCCATGCCCTCTGTGATGCCTGTCCCCTCCACTGCACTGCAGGCCATGATGCTCCAGTTCCTGTCCCTTAGCTCGCCCAGGCGGAGAGCCTGAGAGATATCTGCCGCCCCCTTTGCACCTGGCTGATCTTGCTTGTTGGCAAACACCAAAAGGGCAGCGTCCTTCAGCTCTTCCTCGTTCAACATAGCGGCCAACTCGTCCGCCGCGGTTTGCAATCGCTCCATATCGGTCGAGTCAACAACGAATATTACCGCCGCCGTGTTCGCATAGTAGCACCTCCAGTACGGGCGGATGCTGGTCTGACCACCCAGATCCCACACATTGAAGTTGAGATTCTTGTATGTGACTGATTCGACGTTGAAACCGATTGTTGGTATCGTGGTTACTACCTCGCCAATCTACAGCATATTGTCAGCTCTCCGAACTGTGCGCGCTTCCATTTGTCATCTTTTCAACAGGTGGGCCTACCTTGAGCCTGTATAGTAGTGTTGTCTTTCCGGCATTATCGAGGCCCAATATCAGAATGCGGATCTCCTTCTTTGTCCAAAAGAGGTTGGACAGGCTAGACAGCCATGACATGCTCTGACCCATCTTTGCGTGTTGGCTAGTGCCCCGGAAGACTGAGAGCGCGTTGAGTTCGTAGGAGTGTGATGATTGAGGCAGTTGATAATTAGACGGATGAGGAGAGGATTTGACCAGGCAGGGCGACTCCTTGATACAGATCGGGCTCTAACGTGTCGGATCGGGCCGTACTAGTCGATGGAAATGATGACGGCGAGTAGTGTATTATCGAGGAGGCAGCGAACGGAAGCGCGGTCAGCCCAGCTGGTATCTTTCGGATGCTCCCGTGCGCACGGTTGAAGACAGGATAAGCGAGGGTTTGTTGCGCCGTGGTATTGCGAAAAAAAAAAGTGTTTTGGGTTAGGTTGCTTCAAGATGCTCCTCTCGTTGTCATAGAGAGGCCGTCGCTCAATGCCGCCAAAGAGCTCCTTTGATCGTGCCGGCACTCAGGGGTCCCGGGAGGCAAGGCCGCCCCAAGCGCCCTGCCCAACTGCAAACATCCTGGCAATCGATTGGCAGCGAGACGGCGCCGTGGAAACCTCCGATAGCCGCTTCTCGTGGCTCGTGCGCCTCCCTTCTGGACCCAAATGGACCTTCCGTCCTGTCAGAGAGCGGACTCCAAGAGTGAATGAGCCTGTGCCACAAGTACGAGCCACAGGCACACACGTGACTCAGCCACATGCGCACTTTCGGGCCCTAGTGTTCTGCTTGGTTTTTGAAAGCCCACACCAAATATTCTAACCCACCTCATCGACACCAGCCAAATCGACCGGTAACTCGACAACACCGTCAAAATGCCGGTACGTAACGTCCCACCATGTTGAGCGTAGGGAATGCTCCGAATTGCTCTGCTGTCGAATTTTTGGCCGTCCTGCGATGCCAGAAATGGCAGCGATACGGAATTCGCAAAATGATGATCGCGGAGCGATTGATTGAAGCATGGAGGAGGGGTCCATGACTTCACCTGCTCGAACGACGGCAAGACAAGTTATGCTGACGAGGTGCATCGCGAAAACAGAGCCACAAGACCTTCCGTGTCAAGCAGAAGCTTGCTAAGGCCCAGAAGCAGAACAGGCCTATCCCCCAGTGGATTCGCCTCCGCACTGGCAACACCATCCGGTACATATCACCATAAGCGCCCATTGCCGTCGCGTTCAGCCAGAGGAGAGGGAGAGGGATGGGTAGTGACGGGGATGGTGGTGAGGGAAGCTGGGAAACAAACCAGCTGCCTCGGCTGTACCCGGCGCAACTTGCCCTCTCTCGAGCTTTCTGCAATCAAGAACGCATGGCGACTGCTTCATCATGACGCTGGATGCTAACAAGAGACAAATAGCTACAACGCCAAGCGTCGCCACTGGCGCAAGACCCGTCTCGGCCTCTAAATGCTCTCACGATTCTTCCATATTCCACCCCCAACGATGGTCTTCTTTTCCTGGCTGCCCTGAACCACCTCCATTCTTCGAAAACTGGAGCTTGGGAATGCGACCTATGATGGCAGCCTTCTTCTCTCGGCCTTTGTCCTACGAAACCAAACCGATAACGAAATCTTCCCGACCTCCCGCCACGGAGCTGTTTTGTTAGGGCGAAGTCACCGATCATCAGCAAGCAAAAAGGAGAAGCGGGCAAGGGCAACCAGGAGGCAAATACCGGAAGATGATGTGATCACAACCAAGTTCTGGCTCGGCGGCGGTCGGTTTTTAGCTGTGTTCTTTCGGCGGGGGGAAATATCCTGGAACTCGATCCTTATTTTGGGGAAACGTAAACTTTCGGAGTACTATGCTTTCATGGCAAACATTTAGAAGGACGGTTACTGGGGGAATTAGGATTTGAAATGAGAGAAAACGTGGTGCACGAGAGTTGATTCCCATACCTGTTCTACCCATGTTCTCGGCATTGTGCTACAACATCGGTCCATCTACCATGCACGTGTGTGCATTATATCAAGATCTGTGACACTGAGTGGACTTGATGATGATCAAAAGACGTGGGCAACGTCCAAATCAGCTCGCCTACGTTCCATGAACGACTCCTGTGCCCTTGGCTTTCAAAGCGAATGAAATGAGCCATGATATACAACTTGGGTAAGCTCCCTCCTAGTTCTGTGCAATCTGGACCATTAGTGTGTTGTTTGTTTGCACGGGCAACTCCATGCCATCTTTGCGCCTGGCCATGGTTGAGTTCAAAACGTCAAATTGGCAGTGAGAAGGGCAAATTCTGTACCTACCAGTGTTACCGGGAGCGCTTTAGCATAGAACGATGGAGGATAGTGTGGAAGTATGGCTGACTTTTCTCTCCCCTACTCTGAGGCCCATTTCTTCCTGGTGACTCCGCGCCTTAAGCCATGAATAGCTGCCACGAAACCGAGGGTCGTTGTTGCTACCATTAGACTACAGTTCACATGATGGGCGTATCAAGCGGATACGAGGTGCCAATATGTAGAGTACGTTGGTGGTAAAGGGGACCATCATGGCAATAACACGGAACAGAATCGTGACGACGTTGTCGGTCTTTACGGTGAGGACGTTCTCAGACACGTGAGGACCTGGTTCACAAACTGTATCATCATAAGAAAACCCTCGATTCAGCCTAAGAAAACAAGGAGCCGTAGAAAAAAGCTAGAGAACAACGCCTCTAAACGCCTGCCAACGCAAAGTTACGATCGAACGTACTGAGTGGAAGAGCTTCGTTTGTGGCCCTCCCAGGAATGCCCAAACCGTATCACGTCGTCGTCGAAATGCTGTCGATAACACGAGATGTCTTTGATATCCATCTCCCAACATAACAGCTCTCCCCATATCCATCAAACTCGGCTAACGTGTGCATCCCGGTAGACGAAGCACAGGGGTAGCCTCTGTCTTTGGCAGACGGTGGTCCCGGCGTTGCAAAGTGACTGGACGTGGAAACTGGTCTTGATCGGCTAACGGTCTTCCGCCCACTCGTTCTCGCGGCGAATCTGCTCCTCCTCCTCCGGAGTGAAATCGTTTGTAATATTGAACGTCTTTCGAATCTCCTCAGGGGACTTGCCCTTGATCATGTTGGCAACGGTCTTGCATCCAACATCAAGGAGGGGCTTGATGTCCATGTAGTTGGCAGCCTGGATGAGAAATATGTCAGCACAATCTGACCCTGCAGAACCCGAGTGATGTTTGCATATCCACTAGCATCAGCGGGTGAAACGAGTGAGAAACCTACGAGAATGATCTCGAAGAGCATCTCCTGGTCAACCTGCATGAACTTCTGGTCCCATTCGTCGATCTCCGTGCTCTTCTTACGGCTGTCGTTCTCGTCCTCGGTGGTCTGGGGCGGGTCCTTGCGGTGGTGCTCGCACCACTCGACAACCTTTCGGAGGACAGGCTCGTTGACGTTTGGTAGGGGAATAGCCTCGTTCATAACAGCCTCGTCGCCCAAATCCTCAATCAGGTTCTTGATGAGAAGGGATCGCTCGGCAACAACACGATCTGTGTTTGACGCCAGTTAGTCGGCTGAGTCGCAGGGAAAGAAAAGGAGACAGGCCAGGTGGCGGGGTAACTCTACTCACCGACGGTGATGATTTGTCCATCGTTGCTCTGGAGAGATACCTTCTGGAGGGCACGTTCGTCGTTCTCCGCCATGTTGAAAGTCTGTAGTCGTAGTCTTGACGTTAGAAGATACGTCGATGGATGTTGATGGGTTGAGTTGGCTGTATATGTGATTGATGCTGGTGGTGTGAATGATGCAAAGAGGGGAGTTCAATTGTGGGGGAAAAAGTGGGAGACGGTGTTGTTATATAGGTGCCTGTTTGCGCAAATCCAAGCTCAAACGTAAAAGTGACCTTGCTCTGAGTTGCAGGAGGTTTGGTAATAATGAGAGAAGGAACGCACGCGGTGTGATGCAGTGGTTCTTATGGTTTCCCCGTGAAAGGTTGCCTGTAGTTTGCTTGGGCTAGTGATGAAAGTAGACGGAGGTCCGCGTGAGTGCCCGTTGGCGGGCGCAGTCGGTCCTTCCGACAAACGAGTCGCCTCTGCCTTCATTTTGTGGAGCCCGCTGCACGCAAAAGAGTCCAATTGCGCGCACGTAAAGTGCGTGCATAGACCACCTAGCAATCCTGGCGTGATCCCCCAGCTCGTCAGCCTTCTTGGGTTGGAATATAATGGGGTTGGGTGGTCAGTGCCCAAGCCCCGCCTGGAGGGACGGATGGACTTTGCTCCAACACGGAAGACGCAGAAACGCCCTGGAGAGAGAACCTGACCGTTCACGTGCCGTTTCATGTACCTTTGGCACCACGCAGCTCCCATCGACGAAACGATGGGACATTTGCACACCAGTGATTACCTGGTATTTTGAGTCACGAAGAGACGATGTGGGGACCGTCGTTGGCGTGATCTGGGGACACTTGAAGCTACAGATGTCTTCATGCTTGCAATACACACAAAGCATTGCATCGGATAATAAAAATAATCAAAGACCGGCACATACTATGTACATACGAATTAGGTTCGTTGACAGCTGACTAGATGTGGTTTCCCACACCAAAACTATGCGTTTTTCCAGATGCTCTATATTCACCAGCTATGTTCCGGCTCAGGATGATACGCCCGCACGCCCGGTAGATTTTACCCAGACTTGTAAGTTGGATGTCGGGATGTCAATGGCTTCGATTGGAAAAGCTCCTAGATGAAGTATATACATGATGGACAACTACTTAATGGCACCGAAAACTGTCCTGAGCCACTCTGGCTTTTGTTACTATCTCGCATCATTGATACGGATGGTCAAGTAAAGGAATGCAGCTTGAATGTGCCAAAAGCTGCGGTACCTCCCGTCCAACGAGCACAGAAAATCAACTTCCGTGGGAGGAAGGACAAGGGGTCAACATGAGGGCCTATCAATATTCAAGGCCGCTTTGCTGGAGATTTATTTCACACTAACAGACTAGGACATCTTTTGCTTACCATCTGTCCGTATCGCAGTATGATGTACATTCAGATCACGAAGGCGAAATGTCAAGATTCCAAAGCTGTGTCCCGGCGCGAATATAGGTACAAATAAAGGTACATATATACTATGTAATTCGTCATTCATGGTCCGGCTCGCGCAGATCGACAAGTTGCTGCACCCGTGCGGGAGGAGATTACCAAGGCACCTACAGCAATGTGCCCTGTAAATGCTAGTCCCTATAAATGCAAAGACCCAGTTATTGCTAGAATATTCTATGCCCGAATTATTTTAGTATGGCAAGGCCTGCTAACTGCTAAATGCAAACCGGCCAGCGGACCGCCCATATAAAATTGCAACTGTCAAGATATCTAATAAGGGTTTTAACACCCCTATTACTACTTATCAGAGCTATCAACGGCCGTCACTAGCTGCTAGAACCCTCCCCCACGATCGCTAAATTTCCCCTAATCTTTTCCCTTCTTTACTCTTTTACCCTAATTTTCTAATTTGAACTATTAGTATATCCCTTCTTTTTGTCCTCTATTTCTAAATGACCAATAATTCCATACATTTTATTAATAATTAAATTTTCCTATAAAACGACCCTTACTATAGCTACTAACCGCCGTAATACACTTTTATAAGAATAGCGAATCTACTTCTAAGAATAAGTAAATAACTAACCTTACCGCTTAACCTTCGCCTAGTCTGCCTAGTAGATTCAAGGATAATAGAGTATTAATCTCCCTAATTATATAGTATCCCGTTATCTCAATAAAAAGAAGAACCCTATTAATTTCGTAATTATTAACCCCTTATTATAGCAACTTAAAAAGACTTGTATAAAGATTAGAAAATAACTAGTTCTTAAGAAGCTACTCTTTCATTGGCAGCTTGGTTTAGAAGTGTTAGGATACTAAAGGACTACCGCCGCGGGTACCGGGACCCGGCTAATATAAGTACGGAAGGAGATTCGGAATTGCCGGGGATAGAATATTATAACGCTATAATACTAATACTCTCTATTATCTTACTAAGCTTTTACTTAGAAGTATTAAAACGACTGATACTTTCCTTCGCTTTATTAACTTTAAGCTTAAGAATATTAGAACGTTCGATAAAATAAAGTTATAAAGGGGACGCTCCGGTGTTATATTATAGCGGTATATTAATTAGGAGCTCTATAATTATTAGTTATAATAGAATAGAGTTTGTACGAATATATAAGTAGTTCGAACGGGCGTTTTTTATTATAGTCGGTAGCTATTAATATATTTTTAAATTAACCCCTAATTTAACGTCCTCTACATATAGCTACGACCGTAGTTACCTCAACCTACTTTTCCCTCACATCCTAATAAGAAGCGTAGGGTCTAAGTACCTTAATCGAACTTTTGTAGGAGAAAATTAGAAGGATATAATTTAAATACTCTAAAACTTATAATAATATACCTACTAACTTAAATACAATACCTACCTTCAGGGTTAAATAGTACCATTTATTTAGGAAGTAATACTAAATTCGTAAGCAAAACTTTTATAGCAAGGTTACTTTTACTCCTAAATCCGACAATATCCCCTTTAAGGAGATTAACCGTCTTAGATCCCTCTTAAAAGAATTTCCTACTAATAACCTTTACAATATAAATAAAACAAGGCTCTATTAGTAGTACGCCCCTAATATAACTCTAATATTATTATAAAAGCTAGGTATTAAGAAGGATAAATTCTATATCTTATTAATACTTATAATTAATAATACCAGTAATAACCTCTTTAATATCTAAATTATTAATAAAGAAAAAGTACCTTACATATTAAAGAGATATAATTTCGAAGCTTCCCACATAGTCTAGCACAGTAATAAGAAAATATAAATAACTAGTACTGTTATAAAAGAGTAGCTCCGAGCCTTCTATAGCTATATTTCTATTAAAAAGCCCGGACAAAGAGTATTCCTTATCCTTAATAATTATTCTATTTATAAAGTCGCCCTCCAAATAATACCCCCGCCGCCGTTTATTACCGTACGGTTTCTTCCTCCCAATTATATATCCCTATAGCAACTTATAAATTAGGGTATAATTAATACCTTCAAATTATACTACCAACGTTACTTCTTAAAATAAATAATTTATAAGATAGATAAATCTTCTACCGACCTAATTAATACAATAAATTTAAAATTCTATTTCAATTGGATTTTACAAATCTAGTATATTAAAATAAATAAATAGACTATTATTAATTGCTAGTACAAATCTACTCTTTTAGGTTACATACTACCTAAAGGGGAAGTTGAAGAGATTCCCTCAAATCTCAACGCTCTCTACAATAGAGCAACCAGCTATATTAAAGATACTAGAATATCCCTCGCGAACTTTTTCAATCTCGTTAATAAGAACAATATACTAAATAAATTAATAACCGTTAAGGAGGTATTTTAATACGTAATTTTAAATTAGGAGGATACTATTAAAGATTCTAAAACCCCTAAAAATAACGAAAACGACCGTACCTTCAAACCTCCAATAGTTATTACTAGTAAGTAAGCGGTTATATATCTCTAAAATCTATTAGATTAGGTAGTAAGCTATAAGGTTTGTGGTTTTAATGAAATGTAGGGATTACGTAAAATGAAGATGAAAGTTGAGAAGTATTTCAATGACCGTCTTACTTAGAAGAATATTACTGATTTTTTCTCTTAGGGGAATTATAGACCTTTGTAATAGACTAGAAAGTGTAGATTAGTATAAGAAAATTGATGGTTCTGACCCCTGCATCAGGCTCCCAGTTCGGATACCAGTAAATGCAAGGACCTAGTAAATACAAGAAAAATGACCTGCCCGAGTGGGTTGCATTTACTAGGCACATTGCTGTAGACTTGCGCCAACGAGCCTGCCGACTGGCCCGAATGCGGACGGACAACTGCGTGGGGAATCTGGAGATGTCCTCACCCCACCTAATTTGAGATTCAAGAATTCCAGAAGCCTTCCTTTCCGATCGCAGCAAACAAGTCCGAAGCTTGTCAAGATTCAAGCAATAGTACCTGCAGGGGCTCGCCGCGAAAAGTCGCTCATCACTACCTACCTTCACATATGACCCTGCCGTCCAGGAAAAGTTGAACTCTCAGCTGCTTGCTTCCTTCGAAACTCGTGAATACTTCCATCTCAAAGGGCCTTGCGAGACATGATCGCTCGCTCCTTCACTGGAGAACACCTGGACGCCTGACGAGGGAGGCGTGATGCTTTGTAATATGTAGTGCGGATGGTGACACCATGAAGCTGGATTAGGTTCCCCTGGTTACAGCGATGGTAGCGTACAAGGGAATTGCGGGAAAGGCGCGTTTGCATGATTCAAACGGACGGTCGGATCTAGTCTCTATCACATTGACCCCCGTCGACAACGCTTCAGCGGACCCGCCCCACAAATATGTGGGTCTCCCCTCCTCGAACTTTTGTGAGAGGAGGTCTGTTACAGTTTTGCGCAAAAACGTCGTCGGCTGCAGAAACTCCCATACAAACTCTAGATTTTCTTTTTATATATTCTATTATAATAAAATAAAGAAAAATAGTAAAAATAAGAATAAATCACTCAGAGGATGGTCTTTTCGAGCTCTTTCTAAAAATATATTTTTTATAAAGTTCGGACCACCCGTTATAGTAATACAACCTTAAAGGTAAACCTCTGTCGGCTGCAGTTGCTTTTAAGGTTTTGGATACTCCTTATTTTTAACCTTATTAATAATTATATAGCTATAAAAATTATATGCCGAGGATAACCTCGGTGAGACGATTCTAATAGTACCATTTTTATAACGCTCGGACTACCCATTAAAGTAATACAACCTCGAGGGGGTAGTATTTTATTTTTCTTCTTTTAGTTTTCTTTTATTTTTAACTCTAATACTAACGTAATAAGTAAAATAAAAATATGCTGAGGATGTCCTCGCTGAGGCGGTTCTAATGGTATTATTTTTATAAAGCACGGACCACCCGTTAAAGTAAGGTAGCTTTGAGGGGGTAAAAGCTTTAAAGTTCAAAGCCTTGCATCTCGACGGTTATTAGTCGTATTGAAAAACTAAGGCTACTGTGAGAATCAGGATAAGAAGTTCTATATAGAGGTAATTTTCATCTATTTTTATTAATTTTGTTAGACTTTTAATAGATAATAATACTTGGTTATTCTTCTGCAGCCGAAGGCTAAAAAGCGCAAAACAGGCTCAGACCTGCTACCGCAAAAACAAGGGGTGGGGTCGGGGGGTGGGGTGGGTTTTGGAGGTTAAGTGGGTCTGAGAACTGAGACTAGTCGGATCCAATTCTTTAGCGTGCCTGAGGGATGCTGACCATCACCCCCCCTGTTCGGAGCTGTTCGCGGACAGGGCTCGCTCCTACGCAGCAGAGGTACCTGAGATCTGGCACGATGCCACCGTCCACTCCCGGTCCCATGGGCAATTGGGCATTCCCTTCTCACGAAGGTTACAGGCCCATCCCTTCCAGGTTCCTTTCTGATTACCACACCCAAAGATTCTCCTCGTCGCTTTCGGGTTATGTTTGAGCGCATTCTCTCCCTGACACGCCATCATGCCGTCTTTTTAATCACGGCGACTTCCCTCCTCAACCTTTCCATCCGGTGATGCCCCTTTAGCTTCCCGCGAGTTCTAGTGCCTCGAACGGCTGCGTGCGCCCCAAGAACGGATGCTCACATGGGTCGCGAATGACTGCAGTCGCAGGATCACGAACTTGACATGTTGCGGAGAACATACCTTTTCTTGGTGTTGGTAAGGCTCTGGTTTGCCTTATCACCAAGCTATCTTCACCCAGATGAGAACTTTCAAGGGCCAGAGGTTATAGCCGGTATGTTTGTATTTGCACCCCCGCAGACTGTATGGCGCATTGCTAACACTCGTCGCGCTTCAGGACAGATCTTTCATTATCCCGTCCGGCACACGTGGGAATTCACGAACGAACACCCGATCCGTAGCGTTTTCCCACTATGGCCTGTATACGGGCTGCCGATGCTGCTTCTTCGCTGGCTTTGGATCGGAAATGGAAACGATGGCGAGATCCCGCCTATCGCAGTGTTCTGGACCCTGCGCGTTCTCATGTTCGCCATAAGCTTCGTCCTGGAGGATTGGGCTATCCACGAGCTCATACCATCGCCGAGACATAGGCGCGTTGCTGTCCTCATTGTCGCCTCCTCCTACGTGACCTGGACGTTCCAGACACACACCTTTTCGAACTCAGTGGAAACATTAGTAGTAGCATGGTGTCTGGTGCTGATTCAGCGCATTGTCGAGAATCCGGTAATTGGCCCAAACAGATGATTTCAATGCGCCTGGGTATCACGGTCACTGACAATCCGAATACAGAATCGCAGTTCGTTCCTTGCCTCAGCGGTATTAGGTTTTGTTGCGGTCTTTGGAGTGTTCAATCGCATCACATTCCCCGCCTTTGTGTTGATTCCTGGCTTGCAGTTGCTGAATTACTACTGGAAGAAGTGAGTCTGCCTGATCACAGTTTCCTTGGATGCATGCTGATAGTCGATAGTCCTCTGTCATTCATGATATTGGTCTTTGCAGGTATCTCAACAACGCTGTTTGCCATCGCTCTCGACACGGCCTTCTACACACCGCACTCGATAACCTGGTTGGACCTTGTAAGAAGACCTGTATTGACGCCGCTCAACAACTTTCTTTACAACATTGACCCGGAAAACTTGGCTCAACATGGATTGCACCCGTGGTACCAACATTTGCTTGCCAACCTTCCACAGCTGATCGGGCCAGCCGCCGTGCTTCTCTTCACCCGACCGCAATGCTCTATACGACTGTACTCTGCTATCTCAGGCCTTGTCGTTCTCTCCCTATCAAAGCATCAGGAAGCAAGATTCCTCCTCCCGACAGTCCCTCTCATCTTATCTTCCATTCGACTTCCGAAACGAAAGTCGGCCTTGCGCATTTGGCTGGGGTCCTGGATTGTGTTCAACCTCGTGTTGGGCATATTATTTGGGGTTTATCACCAAGGTGGTATCGTGCCAGCGCAAGTATTCCTGAGCAAGCAGCCTGATGCTACCCAAGCAATTTGGTGGAAGACGTATATGCCACCAACCTGGCTTCTAAACGGGAAGAACGAGGTCCTCACCACACGAGATGTTATGGGAATGAAGGGCGAGATATTGCTCGAGGAACTGGAGAAAATTGCCACATGCGATATCCCCGCGGACAGGAGGAGCAATGAATATCTGAAGGAGAAGAACGGAACATATCTGGTGGCGCCTCTTTCGGCTGCATGGCTAGACCCTTACCTACCGAACAAGGGCCTGGACGGACTACGATTTCGGGAGGTATGGCGATATCGGCAGCATTTGAACCTGGATGATATGGATTTTGGTGATGACGGCGTTTGGAATACCCTGACTAGAGTAATTGGGAGGAGGGGCCTCGGGATATGGAGGGTTACCAAAAGTTGTCCCAAGTAGGGCTGATAGAGTGGTATGGCGGAATGATTGGTCAACGGCGGCCGTCTAATTCTACAGCGTTTTCTATAAAATGGCTGTATCTTAATGGAATTCAAGACGTCCTCAAGAAACAATGAATGAAGCTTGCGCAAGGTCTTAATTCTGGAAACAACCACAGACAGGGTTGAGAAAGTAAACAAACATGTGCCAAGAATTAGGGGGGATCGGTTGCTGCGGGGAGCCAGCGGAAGCACGGCCGCTCGGGACAGGGGTGGGGATCGCGTTTTACGGGAAAGCTGACCGGCCCACGGGCTTCGACCCACTGTAAATTTGGAACTTGGGAGCACTGAAGCTCCGTCAATCACCCGAACAAGTCCATCCACTTCATCCGGTTCCGTCGAGTCAACACTGAAGGTACCGACAACACCACGCTCCGTAGCTGCCCGCACCTTCCCGTCCACAGCCAGCCACCACCGCCACCAGGAACCACACTCGCCAAAGCCGCGATCTAGCCAAGATGGGTGGTCTCAATCTCGAAGTCTTCAAGGTGAGCGGCCCCTCCCATCCATCCCATCCCAGCTTCACCAAGCTGCCTGGGCCCTCCCCGAAAGAGCTCGCCCTTGCTCTTCCCTTCTCCGGCTTCGTTTGCTGTCTCGACCAAGGCGTGTGAACTGCAGTGGGCTGACCATTACGGAAAAAACAGTTCGGCATGTACCTCATGTTCCCCATCGGAATCATGTTCTACTTCGGCACCAACCTCGACCAGCGCTTTTCCGTCCCCGACTTCTGGCCCAAGCCCGAGAACGCCAACAAGGTCCCGTACGACCGCGACGAGATTCACGAGGAGCTCGAGAGGCTGCGCGCCCGGAGACTTTATTTGCGCGAGAAGAGGCTGGCGAGTGAGGCTCAGCAGCAGCAGCAGCAGAACAACGATCAGGAGTAGTGCGACGACATCGACTACCTGTCGAGGGGCCTGCCTATGAGAATTCTGGGCACAATTGAAGTTTACGGCAACTGACGAGACGAGTCATTCACCCTCAATTGAAGAGGGGGGGCTGTCGTGTTGTGGTTCTGGCTATGAGCAACTTCGGCTGAGGGGATTGTAAGATTACTGGAGTAGTAAAAGGAAGAGATGGAAGTCGACCTGGCCAGCTGGGCCGTCGCGGTTGGACAGCCATGGTGGTTAGTGGTGGACGAGTATCGACATGGGTTATAAGGCGTTTAAGGGGAAAACATGTCATTATTAGGTATCATGGTCACGAGGGAGGGACCTCTCTGCTTTGCATCGGGCCCGGACATCATCTTTGGGAAAGGGTATTTATCAATGTTTACAATCATTTGTTATGTCCCTTCTTTTTGCTTTTCAGGCCAGGGCTACTCGTCAATGAGTTCAGTCACCCTAGCCCACTCGTCATCACTCATGTTTCCCCTGGATACATTGGACCAGATCGCCTGGACATCAGGGTAGTCTTTGATGCTTGTGAGGAGGTCCATAAACTTGACCAACTCCTCGGACGAGTCCAGCGGAGCTTTGGTATCCTCAATGGCATGCCACACAATGTCGGACTCGGCGATCTTGAGGTTGAACTTGGACCCGACAGCCTTGCAGATCTGCTGAGTTGACGAGGGGTCCGACCAGACAATAATGTTGCCCTCTTCGTCGTTCTCGAGATCCTCAGCGCCAGCCTCAATCGCATCCTCCATGATGTCATCTACGTCCAGGTCGCTCTCGCCCTTCTCAAAGATCACGCGGCCCCTCCGCTCGAAGAGGAACTTGGACGGGCTCTTGGCACCGTTCGCCTTCTTCACCATCTGGTTCAAGTCTTCTATAACGCGCTTTGTGTTCTCTGTCGCAGCGTCCACCACCAGAGCGATGTTGGGTGGCACAATCGCCTCGTATATCACGGGCTCTAGGGTAGCGCCTTCCGACGACTTGCCCTGGCCTCGGGCGATGGCTCCCTCGATCAAGGCCTTGGGGGTACCGGCCTTCTTGGCCGCCGCGACAATAGTGGCAAGCTGCGGGTTATCGTTGAGATTGGGTCCATAGACTAACTCGCGTAACTGCGTAAGCTCGGGCTTCAGCCGGCGGATGGGCATCGGGATGATCGGTGAAACGCACGCTTCGAGTACAAGGTGATGTTCTTGGTGAAGACGGTCCTGGCTGCATTTTTCTTGGCGTCGGCGGCGGCCTTTTCATGCTTGATCTTGGACCACTTGTTATGACCAGACTGCAGGGCGGGACTGCTAACGAAGGTGCGCCGACATTGCGCGCATATCGAGGAGCTCGTGGATTTGGAGGAAGACCGGAAGAGTGGACCAATGACGATGCTCCGCGCGAGGGAAGCCATTATTGCGCTTTGCGAGAGAAGTAGTCTGGAAGATGAGCAATGCGCGTCAGATTGACAAACACTAGGAAACTTTGAAGGCGGGTTGACGCGACTCGACAACCCAGAAGAGAAGCGTACAAAGACAAAACGGCGAGACGGCTCTTCCCGCGACAATGGACGGAGCTCTCAGTCAAAATTCTGAGAATTGTTAGGTTAAGCTGTGCCGAATGGCGGCCGGGGTTCGGGCGCGGGGCGGGAAGGAAAATGGCCCATCGACATGGGCGGCGCGGTGGTTCACCAGGGGCGTGTCCCGAACCCCTTGTCGGGTGTTGCCCCTCGAACACGACTCATTGGCCCACTGTATGTACAGCACGCTTGCTTCCCTGAGGGGACGCCCATGTACATGCGCCCGCAGACTTCAGCAACCTCCTGTGAGCTGCATTGGATGTTATCACACTACACTCTACAGACCTCGATCATCCATGTCAACCTGAGAACCCAAGGCTGGCTCAGGTCAACAACTTTCTTCCACTTCGTTGCGACTGACACCTTGGCCTTAACGAGCTTCAGACAGTCCTATTCTAGACCACGTTGCCTGACGATGCTAGCTTCGACCTTTTTACAGACCAGCCGAGTTTCTTAGATCTGACTACATACAGTACAGCTATATACACCTAATTTCGCCGTCGAATTCGCAACAACAGAGCCCTCGACCGGCACCTAATCATGTCATCCACACCAGCTGACGCCACCAATGGCGAGCGCAACGGCATCACGAACACACTGACATCCCACGCTACGACGAATCCCGAGCTCGATCTTGCCAAGCTTCAAGCGCTCCCCGCCGAGCAGCAGGAACTGTTCCTCCTGACGTCCGTCTCGGCACTTAGCAGGCATGTCCTGACGCTCGAACCAGATGACTGCACCGCGCAGCAGTTCTACATAAAAAAGGAAGCCTTCAAGGTCCTGAATCTCACCTCGCCATCGCCAACAAGAGTCATACGAAACGCGCTGGGGCGGTCTCTTGCGCACGTGTTCGACAAGGGCGATAGGAAGCTCCTGTTCGAAACTGTTAACGAGCTGGTCGGCATCATCTCGAGTGGGAAATTGAAGACGGAGGGTGAGATACGGACGAAACATGCTGCCGTGGCTTGCTTGGGAGATATATACGGCTCGGCTGGTGACAGCGCCATTGGATTGCACCAGCTAGTATGTTCGGCGCTCTTGAAGCTACTGAAAGCAGCTTCGAGCCACGCAGGGCTTCGTGCAGCTGTCCTGACCGCTTTCGGGAAGATTGTCACCATGATACAGGGGAGCATGGACGAGAATGTTGCGAGAGATATATGGAAGCAGGGGAGAAACCATGCCTCTGGAGACAAAGGCTCACTGGTCGTCGTGGCAGCTTGCCGATGCCTACGGTCGCTTGTGCAGTATACCCCCTATTTCAAGAACTCGACCGACTTCGACAAGCTCAAATCGACCTTGTTCAAGACTTTCGACAATCCCTCATCAAACGCGCGATCGGCAGCAGCGGACTGCTTTGCCCAAGCGCTGGTCGGGGGTTACTCTGAGTCAGCCATTGGCGAGGCACCGCTGCCCCTGGTCAAGAAATCCAAGTCCAAGGCGATCAAGAGACAGTCAACAATGGGGGGTCTTCAAGATGACGAGGAGGTTCCCTCACGGCCCGAAAGCCCTGCTCCAACCCAGAGACCCCAAGATTTGACCTTGTCGCTGGCCGATATACTCAAAACTTTGTCCACCCAATACGTCCGCATTTCGACCACCAACAAGGCAAGGGCTGCCATCGCGATTTGTATCGGAAACGTTCTCCAGAAGCTAGGAGAAAAGACTGTAGAAGTCAACTATCTTCGCATTCTCGAGATCCTCACAGCTGACTTCTTGGGCCATAACAACATTCTCAACAACCGGTACCGCTTACTCATTTCGCGGCGCATGGTTGATACCATAATCCAGGACATATTAGGAAAAAGGATCCTGGGTGAATCGGGGCAAATCACGGCCGCTAAAGCTATCGTCAACGATATCCTCAAGAACTATCCTCAGGCGCTCAAGGAAAAGCCGGAGCCATCCAAACACACATTGGTTGTCTCACTGAGTGCTCTGTCCTCGCTGATCTCCAGTTTGGGCACAGCGGTGACCGACTTCTCAGAGGGATGTCGCGATGGCCTGCTTCAAGTTCTCCAGCACCCTAGCTATACCGTTCAGGTATACGCCGCGGCCTGTATGAAGAATTTTGTGTTGGCCTGCCCGCAACAGCTTCTTCCCTGTTTGTCAGTTTGCATGAACAGCTTGAGCAGAGAACTGAGCCTTCTTGGGACGGGTAGAAATTCCCCTCGCAGGTGCATTGGTTTCGCTCACGGCCTCGCTGCCGGGCTCAGCGCAAGCCCGCAACGCCCGCTCTATGGGTCGGTCGAGATCAACAGTCGTGTTCTGACCATGGCTACAAACTTGCTCAAGTCAAGTGGAACTTCGGAACTACGGGTTGCAAGCACCCAGATCCAAGTTGCCTGGACCTTGATAGGCGGATTAATGTCTCTTGGTCCCAACTTCGTCAAGATTCATCTCTCGCAGCTGCTTTTACTCTGGAAGAATGCGCTGCCCAAGGTTCTGGCAAAGGATAGCATGGCGGTTCATAGGAATCTGCTCAATGCCTCGTTCCTCACACATGTCAGGGAATGTGCGCTTGGGTCTATCCTAGCGTTCCTTCAGTTCAACAGTCGCCTCTTGACTGTGGACGTGTGTAAGAGAATCGCTACGATGTTGCAGAGTACTACTGCATTTCTCAAGACACTACCAGCGAAGAAGACATCGGATGATATAAGCGAGAGGCTGACTCCAGCCTTGCAACTCCAGGATCTGGAGGTTATGGTACGACGCAGAGTCCTTCAGTGCTATACGAAGCTCGTGAACGTTAGCCCTGCTGGCGCCACTGAAGCTCTCCTGCAGTCCAACCTTTTGACTCTCGCCATCTCTCTCTTTGCCGACCCGGATAACTATACACCGAGCTCCCTCAGCACTTCCATCGCGAACGCCGCAGGTACCTTCGACTCCATTTGGGAGGTGGGCGACAATTCAGGGTTTGGAGTGACCAGTCTTGTTAGGGGCTTTGCGACAAGAAGCCTCCCGGGACAGCAGACCAACGGCTCAGACAGCACCCAACAAGAGTACGAACCGGAGGAGTGCATCGAGAGGCTGCTTCTTTCTCCCGTATGCGGCACCCTGGAGAACGACGCTTGTCTTCTGTACATCGGTAACTCGGATAACCCGGGACTTCCTGATCCTGCTGCCACCGAGGTGGTTAACATGGCTATCCAGTTGTTTGCCTTTGTCTTCCCCTTGACCCCATCTAAGGTGCAGGAGAGTGCCTTGGAGCAAATCACGACCTTCATAAGGGCTGGCTCCCTTCAGCGGGAAACTGGCCGCAAGGCTGCTGTTGATGTCAACGTGGTTACGGCACTTCTGTCTACTCTCCGCGTGGCTTGCAAGGAGACCAAGTCGTCACCAGGCGACATCACAAACGTGGCCGTAGAGAAACTTCTACAGGAGCTACTGAGAGATTTCGTACTTGACCCCGATCAGTACGTCCGTAGCATTGCTTACGAGGCAATCGCCAGACTTTGCAGCGCTTGTGGCAACGCATTCACGAATCAAGAGATCAAGTTCCTTGTTGATACTATTGTTGTCAACCGAGAACCTAGCGCCAGAGCGGGCTGCGCCATGGCTCTTGGGTGCATCCAGACCAAGATTGGCAGCATGGCGGCTGGGTATCATTTGAAGACGATTCTTAACATCCTCATGTCTCTGTGCAACGATCCGCACCCGACTGTCCATTACTGGGCTTTGGAGGCTATAGCACGCGTATCAGATGCTGCTGGACTCGGCTTCTCCAGTTTCGTGTCCAGCACACTGGGAATGTTGGCCAAGCTCTACGTCTCGGATACGCATAACCCTGAACTAGCTTCCCCGATCACCATGAACTTGGAGGCTGACCTCTCTTCGTCGGCTGCGATTGCTCGCTGCGTTGATGCGCTCATCAATGTCCTTGGTCCAGATCTACAAGACTCTGCGAAGTCTAGGGAGCTGATCCTAACTCTTGTTGGGTATTTCCAGCAAGAAGAGGATCTTGAGATTCAGCGGGCAAGTCTCGCTTGCATGGAACATCTGACATTGTATGCTCCGGGCTACATGGACTTCATCGACTACGTCAGGACTCTTCAGCGATACATCAAGTCCGATCATGCCGCCCTCCGGGATGTGGCCGTGGACAGTCTTTACAACCTCATGAAGAGGAACTCGTACGATGTCATCAAAGCAGCCGAGCAAGGCTTCGAGGATCATCTGTGGTTGGTTCTCGATGCCTCGCCGAGTCATGACGGAATGCGCAACCTTATCAGAAACTGGCTCCGCCAGACCTGTCTTTCGGATACAGCCGCTTGGCTTGCGCGCTTCCAGCATGTCTTGAAGATGACCAGACCGAAGGCCTCCGCGCAGGCAACCACGAACATCGGGAGGTCTGGGGGAGGCATTGACTTGCAGGATGAGGAGGTAGCTGGCTTCGCCGCTGCTGGAGGAGGCGCCAAGGACGACAAAGACACGCCGAGCGGCTCGGATGTGGAGCCCCTGAAGTGGCAGGTCACTACCTTCGCCATGGACTGCCTGAACGATATCTTCATTTTGGTTACCAAAGATGTCGCAACTCATGGCGAATCTGCTGCGCAGGCAGCCCTTCAGAACAAGGTTGCTGATGTCGTCCGCATGGCGTTCTCGGCGTCCACATCAGGTGTCTTGGACCAGAGAATCTGGGGCTTGAAGATCATTGGCGCTGTTCTCAAAATGTTTGGCAAGATTCCAGACCCAGACTTTGAGGAGGCCATGCTGCTTGAGCAGTACCAAGCGCAAATCAGTTCCGCTCTTACGCCCGCTTTTGCCGCGGACTCGTCACCCGAACTGGCCTCGGAAGCCGTCGATGTTTGTGCAAGCTTCATCGCAACGGGCATTGTCACTGACGTAGACAGGATGGGTAGAATTCTGAAGACGCTAGTGAGCTCGCTAGAGAACTTTGCAAAGGATGAGGATAATGCTGGCATCGGTGACCTTAAGGGACTCAGCTCAAACGCACAGGTTATGGTCAAGATGTCCGTCTTCGCCGCCTGGGCCGAGCTCCAAGTCGCCAGCTCTGAACAAAAGTACCTACTGGATGTTCTCAAGCCTCATATTGGTACCTTGACTCCTCTTTGGCTCGAGTCGCTACGCGAATTTGCTCGGCTTCGGTTCGAGCCGGATATTTCCATGACGCTTGGCCCTCCATCGCTTTCTGGAAGCTTGGACACTGTCTACGCAGCGCTGAACCGTGAGACGTTGCTCAAGTTCTACCAGGAGTCTTGGTTGAAGTTAGTAGACGCTATCGCCAGCCTCATTGAACAGGACAGCGAGTTCGTCTTTGATGCCCTCGATGGCAAGGAGCTGTCAGGACCTACCACCAACAGCAGCTCAAAGGGGGCAGATATCAACTACCGCGATGAGCCTGTTGCGTTCTTCTTTGTCTTGTTTGGTATCGCGTTTGAAGCGCTCGCCACGAGACCAGGCCAGAGCGAGTCTCTCGCTACCCGAGAACAAACACTGGAGATTCTCCGCGCTCTTAAGAAGATCCTTCACCCAAGCGTATCTGGCCATGCCATTTATCGCGATGCCATCTTCTCCGAGACGATGGATCTGCTGGACCGTCTCGTACTCACCGAAGGTCTTGATGTGCAGGGCGTTATCGTTGAGATTGCGCGTGCCCTATGTGTGGCACATCCAGCAGCCAGAAAGCAGGCTGACGACCCCGAGAACAGTGAGTTGTCTGATGACATTGAGCAGCTCTTTGAGCTCACTCGGATCATCGTCTTGGTCCTCTCCGGACTGTTGCCCAACCTCAGTGAGACCCAACAGCCCGTGCGCCACCAGATGACAGAGGAAGCGATCCTTCTCGTCAAGACATCGCTCAACGCACTGGTCGATGCCGCGGAGGTGTTCCCATCCATAATCAAGACGGATCTACACGCCTGTATCCTGCACATCTTTGCGACCATTCTTGCCACACCATCATGCCAGGAGGTCATTGTCCCCCAAAATCTGTCGACACTCAAACGCTTTATCAACGGCATGACCGGTTCTAGGAGAGACGGCGGAGATGATGACGAGGGTAATTCGCCCACGGACGTTCAGCTGCTGGGATGTTTGCGCCGCTTCCTGTCCATCTATCTCCACGCTCAGAAGCGCGAAGCCCCGACGTCCTTGACCTGCGTCAAGAACTGTCTCCTGGCCATCACCATCCTCTTCACCGGCGGCAAAAACCACCTGCCAGCCAGCGAACCGCTGGTAGCCAAGTTCCTAGACGAGCTCGTAGACTGTCTAACTGACCGGATGGTAAGTGTTTACTCGCTCCCAAACCCCATTGGCCTTTCCATATACTAACACGGCCAACTCTAGACCGCCAAAATAGCCGCAAACTGCACCCGCTCCCTCCTCCTCAATACCAACGCCAACAACCAACCCACCTCAGCCGATCACTCTATCTCCCGCCACCTCCTCCCGCGCCTCATCGCCTTCGTGACCAACACCTCTCCCGAGGACCCGGAACAAGCTCGTTCGCTCATCGCCCAAACCCTCGTGCAGTTCACTGCCGTGGTTGCCAGAGGATCGTCGCAGGACGGAGGCCAAGGCGCATCCATTGCCATGGCCCTCGTTGTGCCGACTTTGCTCTCGCGCGCGGCGACAGAGGGAGCTAAAGATGATGTATACCGCGAGACGAGTGCAAGGCTACTGGAGTTGGCGAGCGCCGATCAGACTGCTTTTAGGGCGGTGGTGGGCGCGATGAGTGAGGGCCAGAGGGCGTTTATGGAGGAGGTTATCAAGAGTGGACGATCGGGAGGAATGGGTGGTGGTGGTGGTGCACATGTAGGTGCCGGAGGGAGGAGAAGTGAGGCGGACGAGGAGCAGGCGCCGACTATTGCTTTGAAGATGAACTTTGGTGGTTGAAGAGGATGGTGAAGAAGTGTGGAAGGGTTCGTTTTGGATTTGGGGAAGAGTATATATATATAGACGGTATAGGACGTTGTAATACACTTGCATGTGGACTGTTGATCAAGAGTCTCGCTTGGCGAGAAAAGGGAAATTTTGGGATCTGGTTTTAGATGAAATGGGAAACAGGGGCTGGCTCGAGTTGAGCCCCCCTTTCTTTCGATTGTTTACTTGGGTATCTTCTTATCTGACCCTAACCCTCTGTTCTCTAGTGCCCCTTGCTTCTCACGGCTTGACAACAGGAGAGAACAGCCCCCAACCTGGTATAAACCGCCGTCATTGCGTCCTTGAACCCTGCTCCTGTCGCTTCCTCCAATGTGTCTATAACAATGCGGCCATGATCGGAATCCAAAAAGAAGCGTCTACTTCTAATTCGCCGCAAGAATTTCCGCCGCGAACGGCGCCGGCGCAACGTCCCTTGTGCCATCATGCCTCCTGGCCTCCTCAGCTTCTCGCTTCTTTCTATCGGCCTCTCTCTGTCGCTCGTGGTTCACATAAGTGGCGTAGCGCAGGGTGCCGAGGGTAGCGACCGCCATAAACAATATTCCTACCACGGACCGGCGAATAAGAACCCAGCGCAGGGCTTCGATGTCGGATCGGGCGTCGCTGTTGAGCATGACGGAAATTTTGTAGTTTATTTGTTGGATCTGTTGGCGCGCACAAGCAAATGTTAGTTTGGGGATAATTTGGTTCCCGGTCTAGGATATACAGAGGTTTGGAAGACGTACCCGACTTTCAACGGCCTTCTGCTCCTCCCTGACTGCCATTTTCCGATCATTGAACATGCCGCGCACGTTATCGTTCAGCGTCAACAGCTCCTGGTTGAGCCTCTGCGTGAGTATGTCCACCTCATGAAGCAGGTGCGTGCGCTGCTGTCGTAACTGCTCGTCCGCCACCCGCCGGTTGTTCTTGACCTCGGTGCTCAGCTCTGAGCACGCCGCGCGAAACAGGTACGTCTCGTTCTCCACGTCGCTCTTGCTCACTAACCCGGCTTGCGCCACGTCTAGATTCGACGCTAGTAGACCACGAACGGCTTTCATGGCCGTGATGGCTTGCGTGAGCGTGTAGCCGCCGGCCGAGAGCTGTTTAACGAGCGAGTAGCTGTCGAAGTGGTGGACGTAGGGAGGCGGCTGCAGGTGCGGTGGTCGGCCGTTGCCGTTGTCAGAGTCAGTCAGGAGGCGCGTGGTGTTGTCGGAGGGAGGCGGTTCCATGTAGAGAATGGTTTCCATAGGCGTGGTACTCTTTTTGTCTGCCGTCGGATCTGAGCCCGTTCTCGCGGCGGCTGCTGTGGGTGGTTGTTCAGGGGTTCCCCCGGAGCTTGGGGCTGCCTTTGGCGCATCGGGGACGCCTTCTGTTGGTGTTGTTGGCTCGCTCTTTTCAGACTGCTGCTTCTCTGCCGGGGCAGCATTGGGATTCGGGTCGGCGCTTGGTTTTGGGTCCGAAGACGTTGTTGGTGTCTCGTCATGTAATGGCTGCGGTTCTACGGCCTTTCCGTATTTTACAAAGGCGGCTTGCCTCCGGGAGGCGGAGCTGGAGAAAGGAGCCGAAGCGGTATGCGCGCAGCATGACGGCTGAGAAGAGAGAGGAACGACATGACGACGAGGCTTTCGGGCGACACGAGCCGCGGCGGGCTCGGACCAGAGAGCTCCTGTGCGGAACAGCTGAGGATATAGGAAGGTCAAACGGCCAGGGGTGGCCATGGTGTCGAAAATGGGGGCTTTGTTGCTGCCCGAGCTGTCACAAGTCTTGGAGGCGGACTTTGGGGGTAAACAGCTTCGAGGGGATCGCGGGGTTCTGGATGGGCGCTGGGACGATTCGTTCGCGACTGTTGGATTGACGGGGAACAAAGTGTTGTTGGATCAGGAGCAAAGGAATAAATGGAAGGAGGAAAGGGACGAGAGTCGGTAATCTAGACGGGCATGGTGGGTCGGGAACAGCCGGTTGGAAATCACCTCAATGTCATGCACACGACTGACTGGGCCGCCGTCAACGGAGCTCGGGATCCATTGTCTCGGGTTGCTAGCGCATCACAGGATCGGCCTTCTGGTGGGTTCGTTCCATTCCAGGGCAGCCCAGGGGTAAAACGGCTAGAGCCGGTTGGATGTGTCGCTGCCAGCGCAGGGAGTTGTTCAAACGAATGCCAAGAGCAAGGCCGCTCGGTGCTAGGTGCCCGTGCAGGGGAGGGCAGGCGGTCTCGGTTCTCAGGTTGTGGAGCACGCACGTCAGACATTCCCGCCCGGCCTGAAGGAGGAAGTGACGTGCATCGGGACTCTGCCCTGATGTCTCCAACGCACATGTCGACAAGCAACCAAAACTTTGATGCCCGTGGGATAGAAGGATCTGACCAGACGAGCATCGACGAAGCTGTCATTGTCTAGTAAGTACTATGGATGGTACAGTAGTAGGGAAACCAGAATGTGTCTGCACCGATTCCAAGAAATCACCTGGTATACCCGGCCAGTTTTCCCGATAAACTCTAGGTAACTAGAGGTAGCTGCCCGGTGTCGGCAATTGAAGGCCTACAAAGAACGTAAGAGGCCGACTTTCATCCACATTTTATGGGATGGCGATCGTTGACCCCGCTAGATACAGTAGGTGATGTTAACACTCTGACATGGACTCAAAGCAGTACCTGCCTCCACTATAACGCAAGGAGATACGCCCTATATTCCACGGTCCTCATTCTACTGGGTGCAAAACGCGACTGAAATCAAACTTGAATGATTACAATCGTTTCCATGCAACCTTCCTTCCGTCCAGTTCTCCAACTCCTGCTGCTTTTACTTATACAACCCTCAAAACTTTCCTAGTCATATCAAATTGAAATCTCTTGCTTCCTCCTCGTGTAACTGGGAAAGCGCACAACCACATATCGTCACTGCAGCACAAGTCAGAGAGAGAGGCAGAGAGGTGAGTAGGTACTTTCCACCAACATGGAAGAATTGGAACCATGTCGAAAGGCCCTTCCATGACCGACCGAGGTCCCTGGTCCCGCGCGGCAGGCTGATTGACTCACGGTTCGCTTCTTCAAGTCGTGGAACTCGAAAAACGAAAAAAACCAACTGCAATCTTCACCACGGCACGGGTGACATTTACGGGACGCTGCTTCTTCATCTACTCTGCTCGCACACGTCATACTCGTCCTGCCGATTCATAAATTATATTAACCTACCCAGACCCCGGCCATCTCTTGTCCATCTTATCTCTCTGCTCTACTCTAACCATTTTTCACCGTATCGTCTTAGCCACGCATCCACCGGTCTTAAATATTGTGGTTCATGTACGCCTTCACATCGATCTTCATCGTTCCCCATCCTTGGCCATGTATCAGGCTAACTGACTCGTAGTCCATAGTGACTCTTCCTAATTCGCTGACCTGGCAGCTTATCCGGGCGTCAGTGTTGGCTGCAGATGGCTTCCCCATATGGTTTGTACAACCATCCCCATCCGACTGAATCATGGCCAGTATGGCTCCTCAGAACCTGAAGGTACTCACTGACAACACCTCCCACAGATCCCGTGGCCACGGATCCACCACTTCTAGACAGAAACAGCGAGATCAAAACATACACCACGTCGAGGTTTACCTATCCCGGCCTGCGTATCTTCTATCGGCGCCACCAACAGGCCGACCGTCTTCCAAAGTCGCCGGCGCCGATACCACTACTCGTTTTCATCCATGGACTTGGTGGCTCAGTAGCCCAGTTTCACCCGTTGCTCACCAGCCTGACTTCGATTGCGTCCTGCTTGGCTATTGATCTTCCAGGGTGCGGGAGATCCGAGTTTTCAGTCCGACAATGGGAAGCATACACCACAGATGCCCTGGTAGAGCTCCTGGAGACCATCATCGAGGATTACCGTGAGAAGGAGGACGGCCAGGGCGTAGTGCTGATTGGTCACAGCATGGGTGCCTCTCTTGCTGCACTACTGGCGAGTCCGAGACCACCACCCCGGACTCAACTGCATGATCACGTCGCTGGCTTGATCGCGGTCTGCCCCACCTCAGGTCTTCTATCCCAGAAGCAAATTATGGTTCTTACGGCATTGCTTTGGGTCCCTGAAATCATCTTTAACCTTTGGAGAGCGTGGGACAAGCGAGGCGGAAGCCAAAGTGCGAGCGTTAGGAGGTTCGTTGGCGCCGATGCCGACCCCGAAGCAAAGCGGCTTCAAGACTTATACAACAACCAAGCTATCACGTCAGTCTGGCGTCGTATGGCTTGGGGTTGTCTACCGACTCATGTCAAAGGGGTTGCTAAGGGCGGCCTACCTTCGAAAGAAACCTGGGAAAAGCTGAATGTGCCGGTTTTCTTAGTGGGAGGAGAAGATGATAGAGTCACCCCTCCCCAGGAAATTGCCAAGATCCGTGACTTCCTGCAAGAAGTCAAAACGACACCAGACACGATTTCACCCGGCACCTCAGTTCTTGCTGACTCGGCAGCGCCGGTAGATATCAACGCAGCGGCGTCCAAGATTGATGCTTTGACAAGTTTGGGGCAAGGAGAGGAAAATACTCGAGAAAGCGCGGATCAAAAGCCAGTACACCGCACACAGGTGGCTGAACCAGAGGAAGGAGCGGACGATCCGGTGACACCTACTGAGCAGGCAGCGAGTCTACCGTCCTTGTCTCTCCACCGCAAAAAGGTTGTGCGCTCCATCATCATGGGCAAGCCGGCCACGCACGCTTTACTATACACGCCGTCAACAGCCCGCATCCTAGCGGGATTGATATCAGATTTTATGGTTGTGCATATCACTGGTCGTCTTGACCTGGGCTGGCAACTGCAGTACCTTTCTCGTGATGGCAAGTGGGATGTCAAGAATCTTCAGAAGTGGCAGGCAGTAGAGCCTGTTTCTGAACCTATTGGAGGCATCTTCCGTGCCATCAAGACCTTGCGCGAGGTTGACGAAGATCACAGTCCTTCGGAATTTGTCAAGAAATGGGGTGGGGTCATTAAGGATGTCATTGACATTTCGCATGATAACCCGGTGTACAACCCTCAGGGTCTCGAGAAGGGAGGAATACACTACCACAAGTTCCCGACGGTTTCCAAGGTCCCGCCTACGGATGCGGAGATCAAGGGCTTCATTGAGCTTGTCGACAAGGTCCGTGACGAGCAGAAGGAGCGGGCGAAGAGAGAGAACTGGGGAGAAGAGTATTATATTGGAGTCCATTGCCACTATGGCTTCAACAGAACGGGATTTTTCCTTGTCTGTTACCTCGTTGAGCGATGCGGTTATACACCGGAGGCGGCTATTGAGCATTTTGCTCAAAGCAGGCCCAAGGGTATCAAGCATGCTCACTTCAAGGACCGGTTGTACGTGCGGTATTCGGGTTTAAGGAGCGAGGCAATCGCGGAGCACTGAGATTTCTCTTGCACCCTTTTTTTGTTGTTTGCTGGTTTACTTCACTGCAAATATCTCGAGATTCTTCGAGATTTGTTTATCTGATGATACGAGCGGTTGGGTTAGTTGTAAGCAATTCCTTGGTCATGGTAGTATGGTTAGGCCTTGTACGGAAAGATAGGGCGTCTGGAAGGTTAAATGCTGCTCGGTTCTTGATACCTTGGAATACTAGCCTGTATTCCTTCTTTTTTAGTTATTGAGTCTAGTTAGAGGTTGATGTCTTGATAAAATCAAAGCATAGCGTTGTTTACCTCAATACGAGCCAGAGCAACAGTTATGTTCAATAACCCTTTGAAACTCAAATAGTTCTGCGACAGTCTCCCAACTCGAAACACGCAGCATGCTCAAGACAACTCTCCCCGACTAGCCAGATACGCAGCCCCCGAGTCAGCCCAAATTTCATACGTTTTCACCCTCGCATCCTCGTCAAACTCCAAGACATATCTAAACACCTCGTCCCAGCTCTGTCCCGTCTTTTTGTTGGTGAACACTGCCTCTCCCCTTACCGACACCTTGCGCACCTCGGCATCCACAATGTAATCGGAAAATCGCATGTCCTTATAACTCAATTGCTCCCCAATGGTATTGAAGTACTCCAGAAATCCGTCTTTGCCCTTGTATTCGCGGCCCAGAAAGGGCGCCAAGCGAGGCAGACCGTGCTCGAAGACTATGATGTCATTGCTGTTTTGGGTGAAGTGCTTGGTAAGGATCTCGGAGGGAGGAGATTGGGAGGCGAAGGCAGTGCAAAAGGATTCAGAGGCTTTGAGGAGGGATTGCCGCGTGATGGAAGACATTGATTTGGATTTGTTTGAATGTGTTGAGCGTGCTGAGTGTTGGTGTCGTGAAGGGTTGGTTGTTGGTGTTGGAGTTCCTGTGATACTGCAGTGCTGTACACTAGAGGTAGTTCTCTGTGTGAATGCCGGGAGTCTAAGATGCCTGTGCTACAGTAACATGAATGGTTGAATTGACCTATGCCGTAACGATAGGGAACCAACAGACAGGGTTGCTTTCAGTGGTCAGGCGGACGAATCATGGGCTCCTGCCGCACCCGATGCAGCCCTATCGCCGCTGCCCGCGCTGCGTCCTGACCGCTGTGAGGTGTCCAGTGTGCGTTAATAAGTAACGTCTCGTCCAGTCAGATGCGAGGACGTCCTGCTACGACCCCTGCCTGGAGATAGCCAAAGAGGTGCTCAAACAGTCGCCGCCAGCGCTTTACCTTGTAGGAAAGGTGCACCACGTCACCCGCCCACCGTGACGGAGACAACGAGACGGCGGGCACAGACAGGCACGCGCCGCCGGTCCAAGTCAGGTCGGTTTCAGTCCCGTCTCTCTTTTTCGTCCCATCTTTCCGCATCGGAGGTTTCTTTCCCCCTCTCTTCCCTTTCTGTCTACGCAACTGAAAGCTCGGTATAGGAAGAAGTCCCAGCCCAAAGATTGACTGTGATCTCTTCTGCTGAACTGATCGCAAACCATCATATCGATCTCTCTCTACACCACAATGGTAAGTGAAAGCGCCTTCTCTACCTTTTACAAGAAGAGGGTTAACCGGGGGTGGATTCCACCGCACAGGCGCCGTCTCCGGAACGCACGCCGTTGTTGGCCTCTGACCAGTCTCCCGATCGCGAGAACGACAATGCCGCTCCCAGGTCACGATGGCGCGAGCTTGCGCTCTTCACCTGGGCCCTTCTGGCTACCGCCGCCGTCATCGTTTTGGCCGTGGTGATCCAGCACAGTAACTCCACCCAACACTCGTCGATCTCGCCGGCCGCAGTCTCTGACTCCTCCTCTGTAGCCGGCGACAAGAAGCACGGTTCTCCGTCCGGCGGCAAGCGCAACTTGGTCTTCATGGTATCCGATGGCATGGGACCCGCTTCGCTCTCTCTTACGCGCTCCTTCCGCCAGCTCACCCAGGACTTGCCTATCGACGATACCCTCACCCTCGACCGTCACTTTTGGGGTACCTCCCGCACGCGCTCGAGCAACAGCTTGGTGACGGACTCTGCTGCCGGTGCCACTGCCTTCTCCTGCGGCCTGAAGAGCTACAATGGGGCTATCTCGATGCTTCCCGATCACACACCATGCGGTACCGTCCTCGAAGCTGCCAAGCGTGCTGGATACTACACCGGCTTGGTCGTGACGACCGATATCACGGACGCCACTCCTGCTTGCTTCGCCGCTCACGTCTTCCATCGCATGCAGGGCGATGAGATTGCGCTACATGAGGTCGGTCATGGACCCCTCGGTCGCGTTGTCGATCTCATGCTGGGCGGCGGCAGGTGCCACTTCTTGCCCAGGGGAACTCCGGGCAGCTGCAGACAGGATGACATCGATGTTACTAAGCTCGCCCAGGAGGAGTATGGATGGAACTACGTTAGTGATCGCGCCGGCTTCGATTCCCTTGGCTTGGGCAAGAACGTTTCCTTGCCCCAGTTGGGTCTGTTTGCGACCACAGATGTTCCCTTCGAGATCGACCGCCGCAACATGGCGGATGTGTACCCTAGTCTGAGCGAGATGGCTGCCACGGCTCTGGCGGCGCTTGAGGAGGCTACCAAGGACAGCGACAAGGGTTTCTTCCTCATGATTGAGGGTAGCAGAATCGACCATGCCGGTCACATCAACGATCCTGCTGCTCAGGTTCGTGAGGTGCTTGAGTACGACAAGACTTTCAAGTCTGTCCTTGACTTCATTGAGAAGTCGGACACTGAGACCATTTTGGTTGCCACCAGCGATCACGAAACTGGTGGTCTGTCCACTGCTTGGCGTATGTTCATACCTCCCCTTTTCTTCTCCTCCTGCTTATGACAGTAACTAACACCATAAACAGAGGCGCCCAGTGAACTTCCCGTCTACAACTGGCACCCCACCGTCCTCGCTCGCGCCAACGCCTCATCTGAGTTCCTCACCGCCCTCCTCCTCAAGCACATTGCCGAAACCGGCGACAAGGAAGAGTCGCTCCTCCGCTGGATCAATGACGAGCTCGTTGTCAAGCACCTCAACATCAAGGACGCCTCCGAGGTCGAGCTTAACTCGATTGCCAGCAACCCCGCCCTGGCCATCCAGCTTTTTGCCCGCATGGTCAGTGTCCGCGCCCGTGTGGGCTGGAGCACGCACGGCCACAGCGCCGTGGACGTAAACATCTACAGCTCTGGCGGCCCCGGCACCGAGAAAATCAGGGGTAACGTTGAGAACACGGATGTCGGCAAGTTCCTGAGGGGATGGCTCGATTTGGATAGCGAGGTGGAGAATATCACCAAAGAGCTGGTCAAGAAGCTGGGCGACAAGGCTCCCTCGCAGAAGCAGTTGGAGAAGATTGAGAAGGCGTCCACCGCTTTTGAGGCTGATGGATTAGCTCATGGCGGGTTCGAGTCGGGGCTTTATGGCCATGTGTTGTAAGAGGGGCTGAAGTTTCGAGGGTGGCGGTTTTTAAGAGCTTCCTTTGTGGTGTATATGGACATGATGCATACGATCTTGATATGATATGGGTGGAAGGATGAGTGATACAAATGGATTGCATAGATTGAACATTGGCATGAGCGACAACGGAGTTGCATGGCAGAGACCGGCTGGGTAGCGTTTGTATCTTATGTAGGATAGCGTTTATGAGTTGATGCTAGCATTGTCGTATGGATATGTATATTATAGATGAGCCTTCACGCCTTCACGACACAGAGTTATCCTCTTCTTTCACGACGAGAAGACATCCATGGCATATGTGGATGTTGATCGCATGATGTTTGAAGCATATCGTCGAAGGGAGTCATGCTCATCATTTCCATTATACCATGTGCACAGAGATGATTGGTCAGTTCGATTTCATTTTAAACTCCCGCTCCGAGAAATGGGATTCCTCCTGCCATTCTGTTTTCCGGCGGGCATCATACAAGCCCCTCAAGTCCCATCAACCAGAACCATCATTTCCTCGTCATTTATTGAAATGACTTGACAATCTTCTCCAAAGCATCCACCAAAATATCCGCATGCTTCTCCTCGAAAATCAACATGGGCCTCAACCTAACCGCGCTCTGTCCACTGCCGCCAATATTCACCCCAAACTTCTTCGCCCTCGCCAGAAACTCGTCTCTGCGCGGGCTATCAAACGCAATGAACGTTCCCTGTCCTTTACCTCTCAGATTCGCAAACTGGCCCGGATACTTCTGCGCCAGTCCTTCCAGCTTGCCGTACAGATAGTCACCCACTCGAGCCGTATGCTCCACTAGTCCCAACCGTTCAATCTCGCCAATGATGGCCTTGAAAAGCAACGCCCTGGCCGGGTCGCCCATCCACGTGTTGAACTGTCTGTAAGGCTTGTTGGGGCGCAGCTCCGGGTTGCCAAAGTAGTAACCGGCCGTCTGGGCCTTCTTGGAAAAGGTCACCATGTCGGGAGGATCTTGCAGGTCCCAGTGCTCGTGCGCCCAGAACTTTCCTGTAGCGCCGACGCCCGTCTGGACTTCGTCCACGATCAGCAGGACGCCGTGCTTCTTGGTGATGGCGCGCAGACCCCTAAAAAAGGCGGGCGAGGCGTGGTTGTCGCCGCCCTCGGACTGGATCGGCTCAACCATGACCGCCGCGGGCGGGATGTGGTAGGTCTTGATCAGGTGCTCGACTTCGTCCAGCGCGGCCTGCTCGGCGGCCGCGTTCTCTTCGGCGTGCTCCTCGAGGGGGTACTTGAGCAGCGGGAAAGTCGCCTGCGGCCAGTCGAAAGCGGGGATATCCAGCTTGTGGATGGGCTTGGAGCGGGTAGTCGACAGCGAACCGAACAAGCGGCCGTGAAAGGCGGACTTGAAGGAGAGGATGGACAAGGAGGAAGCGCCGGGCGATTGGTTGATCATGGCGGACTCCATTTCTTCGGCGGTGAATTCCACCTGGGGGCCGCCGCGCTCCTTTTGCCGGCGCCACATGAAGGCGGCTTTGTAGGCGGTTTCGTTGGCGTCGGAGCCGGCCATGGCGGTGAAGACTTGGTTGAGCCCCTTGGGCGCGACCTTGAGGATGCCCGTCTTGAGCACCGAGGCCCAGTCGGTGGGCGGGAAGTTGCCGAGGGCGGGGCGGTTAATGATGCTGTTGACCATGTCGGAACTGAGGGCGGCGTCGTGCAGGACGGGGTTGTTGTAGCCGATGGGGATGGAGGCAATTTGAGCGTAGCTGTTGGGTAGAAGAAGGGGATATGATTAGTATGTTGTATTCTTGGTCTGGGAGTCATAGTCACTTACACATCAAGCAAGACATTGCCATCAGGATCGGCAATGTAGTTGCCCACGCTCTTATGGTAATCAGTGAGCATGTTCAAGCTCCGAGTGTCAAAGACCTCATCAAGCTCCTTGATGGCCTCCTTGGCTTTGGGGCCCGGAATCTCGGTCTTGACCGTGGGACCCTCTGGCTCCCAGTCCTTGTAGAATGATGATGCCATCTTGCTGCTAGAGGCAGTAAACTGGCGACGGTTAGAGAACTGGTGTACTGCGGAAACGGCCGCACGTCGAACCGTCGAAGCAGTAGAAACGGCACGTAGGCTGCCGCTATAGCTGCTCCGAAGAAGTCTGGAGGCCATGTGGTGTCACTGTTATGTTATGCTGGCGTGTTCGTCTGAGATGGTTTCTTACACCCAATCCCCAGCTTCAAGTCCGCACTGACTAACCTGTGATTACTTGGAGTGTTGTGTAAGTTGATGAACTTGGGGGGATTACAACCAATTTTCAGCAACAAACAGAAAGAGGGATTGGGACTTACAGAAGTAATACAAAGTGAAGTGAATTGTGAGATTTGGAGAAGTGAATTGAAGGTCCTCAGCTGATACCTGCAGGTGATTCGGAGAAGCGGAAGAAACGCCACTCACTTCAATAGGCTAGAAAGGAAAGGAACGATGAAGTAAAACAGGGAGGAAGTAAAGTGGCTATTATTTGTATAAGAAGCCCCATGCCACCACATGAGATATGGAAAGCGGGGAAGCCGATACAGGACAGACGTCAAGACAGCATTGGGGACACATAGGTAGGATGTACGTACATCAATTGGAGATAATTAGCTGATCGAAATCTCAAGGTCTGTTCTAGAGTACTTAGACTTTCAACTTACAGCCGCCCTGGCCGCCGCCTTGCCAACACGGGCAGGAGACAAAGTGTTTACGTACATGGAACGACCCAACGTCTCGTACCCGACTATCAGCTATCGCTTAACAGGGGCAAAATATCCCGAGATCATCGTACATGGTGAGGGACGAGGACAAGCTTCCGACCACGCCAATGAAGAAGTGTAATCGCTCCGTCCTTTGACCCGTTGCACCGCCGCACCTTAATCTCTGTGCCGCCGACTGCAGATACCCCATACCAAGGGTCTTCTCGCTGTATCCTTTTCCGTTACTCTGTGATTGATCTCCATTATTCTCATCTCGTAAATAGGTAGTACTGTAGTAGACAAAAGTCGCGTTATCGGCGCCATATCACAACATCCTAGCTAGATATGTATCAGTCAACATGCTGCGTCATCTCCAGCCTATCAGATAACTGACTTTGACCCCGCCGAGTCCCGCTGAACCCCGCTGGAATCTGGGGACCTCACTCCGTCCTGGACCCAAGCTTCCTCCACACATACACAGTACACTCACAGCTCCACGTAAGGTCAGATGCCATCATCAATCTGTTGATCCAAGAGTATTTCATGGAACCTGCTGAATGGCTTCGCGTATAACCTGCAAAACTACCACCATACAAGAATGTTGTGCTGTTGTTATAATGTTTCCAAACACTAATGTCGAAGCTCAGAATATGGTAAATAATCAAGAGTGACGCTGTACATGAGGTCCACTCCCACGAGAATCTAAGAACGCCAAATAATTTCTCAGGAAGAGAATAGCCTGAGCAAGAATTAAAAGAACTTCTCAGTAACATCCAGCTAGCTACTGCCCTCTGGTTCCTCTTTTGGTTGAGGAGGCTGTAAACCGGCTGACTCGGCAATGCTCTTCCACATCTCCTTCTCCCGATATAGCCGATCTACCTCTTGTTTAAGCTTGTCGTTGGACTGACTTAGTTCCTGGATGGCCTGCTCCGTGAGCAGTTTCTCCAATGTCCATTTTTCAATGTTCTGCGTTTCATTCTCCTTCAGCTGAGTGATGAACTGAACAGCGCGCTGAAGGATGGAGCCCTTATTCTTCTCGCATCCGGGAACAATCTTTGCAAGCTCATTTATGCCTTCGTTGATAGTCTCGCGACGTCGTCTCTCCACTGTTGTCTTGGTTAACCAAAATTCTGATCTGGTCAGTTGGTGCCGAGTACCTACCTTCTTTGTGGTTGTCTTTCCTCATCTTGTGCCACTCTTCACTGCCAACGGCCGGCTTGGGTGGGAGATGCGTTCCCCACTTTGGCGGTTCAGGCTGTACACCGTTGGCCGGTGGAAGAGATGTCTGGGGGGTCATAGGCGGCAGTCCGTCTGGCTCTTGGACGGGAGACGGGTTGTGATAGGCATTCTCGTGGTGGTGCTGCATCTCTGGTCCTGGCGGCGGAGGCGCAAAAGTCTCCTCAGTGGGTGGGGGAACATGAAGAGTGGGATACATGTTGAGGGCGGCGGCGGCAGTGTTAGTAGCGCTGTTCGCATCGGCCGTGTCTGTGTGATCCGAGGCAGCCTGGGCCAGCGCATTGAAATCGTCGGCGCTGACATGATCATGGGCTGCTTGGGCGATGCTGACAGCATTCTCCAGGAATGCCTCTGGCTCAGGGACCGCCATTGTCGCCGGTGGAACACCGCGCTTGTTTCTGCGAGAATCGGGCGAAGCGGACTCGGATGCGCGCTTTCGCTTCTGTCCTGGGGCGTTGGAAAGGTCTGTGAGGTCGGGATGCTCCATAGCAACGGGAGCAGCCATTTTAGATCTCTGAGAAGGAAAGCACGATGCTGAGACCTCATAGTCAGTAACAATAGTCAACGGAACCCACGGGTCAATTTGCGTGCTGCTGTTGCCTCATCTCAACCCCAAGTTCAGGACCAACAACTTGGAGAACCAACCAAGCAGTAGTTAGGTAACACCTTCACGATCCAAATAGTAGAGTTGATTGACAAGCACTTGCTTGACATATGTGTCGTGATAATGATGGGCCTTGAGCAGAACTCCAGACGGTGGCTCGGTTCCCATGCGACATAATTAACGCGTCGCTACGCTGATACTGGCCCCGCTGTGAAGAGAGTTGAGTGTAGGTGGCCGCCATGGACCGTTCGAAAACGACGTGCAAGCCCTATATGAAGCTGCATCTATGTTCGTGATGCGGCATGTGGAGTCGATGAAGGACCTGATGGCTTATGGAATTGATGATGTTCTCCCGATCCATGTCGCCTTCCGACTTTGTAAACAAAAGAAAAGACTGTCGCCGGTCGCATAGTTCGGGAGATCAACAAAAGTCTGTCAAGACTTGACAGCAAGTTGAAGAGCGTTCATCAACGAGCCAGGACTCCATTCGTGTTGATGGGGAAAGGCATATGGAATTGTGAAGCAAATACCTTGACTAGAGGTTTTGGTGGTCGGGACGCTGGGGATTCTTACGAGGTGGTCGAGGTCATGTGCAAAACTCGTGACTGCGTCAATCAGGACTTGGACCCATCCAACGCTTCCTTCAAGGAAACAAACACCAACAACAACGCCAAAAAAAAGAAACTTGGGCACCAAGAGAGAGGTATTCATCAGTCGACTTTATGTTAGAAAACGTACCGGTTATTGAAAGAAACTCAGTTCCTGAATCTTGCGTTCGCCGGGCTTAGCAAAGCCTCTTTTTCGAAGTTGATCTGGAGAAAGTCATGTGAGCTGAGCGAGAGGCAGCGAAGGAGGTCGAGCCGCCGGCTTGTATAAGAAAGACTAGAGGCACACCTTTTGGTGCACGGACCATGCGCAATGCTTCAATGAATGGTGAATGCCCGAATGCCCATTCCCCGGTCAACCTGACTCCCCTTGTCCCCACTGTTTTTTTAGTAGTGTAGTGTAGCCTGGCCGCATACTGTACCCTCATCTTCCGCTTTGTTCTCACCACTCTTCACACCTCTTTGAGGGCATTCTCGACAATGTGCATCTTGTTTGGGACACATAACATGTCAAATCATGGAAAGTGTGAGCGTGGCACCTTGGAGGCGTCGAGGACTCTGCCGGGTAGCACATGTGCGGCCTCCTAATCCCATTCCAGGCACGTGCGCCCAAATAATACAACCCCAATTATCCCATTTGCCTGAGTGCCTTTTCCACTTGACCATGAGTGTGTGGCTATCTTGAAGGCAAAGGCACACATCTTTGGGATGTGCGTGCCGGGGCATGATATGGAAATCCGTTGCCTTCTTGCTACAGGTTCCGATGCACAGGAAAACCCCGTGCCTGACTGCAAAGGCCCGTTGATTATCGTGAATGCAACGACTTAATCACACCCCAAGTCCGGCCGCGATCACCAACTTCTCCTTTTCACGTAATTCCGTTGAGGCCTCTAAGATGACAGTGTGAGACAGGTCGGCACATGATCTGGGCGACTGTAATCACGAGCACTAGCATCTGACCCTCCATCAACATCACTCCCTCCGTGGACAGGCTTCAAAGCAGCATGGAAAAGATGGCAGCCTTCCGAGTTCACCAAGCCGTCGTGGATATTTCAAAAGCTACCATGCCAGGCAACCATCTGTATTAACCTTCTACTAGGTTACGTAGGTACGTAAACGCGTCATCATTGAAAAGCCAACGGCATGAGGAAATCATCAGTTGAGGCCTATCATCTACATGACCGTCCTAAACTGTATCACATCACCACCAGCCCCTCCAACGCTCACCCAGCAGAACCTGAGGACCTATACTCCCTTGATTGAGGCTTCAAACATCCCAAAAACCTTTTCTAGCACATATACACATAAACAAATAGCGAATATTGGTTGTTTCATTGTCTGTCTTTGTCGCTAGTTCGTGATAGTAGCTAGTCAGGACTTTATGCAACTTGTGCAGAAAACTATAAGTACTAGTGTAATTGCTTGTAGGGTGGGGTAGTGGGGCAGCCAATGAATAGGTGCTGACATCAGTGGGGTACCCGCTCCCGGTCTGTCCCACGGGACTAACACTGGAAAGCAGGCCGGCTCCATGGCCGTCAAGGTCCATCTCCATCCCATCACTGACCTTATCCGGCATCCTAGATCGCCGTGTATCAACCAAACGTACTTGACCACCCCTTCTTTCATCCCGTCTTGTCTTTTTGGTACTCCGATCATAGCGATACCTCCGGACTTTTGAACTCCAACTTTCCCCGGAACACCATCTTGGCGGTCCGCCCGTGTCTTTTTGCCTTGCCAAGATGGCAGATCATGAAGCCTCAAAGATAAACCACGACAACCATCTACTACTGGTAAGGTGCTCCTTTACCCCCCCTTGAATCACCGTATTCGATCGCCATCGACTAATTTTCTGTTCAACCTCACCTGTAGGACCAGCCATTGCTCCGCCTCCCGTATGAACTCCTCCGCAAGAACTTCCGATCTGCTCACTTCACCGTCGAGAAAGAGTCAACAACCCTCAACAAGCTCCTGAAAGAAACAGCGAAAGGATCCCTCGACGGCAAGACATCGCCCGAAGATGTCGTCAAGAACCTCGATACCATGATTGCCAAGATGCGCGGCATGAAGCGCAAGCTGTCAATGTACGCCAACGAGGAAACCAGGCTTTATAAGCAGCTTGATGCTCGTGTGGCGCATCTGCGCGAGCTCTCGGACATGCACTCGGTTGAAGATGTTAAATACGAGGCTTGGTCCAGGAAACGTCTGGATCGACTGCTGGTCGACTACATGCTACGGCACGGATACAACACTTCTGCCCAGGCCCTGGCAAACGAGCGGGAGATGTACGACTTGGTAGACGTGGAAACATTCCTGACAATGAGCAAGATCCGCGAGTCTCTCGAGAATGGCAGCGTCACCGAGGCGTTGGCTTGGTGCAATGACAACAAGAAAGAGCTTCGAAAGTTACAGGTAGGCCGACACTACATCCTCGTTCTCTTCGTCAATCCCCATACCGCTAACCTCATCCTCTATCCCCCAGTCCAACCTCGAATTTCTCCTTCGCTGCCAACAATACATCGAGCTCCTCCGCATCAACACCCCATCCAAATCCGTTGAAGCTATCACTCACGCAAAGAAATACATTGCCCCCTTCCAAGAGCAATACCCCGACGAAGTCCGCGAAATGGCCGCCCTTCTCGCCCACCGACCCACCGACAAGAACCTCCCACCCAAATACGCCGCCTGGTACAGTCCGGACCGGTGGACCAAGCTCGCCACCTCTTTCGTAGAAGCACATAACAAGCTGTTAGGCCTGCCCACTTTTCCCTTGCTGCACACAGCCCTGTCCTCAGGCTTATCGGCCCTCAAGACGCCCGCCTGCCACGGCACGCAAAAGACGACTTCCTCCTCACAGCCCGGGCATAGCCAGACGAGCATGACTAGCACAGTATGCCCGATCTGCTCGATCGAGCTGAACGATTTGGCCAAGAACGTCCCCTATGCGCACCACAGCAAGAGCCATCTGGATAATGACTTGCTGCTGTTGCCGAACGGGCGCGTATACGGACAGGCAAAGCTGGATGAGTATGCGGCCAAGGCGGGGCTGGCGGAGGGGCAAGTGAAGGACTTGGTGACCGGCGAGGTATATTCGAGGACGGCGCTGAAGAAGGTTTTTGCTTGATACCGCGGTTTCGATTTACGAGCAGCGACACGCGTGCTTCTTTTGGGGGGCCTATCTTTTCTTTCATTAATTGGGGAACTTGGGGTATATGCTACGGCGCGGGGTGACTGACGGCTATGATTTACGGGTGTTTGGGGGATTTTATCATCGTATTGGTCTCTCGGGAAGAGGAACTCATCATTTGGGGAAATTATCATTATTAGTCTGGTTTCAGTCTGGACTACGTCCCGGGACACAGACGCAACAGCGCAACAAACAGCTTAGGAATGGGTACGGATGGGGGATCATTGCGTTGGCTTCTATATCATTACGTTGGGATGGAATAAAAGATCGCAAGATGGTAAGATTGGGGATAAGATACGCGGCATGGCATACAGTATTTACACACACACACGCAGACATACGCATATGAGCCCAAAACAGCGTTGCCATTATCATAGGACGAAGTCTAGCTATAAAAACTGATGACTTTCATGACCTTGGCCTACAAGTTGAATCAGAGATACCGCGTGTGTAGAGTTTCAAGCTCAAAAAGAGTAAATGAATGAGATGAAACCAAGACTCATTTTGTATCAACTACTCACTGAAGTACTCCGTAAATGGATTGCTTCTCTTCCCTGACACCATTTTCGCCAGTGTAAATGAAGCCAAACAAAGTTACAACGTAAAAGTATAAACCACACGGGTGTAATGTAAGCGCTAAAGGACTACTAGTATACAACCAAAAAAGGGAAAACAGAAAAGACCCAAAGTCGAAGGCAAACACCAGAACATAGCTGGTTTCGCTAGGGTATGGTGATGAGGTGGATAGAGAGGAAGCGCCAAGGAGAAGTTGGCAAGTCCCGTCATTTTCAATCCCTTCCCTTTCTTTTTTTTCTTTTGTCTCCATCAGTTGCGGGCTGTTTTCCTTGGAAAAGTGTGCTTTTACCACGCGACGCCGTGCATATATGTATGTAACGACAAGGTGTTTGTCCATCGCTTTTTTTTATTCCCCAAGACCTCTAAACCGCTGAGGGTGTTTAGGTTCTTTAACAAGCCAGAGAGCACAAACTCCATTCTGATCACGGATATATCAACGATAAACTGATAAAAGCATGTAGGAAGGAAGACCCCGAAGATATAAAAATTTTGACGACAATGGAGACCAAAAAAAAGATGGAACGCAAAAGAAAAGAAAAAAGTTTAGGGTGGCGGGACAAAATAACACACATAAGCCAGCCAGCAGCACGTTTCAAACTCCTTTGACCCATGCATCGCATCGCATCCCTTCTATCCACACACACACACACACACACACACATACACCACATCCCGCCCTTAGACACCCCTCGCACACTCAACATCATCAACTACTCCTCTTCAGTTATGTAATGTCGGTGGACTGGGTCCCATACCAGCGCTGGCGCTGGAGGAGGCACCGGCACGGGTTAAATGAGGATATAGATGTTGTACCAACCCAGGAGGACTAGGAGGAAGAAGAGGAAGAAAAGGACCAGTAGCATGTCCCACTAAGAGACGCTTGTTGTTGTTTGCACCCGTCCATCGCCTCCAACCACCGTCATATTAGAGCCTGCCCCCGGATGTCGCTAGCCTCGGTTGCTGTTGCTGTTGGTGTTGTTGTTGGAGCCGAACGCGAACTGGCCGAACACGCCACCTCCACCGCCGGGCGTCATCGGTCCGAGGTTGCCCAGCGCCGCCGCACCACCGTTGGTGTTGTGCGAGGCGGCGGCAGCAGCTTGCGCAGCAACGGCCGCTTGAGCCGCGTTGGCACCCGCAGCCGCGAGCGCGCCGGCGAGGTTTACTGGAGCACCGTTGGGCGTGCTGGGCGTTCCGTTCTGCGCACCGTTTGCCTGCTGCCCAGTCGCTGAGCTCTCGGTATTGGTGTTGTTAGTGTTGTTATTGCTAGCAGTCGCGGCTGCCGTGTTAAGAGTGGGAAGGCTGGCAACGACGGAGAAATCGGGGATGCCGAGACCCCAGACCTTGCCGACGTGCTCGCCACCAATATCTCCGTTGAAGATGCGCTTCCGTAGCTCGAAGAAGACCTTGCCAGTGATAAGGCTGTCACTGCCCGCCTGATGTGCACTACCCACGCGCTTAACCTTGAGAGTGTCGGCGATGTGTTCAAGACCTGATTTCTGCTCGAACTTTTGGAGGATTTCGGCCGCACCCGGGTCATTGGGGGTCAGCGCACCGCTGTTGTACTGCTTGATAGCGTGTTTCATGAGATGCTTAACGTCGTACGTCGAAGGGAAGTAAAGCTTCATGATCTGATCAAACTCAACCTCGTCGTTAGGAAGCTGAGAACAGATCAAAAGTTTTGTAAGATACCCAAAGTCGTAGCCGCCGTGGAAGCTGATCCAGCGCACGTCTTCAAAACACACTAAGCCGGATGGGATAAGCAGCGCGGCGAATTCCTTGGGGTCGATGCCATCCCGCTCAAGTAGGCTGAAGTCGATACCGGCTTGCTGTAGAGACTCGATCGAGGTCTGGTTAAACATGTCCTCCTTAAGAGAGAATTTAAAGTTGAACTGCCACGCGAAGGGAAACGGCCCCTGTTGATTGGCCGCCCTTTTCCCTGCGAGATCCATAGCATCAGTCGAGTTTGGTCGCGCAGGGGGTTGCTCGCCGTCTTCGTTGAATAGGGCGATGCCGATCTGGATGACCTTCAACATGTCGACGTTGGTCCTGAGACATTGGTAATGGTAATCACTCTTTCCCCTAAAACCTCCCATCGGTCTCGACACAACGCCGGGAAACTCGGTGTCCTAGAAAGAAGTCCAACCCACGTTAGCCATTTCCAAGCTCTCCTCTCCCAGTAAGGGGGTGACTGCAGTCCCACCATAGCAATGTACGGATACTTGTCCACCAAGTCTCTCAGTATGGCCATCTCCTCGTGCAAGTTGTGCCTCCACACCTCTCGTATCCGGCTCTTGCTCTGCGATCGCGTGACATGGTCGGCAAGGGCACCGTGACCCTGTTGTGGTGCGTGTTGCATGTGCTGTTGGTGCTGGGCATGCTGGGCATGTTGTGAGTGTTGGGCCGTCTGTTGCTGGGCCTGCTGCTGCTGATGTTGTTGTTGTTGGGACTGCTGTTGTTGCTGCAGTTGGGCCCCGTGCTGGAATCCCATCCTCGCAGCATGGCTTGCCAGCCCCGAGTCTCCCCCCACATTGAAGCCGCCACCCCCAGCATTTAGTCCCCCGCCGAGGCCTAATAGGTTGCTATTTGCTGAAAAGGGGTTCACTTGGGCGTTCTGGTTGAGGTAGGCGGGGTTTCCTGTCAGCTGCGGAGGATGGCTTGCCGTGTGCTGGCCGTGTGTAGGAAACTGCTGATGGTAGGGCGAAGGTCCGCTGGGGAACCTGTTGATGGGTGGAGGAGGCATCGCGGAAGAGCGACAGCCACTAGACGGGTTCGATGCTGTGCGTCTATCGTGATATCGGACTTGTAAAGGTTGCTCTTAGAAGTGTGCGCCGCGTATGCACCATTCCTGACCAGGCGCTGCTCTGCGGGATGACGGAGGGGCGGCCGAGCGCTCAGCCGGCGGTGGGATCGGCCTATGTGGACTGGATGATATCGTCGTCGTGGCTGGCAGGCAAAGGATCGGTGCGACTGCGGTCGAGGGGAACGAGTACGGAGGGGTACAGCCTGGCAAGTAAGAGGCTAAGTTCTGTGGTGCGTGTTGACAGATTTCGTCGGACGGGTCGAAAGCTGGATGAGTGCTGTGCGTTTCGGGTGCACGGTCGAGGGCTGTCAACAGCAGTTGCTATCTGAGTTGTTGGGTTCGCTCACTTGCTCCAGTTCCAGTTGCAGTGTGTTGAATGGAACTGGACGTTGGAGGCGGCCGAGGCGGCAGGCTGTCGATTGCACGGGCCACCAGGAGCACAGTCGAGGTTGATGTCAAAGTGCCAGCAAGCACAGGTACACTACAACCAGGTACGTACCATTTCCTGACTCGGCGCACGAGCCAGCTACCTATGGTTGCAGTGTTCCCTATGAGAGAGGACGGGCCCCCTTTCTGCCGCCAAGGACAGGGTTGGGGATGGTGGTGCGGGTGTCTGTACGTAGTATACACTACACACTAAGCAGCCGCACAGGCCAAGCACGTCGGGTGCGGGCGACAACGTCGTCGACGTCGCCAAACCAATCGAAGCAGCTCTGGTGAAGCCATTCCCGCATCGACGTTAACAAGCAATTGCCGTCACCAAAATGCGCGTCACACGGTGAGTCTCACTTACGACTACAAGTATCAGCTTTGCGATTCCTAACAACAACGAAAGAGTCCTCCGCGCCGTCCCCAAGAACCCCACGGGGTTCAACATCAGCGAGTTCCGTAGAGCTGCCCGTGTGCCCGAGCACGATCCTTGGATCAAGAAGTGAGTACAGGTTTTCGACGCTGTGCTCTTGGTGGAGGAGAGTTTGATAACCAACGCGAGAATCCCCCACTTCCCAAAAACAGCGAGTCCTGGCGTACCACCGGCCAATTCTCCCGCTCCGAGCGCTTCAAGGGCGCTCTTCCTGGCTTTGGCACCGCCTCCGTTGCCTTTGCTATTTACTGCGTTTACGAGCATCTCTTTCTCAAGGATAAGCACCACCACGATGGTACTGCGTCCGCCGTCACTGCGCACTGAGATATAGGTGGGGATGGACAATGAGATGGAGAAGAGTGTCTGAGTCGGACTGGGTGGATCCGGGTGGATATTCAGAGGGGGACAGGCCGTTGATATGGGGTCGACAAAGACAAAAACGACAAACAGGACGCCTACAAACGCCAGGTATAGCAGATAGCTGGCAGCCGAGCTCTGGTTGAAAGAGCTTCACCAGGGAAGTCTATCTCGGATGGCGGGAAAGATACAGAAGAGCAATATGACAGTACTGCACTTGACCCGGAGCGGTTGTTGAGGGAGGGCGGTGCCTATTGTAGACTGGTCTCCGTGATGAGCATACATACATATTTCCCAAAGTGATCGAGATGTTCAGGTTCGTGTGATTCTTGGGACATGTTTATACCACAATCTGCTTCTCATCATGTGTTCCGACAGACAGGCATGTTGGGCAGTGACATATATGCACGCACGCGCCGGCGGGGGTTTCTTATGGACATATTCTTGACTTATAGACACAAAGCAGTGAAATCAAAAAAAGGGACCCCGGCTTTTATATACATTATCTGTCTTTTTACAGGCTCTGTGTTGACTGTGATCGGTCACCTCGTTGTCCACTTCATCCCGACATCATAAAAGCCCTTTCTGTCTCTTCTCCCTTTAAAATCCTCCCATACTACCTACATAAGCCAACCCCCCATTCTGGTATATATATCATCTTAGTATCAAACAAATATGGTATCTGTTTCAACGGAACCCACGGACACACAATGCAAAAAAGAAACAAAATCCAGAGTCTAGCCCGCGGCGGTCTAGGTCATGCTAAATCTTTGTTGTTGTTGTCATCATCCACGGCCATTAATCGAAAAAAAGAAAAGAAGAGACAAAAGGCAAAACAAAAGCCAAAGGCCAAGTCATAAAAACCCTTAAACGCCACATCAGCTGGATTGGAACGACAACAGCTTTTACAGGCCAATGCCGTTAACCAAGTCCAAACATCCCTCGACCGCCATCTCCAACTCGCCCACGCGCTCCTTCAAGTGCCTGTTCTCGTCACGCAGCAAGCCGACCGTGTCCCAAGCCATGCTAGCGTCCTGGCCCCTGCAGTTCACGCACCCGTTCTCGTCCGAGCCGGGCGCGATGCCCCTGATAATCTTCTGGAAGGCGCTCATCTGGGTTCCCATGATCTTGGGCTTGGGGGTGGTCGGGACGGGGGGAGGGGGGCCCATGGACCTCCTCTTGTTGGTGACGCTTACGTTCCGTTGCAACGTCGTTACTGAGGGAGCGGGGCTGTTGACGATGCTCATGGTACCATCAAAGCCGCCACCAGGAACGATGGGGCTGCGGCACCGCGCGGAGAACACGCTCTCGCTCTCGGCGACGCTGTCGGTGTCAGTCGAGTACGAGTAGTCCGTCTTGATGGTGCTGGCGCTCTCGCGCCACTTGCGCCGGGCGTTGTAGTCGGCGTCGACGCCGAGGTCCTCCGACACAACGCTGCACTCGGACATGATGGTCGACGTGCGCTGTGGGACGGGACGGAACTTGCTGCGCTCAAAGGCGAGCTCGTCCATCAGCTTCTGGATGGCCTGCTCGTGCTCAGAAGCCTTACGCGCCATGCCCTCGAGCTGCATCTTCAGGTGCTGGGCGCGCGTCTCGGCCGCCTCGATCTCGTCGCGCTGGGCAGACTTCTCGGCTTCCAGGTCGCGGATGGTGATTACGCGCTCGCGGAAGGCGGCTTGCATCTTGGTGAGGAGGCCGATGGCGTTGGCCTGCAGGTCCTTGTACGCGGCCGGGGAGAAGGTGTCGCTGTTGGGCGCAGCCCCATTGGGAGGGAACAGGGCGGCCTCGATGTCGAGGTTCAGGATCTCGTCGTCGTCAACGGCAGGGCCAGAGGACGCTGCCGGGCCCGGTGTAAACTTGGACGAGATGGCCGATATGAGCCGGGAGGTGACGTTACCCTTGGGCGTAGATGGCTCATGCATGCTGCTGCGGTTGCTGAACTGGCTGGCGTTGGTCCCGCGTCTACGCGACCTTGTGGGCGTCTTGTCCAAGGAGGTGTCGCCGTCGCGAACGGAGCCGGTCAGGGACTGATTGTCCGCCGCCTTGCTCGCTTTGCTACTGCGGGCTGTTAAGGTGGGAGCCATTCCCAATGCTTCTGCTGCTGCCGCGCCCGAGCTGTTGAGCCAGTCGGCAAACGCTCCTTGGGAATTGTCGGTTTGCTCCGACGAGGAGGCGGGCTGGTTTTCGGTGCCAAAGGTGAGGGCGATCAGGTTCGGGAACGATGTCCCGCGGCGATGTTTGTTTAGACCCGAGCCCGACTCAGCGTCTTGCTCAGAAAACCCGCTGTGGTACTCTTGCAAGGGGGCCAAGGTGGAGGGGGCTGGGAGGATGATGGTCGAGGATGGGCGAGGCGGTGGAGCGGGCACTATGCGCGGCTTTTCTGGGACTCTGGGGGGGACGGCGTTGTGCTCTGAACTGACGGATCTGATCTTATCCAGCGATCCTCGCAGGGCTAGGGCTTTGGGAGGAGGTGTTGGACGTTCAATGGGGCGTTGGGGAGGCGGTAAGTCTCTTGCTGGCTGCGAGGGGGGCAGAGCAGGATTGGGTCTAAGGGGCATGATGTAGTAAAAGTTTGGAATGCCACAGTATCCCTGGAGGTCCCGTGTCTGTTCTCCTGTGTGTCCCCTGGTAGTCCCCGGTAGGCGAATCTAGCCGTTGTTGGTCTGGCCGGTCGGCTTATGTCCTGTTTGGCGGGGCCGGAGTGTTTCTTCAAGTCCAGGCGACCGAATGTTCGGCTCCTCTACCGCCGTGTTATTCTAGGAATACAGAGAGAGTATTGACTGCTTCGGCTGGCCAATGTGTACAATATGGGGGTGATGTCTGGGGCTGAGACCAGTTTCAACGCCAAAGCAAGACAATGGAATGCAACAAGCTTCCACAGCTTCCACGGTGCGTAGCTGAGGTGGATTGGGTGGCAATTGGCGGCGGGAATCCTAAAATCGTGTTTTGGTATCCAAGATGGGGAGTGCCTTGCGTCAAAGGTGAACTCGAGTCGGGCTTCGAAGAGGTGCGGAGGTGGACGGGGCGGAAGAGTAGTATATGCCGCTGGCGTGCCGTGGCTCATGCGCTTATTTCAGGGGTCCAAAGTCTTGACCGATATATTGGCTCGGGAGAGGTGTAGGCCGATGTAGGCGCACGAGATTCTATCGTCCGAACAGGCGGGTTGGGTGAAATGGAAGTTCGAACCGTGACGGTGATAGAGGAAAAGAATTGACGATAACTAAAGCCATCCAAGAACCAAAACCACGGGAAAATATCAAGGGGTTAGACCCAAAGGAAAAAAAAAAAAAAAAAAAAAACTACTAAAAAACGGTCCAACGGTCTGGAGAAGTTTGGACCGAAGCGAGGTCCCGTTCTCCCCTTTCCACTTTGCCTGATTGCGCGCACGCGGCGGCGGCACCACCACGGACAGTCCACCACACCCACCCACCAGGCAGTCCACCACCACCAGAGTACTTTGGGGGGGGGGGGGGGGGGGGG